CATCTACTCCCTCGAGACCAAACTGCTGGTGACCTCTTATGCACCCCCGGGCCAGGCCACTGCACTTGCGACGGACCCAAGCCTTGACTACGCATTTATCGGTCTTTCGAACGGTGCGTTGAATTCCAACAAGAGCAAAAACGACCAAAGAAAAAACAGACTAACTTTGATTTAGGTGAGGTTGTCGCATACGATCTCGACCGAAAGTCCTTAACCGCATACAAAATCCCAAATCTTTGGCTGGAAGTCAACCCCCGAGCCCGACTTTCTCCAGTCGTGTCGCTCGCGTTCTCTACACGTGACATTGGAAAAGTCCTCATTGGATACTCAGAAGGAGCGGTGACTTTTTCATTTAAACAAAATGTCGCCCAGAAGTACTTCATTTACGAGGTGCCTTCTGGTGCCCCAGGTGGAGACCCCGAAGCACCTGCTAGCGGAGTACGCAAGCCCAGGATGACCGAAGCCGTTTGGCATCCAAACGGACACTTTGTTTTGACTGTTCATGAGGACACTAGCTTGGTTCTTTGGGATTCAAAAGATGGCCGCAAGCTCCATGCCCGTACGCTCCAAGCCACGAATGTGGACCAGCCGGGTGGCTCGAGGCCGGCTGGACCAGATGGCCAAACTACGGGCCCCAAAGAACCTATCGTGAAAGTAGCATGGTGTGCGAAGGATAATCCCGACGACACTGGCCTGCTTGTTGCTGGTGGCCGGCATGTTGGCGAACCAAACCAGGGCCTCACTTTCCTGGACATGGGCCCGACGCCGAACTATCAGACATCTTCCTGGCAGGTACTTTCCAGCTATTTTGAGAGAACACGCCGTGACATATTGCTACCAATTCCCCCGGGCGCACAGGTCATCAACTTCTGTGCCATTCCTCGCTCTTCTCCTTATTTTGCGGGTGTACACGATCCGATTGCGTTGCTCACTGTACTTTCATCGGGAGAGTTGGTTACGATGAGCTTCCCCAGCGGACATGCCATTACGCCGACCAACATGCTACACCCATTCCTGTCCTTTGTTCACCCATTCGTGAACAAAGCCACTTTTACGCCAGTCGATCGTACTGTCTGGCTCGGGCTGAGGGAACGCAGACTGCAAGGGCCTAAGTTTGTACTCGGAGGCGCTGAAGCCAAGAACCCCCTCAAGCGTTTCGAAAAGCGAAACGTCATTACCACCGCGCATGCAGATGGGACGGTTCGTCTCTGGGATGCTGGCCATGATGATGAGATTGAGAATGGCGATGCTGTTCAGATCGATTTGGCTAGAGCTGTTGGCCGAGTCCGAAACATCGAAGTTGCTGAAATATCACTGTCGGGTGGGGCGAATGAAATCTCTCTTGGCCTTCGAACTGGAGAACTAGTCGTTTTTAGATGGGGCAGCAATGCTTCTCAGGGACACGAGGAAGCCGTCGGTACAAACCAACCCGGGAAACTGACTTCTATCGGCCACCGAACGGACCCAGGCTTGAAGACAGGACTCATTCCCTTGACTCTTCTAGATATGCAACAAGGACCGGTCACAGCTTTGAAGCATAGCCAAGTAGGCTTTGTGGCCGCAGGGTTCGAGGGCGGCAGTCTGGCAATTATCGATCTACGTGGCCCTGCAATTATTCACACTGCACACTCATCTGAATTTTCAAAGGCGCCCAAACGGAGTAGCTTCGTGCGAAAGAAGAGTGGGGCGGAGGATGTTGCGCCAGAATGGCCTACGTGCATTGAATTTGGTGTGATGACCTTGGAGGGCGAGGATTACTCGAGCATCTGCTGCTTTGTTGGCACAAATCGAGGAAATGTGGCAACATTCAAGATTCTACCAACCTCTAATGGTGCCTACACGGCTGCTTTTGCAGGTGTCTCTAACATGGAGGATAAGATCACTAATCTCATTCCAATTGACGCCGACTCTGGTGAAAGTGCTCTGGCTACGCCACACTCAGTCGGCGGGTTGAGAAATGGTACTAAGATCAACGGTGTTCTTATTGCAGTTTCGCCTTCTTGTTGCCGAATCTTCAAGCCTGCGACATCTAAGGGTGCACACAAGACATGGGACGACTATTTTGTTGACTCCTCAGCGGTCGTGAGAACTGAGGGTCGTGGATACAGTCTCGTCTGTCTTTGCGGCGATGGAAATGCCCGCGCGTTCTCTATTCCTGCTCTCAAAGAAATTGGATGCAGCAAGATTAATCACATTGCTGATATGAGGCGACTCTCGGAGGCACATATCACGCCCACTGGGAGCGTGATGGCATGGGCTGGCCCATCTGAACTTGGATTGTTTTACGCCTGGGGAGCTGGCCACCAAATGTACGGCTTTACGATTTCTTATTGGGGAGTCGACTTACTGACGAGTCTTTTAGGAGCCTTTCCCAGGATCGTTTATTTGACCCTGCAAAGGTGATACCTCCTCGACCAACTATTACCAACATGCAATGGATTTCGGGAACTCAATATATTTCCCCACAAGATATGGACATTTTGAGTAAGCCAAATAAACACCCTCATCCGTTTTACTACTGAAATCTCATAACAAATTTAGTTGGCGGACCTGACCGCCCACCATCGAAGCGTATGGTCGAACAAATGAGACAAGACGAGCAAGAGCGCCGGCAAGCACTCCGAGAAGGACGTGCGCCACCCCCCAGGACCGAGCGATGAGGAAGGCTACTGGTCATCCATGACGCGTGGTATCCAGCAGCGCACCGAACGGCTCGGGATCGCGGGTGATACCATGGAGCGATTAGAGGAAAACAGCAGTAGCTTTGCCAGCGACGTGGGTAAGTACGTACAGAACCAGAAGAGGAAAGCTGTTTTTGGTGGTAAGTTCCCTCTCTTCTCGACCGAGCAACTGTGCCCCCGCCCACCCCCTTGCATACCTGGCTGACCGACCTTTCTAATCTAGCGCTGGGATCCAAGTTCGGATTCTAAGTTTTTTCTTGTCTGAAAGCCTGGATAATTACAATTGATACCTGCCACTATGTATCCTTCTTGCGTCTGTAGACCAGTATCGGCCCCGAAGGTGAGCGACCTCGATTACCATCTGTATACCGATGAGGGTAGTAAAACTATGTATCCATTGCTACCCAATTCAAACTCACAATGCCTCTGAACACGTCATGGCAAGTTATTGAAGGGACTGTCCGGTCATCCTTAGCCGCCGATCGTCATCATGGAGGCAAATACCCGGGAATTGAAGATGTTTGAGACATAGGTGACCAGTCAGAAGGGCCGTCCTACATACTGAGGAGATGAAAATCGACCGACCCCTACAGAGTCAAGGGAGTAAATTTTTGAATGGAATGAATTCTATTTCGTAGCCCCTTATCAACGCCGAGTTGAATAGGGGTATAACCCAGAATATTGATCTAGGTGTCATAAACGTAGCGTACTGGTGGTCATCAAGAAGCAGTGGAAATTAAATGGCAGATGTGTGGTAGCCGAGTATGGTTGGGTCAGTGTGTAATTTAGTGCACCATAACCTCAGGTTGGGTTTGATGAGCGGCCTTGCCAGCAGGGTCGTCCTTCTGCTCGGAGTCATCACCCATCTCAACATCCTCATCACCACCCTCCTCTTCGTCCAGTTCATCATCATCGTCATCGTCACTGTCCTCCTCGAGATCTTCACTGCCAGCATCAGACTCATCCTCATCTTCCTTGCCAGCGGCGGGCTCAGCACCCTCCATCTCATGGTCCTCGCCAACTTCAGGCTCGCCCTCCTTGTTGGCCTCCTCGAGCTCCTTGACAAGAGCGGCCTCAAGTTCGGCTTCCTCAGCGCCGTAGGCGTTGCTGTCATCAACCAGGTTATCGGCCTCGGGCTGGTCAGGTGGGTACTCAGCGGGGGCAGACTCCTCGGAATCCCTAGAGACAGTTGTTAGTGGATCAATTGGGGTAAATAAACAAAGGGCAGAAGGGTGATCTTACCATTTGATAGCGAATCGAGTCACACGGGGCTTCTCAGCAAGTACATTGCGTCGAATACGCTCGATAATAGGCTTGGCAGGAGGCTCCGCAGCCAGCTCCTCCGAGTCATACTCATTGTTATTGTAGTAGCCAACACGGACGAATTCGCGGCCATCGTAACTGCAGGTAAGAAGAATGACGGTGACGCCGAGAATCTCGGAGGCGGGAATGCGTTTCAGATCGGGCGCATCGGCCTCGAAGATGAATTTGTTCACACCGACAGGGATAGGCCCAACAAGGAGGGAGTCGAGTTCCTGGTCATACTCAGAGCTACGAGATGTCAGTGAAGGGCAGACACAAGCGGATGGTGGGGTAGACGTACGAAGTGGCGGAGCCGACATAGGTGAGTTTCCATTCGAGATCTGGGATTGTTTGTGAGAAAGAAAATGGCAAAGAAAGAATAGCAATGGGAAAAAGCATACCCTTTTGAAGCTGCTCAAGACACTCAAAAGTGATCTCGAACTGATAAGAGTCGGTGAAGGCGGCAGGGTTGTTGAGGATTTTCACCCCAAGAAGCGAGACGACGGACATTTTGAGTATGTGATATGCGAGTATGTACGTTGAATATGGATTGGAGAGGCGTGGGAGGAGAAAGGGAATTTATAGGGTCAAAGCTGTGAATCCGGGGCAGGGAAAGAGAAACAAACACTTCACCGCAAGGAATGTGAAGGGGACTCTTAAGCACTCTAAAGAGGCATCATGCTAGGAGATGCGCGTCAATGGTCGCGTCCCTTGCGGGCGCGCCTGACCGCCCACGTGAAACCTGGGCAGAATGTTCTGCAAGATTGCGGCAGCTTGCACATGAACACCTTGAGAAGTGAATGCTACCAGTGAATTGCTACCAGTGTGTCGCAGTGCTCCCTCAAGACTCACTGGCACTTCTCATCGGCGACTTTCCTACTAATATCCCCATCAAGAGCGCTTCATATCCACCTCACCCCATTACCCCAAATCACTCGTCTAGCTCTTCCCACACCTCAGTACCTCCCTTTGTCTCTTAACAAAAGCTCACCATTACACACCCACACACCATCAGCCATGTCGGACGACCAGGCTGAACAAGCCTTTTTCCAGGATCAGGCGATGAACGTGGAATCCGAAGATCAAGATGTGGTCAAAGAAGAAGTCGAAGCCAATGCTGATGACCAAGAATATGACCCAATGAGCACACTCGACGCCGAACAGCAGACGGCACACCAGGACGAAGCGACCACCGAGACACCCACCTTCAACCCACACGATGCTTCACACTTAGCCACCAGTCTTCCGAATGACATCGCAGATGCTTCACAGGATCTTTCGCACGATAAGTCTCAGACGTCTACACCTGCGCCACCCGTGGGTGTATCTGCGCAGCCCCAGACCAGAACTATTGGGGGATTCGAGGTCGATGACGAGGACGAGGACGAACAAGAAGAGGTTGAAGAGCAAGAAGAACCAGAAGAACAGGAAAAAGACAAAGAAGACAAAGAAGACAAAGAAGAAGAGGAAGAAGAGGAAGAAGAGGAAGAAGAAGAAGAAGAAGAAGCAGACTACGAGCCTCACTATGAGCCTCCGGCTGCGCTGGGGGTTGATGACACAGATGCCATGACCATGGCTGAAGATCCAAGTTCAGGAAATGCAATTCAAAACACTTCCCTTGATGTATCATCGCAAGAGCCCATGCAGGGCTCTGCCAGCATGCCAGAAGTTGCCAATAGTTCATATTTTCCTGCTCATGTTCCCAATATCGATCTTTCTGCTTCTGATCAAGCTCAGTGGGCTTCGCGGGAAGCGAGCCTACAGAACAGTACCGTTCCAACTCCTGTACCTGACTCCCCCTCGACTACAAAAGGTCGTCTGCCCTATGACCGTGTTGGGATCCTACAAGACCGGGTTGATGAGGATCCCCAGAGGGGATATTACCGCTTGGCTGGAGCTGATTGCAGAGCACCGAAATCGCAATCGGTTGGATAGCGCTCGTGAGGTATACGAGGCATTCCTGAAGACGTTTCCTATGGCGGTAAGATTGTACTCATGACTTTAGATTTTCACACTAGCTGATCAACGGACAAATCGCAGGCCGACCAATGGGTTGAATATGCCACGATGGAGTCTGAGCTGAATGAACTCTTCCGTTTGGAGCAGATCTTCAACCGCATACTTATTACCATGCGCAGCGTCAATCTTTGGTCCGTTTATCTGGATTATGTCCGCCGTCGGAACCCCCTGTCCACGGACGCCAATGGAGAGTGCCGACGAATCATTTCATCTGCATATGATCTTGCCGTCCAATACGTTGGCATGGACAAAGACAGTGGTAACATTTGGTCCGATTACATTGAGTTCATCCGCACAGGTCCAGGAAATGTCGGCGGCTCTGGGTGGCAGGATCAACAGAAAATGGATTTGCTGAGAAAAGCCTACCAGCGAGCCATCTGTGTTCCCACGCAATCCCTGAATACTCTGTGGAAGGAGTATGACCAGTTCGAAATGGGCCTCAGTCGACTTACGGTAGATTTCCCATCTTCATGACGAAGACCATACTCGTACTGACTTGCTCTCTAGGGTCGCAAACTTTTACAGGAACAATCGCCGGTGTATATGACCGCACGGGGTGCTTATACCGAAGTACAGAACATCACTCGAGGTTTGATCCGTACCACACTCCCCCGGTTACCCCCGTCCCAGGGTTCGAAGGTGACGTTGAATTTGCCCACCAGGTGGACGTGTGGAAGCGTTGGATTGCCTGGGAGAAAAGTGATCCTCTGCTTCTTAAAGAGGACGATGATGCGGCCTTCAAAGGTCGCGTGACCTATGTGTACAAGCAAGCTTTGATGGCTCTGCGGTTTATGCCTGAAATATGGTTCGAAGCTGCCGACTTTTGTTTCCTGAACAACATGGTCAATGACGGGAACGACTTTTTGAAGCACGGTATCGAGGCGAATCCCGAAAGCTGCCTGCTGGCCTTCAAACAAGGCGATCGCATCGAAATTACGTCCGACTCGGAAAGCGACTCTGCTAAACGAGCCGCCAAAGTACGGGAGCCCTATGACAAGCTCATCGATGCGCTCTACGACTTGTCCAGCAAGGTGCGGGACCAGGAGAGTCAGGATATCTCTCGTATTGAGGAGACATTTGCGAAAGAGAACCCCAATCACAAGCCGGCACAAAATGACGATGACGAAGATTTTCAAGGCGAGGCAAAAGAGAATGTGGCAGCTAAGAAAGCGCAGATCGATGCGGTGAAGAAATCTTACGCCACCCAACTCACGGATCTCTATAAGACTGCTTCTTTCGCCTGGATTGCGTTGATGCGCGCAATGCGTCGTATCCAGGGCAAGGGAAAGCCGGGTGAAGTCGTCGGATCTCGACAGATCTTTGCAGAAGCTCGAAAGCGTGGTCGTATCACCAGCGATGTCTACATTGCCAGTGCGCTCATGGAGTATCACTGCTATAAGGATCCTTCGGCCACCAAAATCTTCGAGCGTGGTGCAAAACTGTTCCCGGAGACGAAAACTTTGCCCTTGAATACCTGAAACATTTGATTGACATTAATGATATCATTAGTAAGTTCTTCCTTGCCTTATTTATTCCCGTATGGTTACTAACACATACTCCAAAGATGCTCGAGCTGTATTCGAGACGACAGTCAGAAGATTGGCCTCTAACCCCGAAAATGTGCATAAAGCCAAGCCCATTTTCGCCTTCCTTCACGAATATGAGTCTCGATATGGAGATTTGGTCCAAGTGATCAATCTGGAGAACCGCATGCGCGAGCTTTACCCCGAAGATCCTTCGCTGGATCAGTTCTCGCACCGTTACATCACACCCACATTCGATCCGATATCTGTGCGACTAATCTTCTCGCCATCACAGACCCAGCCCAAGACAGTGAACCGTGGCTTTATATCGCAAATCCAAACCTCCCCGGCACCAGGGCAAGGGCAACTTGATATGTCCTTTAACTCACCAAAGCGACCCTACCCCGGCGAGGATTTCGATTACGACTCTGATCGTCCCCGCAAATTTGTTCGAGCCGAGTCGCCGCTCAAGGCCGCCCAAGGCCGCCGCCTTGACCAACAGAAGCGAGGACAGCCCATCAATGGACAAGTCACGTCCCACTACAAACCACAAGGATCTCCGACGCCCTTACCCCGAGAGGTGGTCCACCTACTCAGCATCATCCCCCATGCATCCGCATACAACATTGCGCGCTTGTCTCCAGAAAAAATGATCGATCTCATTCGCCGCACCGACATCCCGGCTAGTACTTCCCAGATCCCGCTCCCAGCCAATGCCAGAGGGCTCGGTGCAGCCCAGGGTGGGATGAATGCATATGGAGGTAAGTTTCGCTGCAGGATTGCCCAAATGGCATAAATCACGGACATTGAAAGATTGCTAACATACATATCTCAAGGTGCTTATCGCTGAGCCTTCCTCTTTTTTTTTCCTCCCCTCTTCACTTCTTCTATTTCTTTTGATTCAATCACCTGCCGTACGATCCTCACCTCATCTTCGTGGTGCGAAGATTGGATGATGCCTTTCCGACGATATTTTCTGTCTTGAATGAAGCTTGTTCCGATGAAGGATGGAGCTGGGCTTTGTGTGGCTCTCTTTTGTCCTTCTTCCCCTCCACCACCCCGTCTCCCCATTTTCATCCCTAATTAGAGTCTACTGCATCTGCTGGGCGTCGGTCTGCTTTCGTTTTGGGGATCGGGACCCCTTTGATTAAGTTGTTCATTCGCCCGACCGGCCCAGCACTCATGTTGAGCGGAGGACTAGTTCTGTTTTCCTGTACAGTCTTGGGATCATAGTGCAGATAGTCCCAATGATAATCGAATCTAATCAAAAGAAATATTTGTTCCTAGCTGGAGACCTCGCGTCCCCACCATTCATCATCAATCCAGTCACTAGTAGGTAGAAGCCTTCCTTTGTCTACCTTTTCATGCGATTCACCAGCTGTCGATACACTACTAGCTGCCACTCTTATTGTATCGGCAAGAGTGTTCACTGGCAGGCTCCAAGAAATTGCTGCGATCTTCAATTCACTTATGACACTTGATGCCTCGTACGATCTACCTGTCCCCTACCTTCAGCTATTGACATATGCTCACTGCTTTAGTAGTATCAAATGCTACTCCCGTCATTCATCGCATAGTCGACTAGGGTTGTTTCCCTTTTTGGGCCCCTCGTTTGACAATCAAGCCGCACCTTCCCCTTTTGATATTGCCATTGGTGGCCTCCACCTGCCACTTTTTGCTGTTTAAGAGGGACGCGTGCCTGCCTTTGTCATTTGATTTTTGATTGTTGATTGTTGATTGTTTACTATTGACGTATCCGACGTGCCTTCCCTGCGTGACGCTGTTGTTGTTGTTGTTGTTGTTGTTGTTGTTGTTCTTGTTGTTGTTGATTTCTACCTTCTCGCCCTCGTCTCCCCCTCTTCTCTCCTCCCTCCTCTCTACATCAACCCTCTCATCTCCCTCTCACTCCCTCTCACTCTATCTCCTACATCTCTTCTTGACAGCTGTCAAACTGAAGAATCTTGCCAACTCTCATCCTGATACAACCTTTCGCTGGCTTCTTGCTAGTTCTGTTCTCATTCCTACCACCCGCACCCGTCTCCTCAAACACTCTTCATTTCACACCATACCCCATCAATCTCTCAGAAGCTCTCAGAAGCCGGGACAGTAACCTTGTCTTTGTGATCTGGTAAGTTCATATCACTCCAGTAGCAGTTCTGCGGTTTTCGAAGCATTTGTTTTGACCCGGCCAACTACCTTATATTGGTAATTCCAAGAGAATCACCAATGCCATCCCAATTCCCTCCCTCATGTATCAAATTGACTACCATTTTTTCTCTCTCTGTTGTCTCCGCAGGATGAAAATCTTGCTTATGCTAACATGGCTGAATCAGAGCTCTTTTCCACATCTATGGCTCCTAAATCCACCGGGCAGGGCCGCCGCCGCAGCCCTAGCCGTGGACAGCGGCAGGGAGATAGCCCCAGCCGGAAGAGCGACAGTAGCAAGAAAAGCTCTGGCTCCAGCTACGAGAGTAGCGAGTCCGTGAAGTCCAAGGATTCTCGCAAGGGTCCTCCAACTCACCCCCCGATCGTTCATCCTGAGCCTGTGCCTCCTGGGTATGTGCGTATCAAGGGTGCCCTTGTGCGCGACCAAGGCGAAAAATGGACTCCTCCTCCTCGCGAGAAGGCCTTCAAGGATGAAACGATAGTGAGTAACATTCCTGCTCCGCGAATTTCACTGACGGCTTTTTCGTTATGTGGACATCTTGTTGACTCGGTTTTAGATTCCAAAATTCACTTTGCCTCCTCGTCAACCCTTGAACAAGTCAGGGAAGGAGGTCGAGGTTGTCATGAACGCATACCCGATCATCAAGTTCCCGACCAAGCCTATCTTCCAGTATGAGGTCAGTATACGCTTCCTAGAAACTCTTCCAAGAGCGATCGAGTCTAACAACAACAGGTCAACGCCATGCTTGGCAAATGGAAAGAGAGTGCGGGCCCTGATGATCCACCTGAGAAGGGTCAGTACATGGAGCAAGACTCAGAGATTCTCCGAAAGGTGTTTTACCGCTCCAAGGTCCGCATGGAACGTCTTCCCGATGCCATCTACGATGGGAAGCACATTGCTTGGTACGTTTTGCTTGACCTTCCTCTTCATCCTCGCTGATTACTTATGCATACAGGTCCCTCACTGCTCTCGACCGCCAGCTGCGAGACAAGTTTGTCTATCCAAGTGGATGGCGTCGCCCTGTCGGCAGTCGCGCCGATGTTCATGGAGAAGAGATTTGTCTCATCATGAGCGTTCGCCGCAAAATATTCCTCGGCACCATCAACGAGTGGCTCGAAAGGAAGCGTTCACTTGATGAAACTGTGATGGAGGCTTTGAGTACGCGATAGATAACTCTGACCTTCGAAATGACCTTTAACTGATCAACCTCTTCTTTCAAAGACTTTCTCGATCATTTGATCCGGGATTACCCAGCACAGGAATTCACGGCTCTGAAGCGATCATATTTCTTTGAGAACCTCGACAATCACCCCGACCCAGAAATGCGAAAAATTGCCGGCAAATCGCACTGGCCACTTCTCCAAAGTGGCGCGACATGCTATCGAGGCGCCTTTCAAACAATCAAACCTTCACCTGTGAGAAACATCGTACTCCCTTACTTTTGAATGAGCTTCCACTGACCCTTTCCCTTAGAACGGCCTTTATCTCAATGTGGACATCGCGCATGCTGTCTTTTATTCTCGAACTTCCCTCATCAATATCATTCGGGGAATTCTCGGCTCGGGGGAAGACCAGACCCTGATTCCGAAGCTTCTTGAGCCAATCCTGGATGAGAATGGAAGCAGAATGGAGACCCAATCTTTTTCCAAAGTCAGCAAGCGACTCCATGGTCTTCGAGTGTGTCCTGATTTCGACGGATATCCACTCGCAAATCGAAGCTACACCATCGACCATCTGATCAACGGCGGCGCCAAAGAATACATGATCAAGATCGACGACCAGGCTACTGGGAAATCCGAAAAGACCAGCATCTATGACTACTTCCACAAGAAGTACAACTTCCAGATGAAGTACGGAAAGACTGCACTGGTTCAGATGACTCGCGCTGGTGTTATCTTTCCCCTTGAGATCTTGTTCGTTCGACATCTTCAGCGATGGCCCCACAAGCTTGATGAGCGTATGACTGCCGACATGATCAAGTGGACTGCCGTGAAGCCCACGGGACGCTTGGAAGCCATCCTCAATTGCCACAAGATCCTCGACCATGCAAATGACCCCAACTTGGTTAACTACGGTATGAAGATCGGACCGAGTATGATCAAGACTAAGGCTCGCTTGCTTCCAAACCCTGAGATTCAATTCGGAAATGTCAAGCACAATCCAGGCACTACCGGACGTTGGGATCTTCGTGGCAAGAAGTTCTTCAAATCGAACACCAAGCCCCTCGAATGTTGGGGGATCGGATTCATTGCTGGCTACCGTACCTCGGTCAAGTTTGATCAGGTTCAAGCCTTCCATGATCACTTCGAGAAGCTCTTCAAACAGCACGGCGGGGTTTTCAAAAACCGAGCTCTTTCCATCGAACTTCGGGACGACATCGGCGTCGCGATGAAGACGCTGTATGAAAAGACCCGCGAGGCGTGGGGAGTTATACCGCAGCTCCTGGTCATCATCGTGCCCGACAAGAATAGCTTCAGTTATTTGCGCATCAAGAAGTCATGCGACTGCCGTTGGGGTGTACCCTCACAGGTTCTTCAGTCGCGTCACTGCATGGATAACAAGCCTCAGTACATCTCAAATGTCCTGATGAAGGTGAATGCTAAGCTCGGCGGTGTTACCAGCAGGGCCATTCCCAAGACCCCTGCCTCGACATTGCGGCCCCAGTCCGTGATAATCGGAGCTGATGTGACGCACCCGATGCTTGGTGTTTGGACCCCCTCTCTTGCTGCCATGTGCATTTCCAACGACCCACAAGGCATCAGTTACATGGGAGGCTGTCAAACAAATGGCGATCTGAAGGAAATCATCACCCCTGAAAACGTTCGCGAAATCTTGCTACCACTAATGCTTGAGTGGAATGCCACCCTTGGAAAAGGAGGAAAGCCGCCCAAGCACATCTACTATTTTCGGGATGGCGTTTCTGAATCCGAGTTTCAGGAGGTCCTTCAAAAGGAGGTGTTGGCCATCAAGAAGGTTGCCGCCGAATGCCTCAAGCTGAATTCCTGGCCTGGAAAGATGACAGTCATTGTCGCAAACAAACGTCATCACCTGCGAGCCTTCCCAAAGCCGACCGACAAGAGCTGCTTCGACCGAAATGGTAACCCTCTGCCTGGCCTTCTCGTCAACCGCGATATCACGAGTCCACATGGATGGGATTTCTTGTTGTACTCCCACGCTGCTCTCCAAGGTACATCCCGCCCTGTTCACTACACTGTGCTTCTGGATGAGATTGGCCACAAGCCGGAAGAGCTGGAGAACATGATCTATGAACACTGCTACCAATACGTACGATCTACCACTCCGGTCTCCGTTCATCCCTCGATTTACTATGCCCATCTGATCTCCGTTCGTGCGCGCCACCACGAAGATATTCCGGCCAGCTCTGGTCCGCAGCATGGTACTAAAGTCCCAATGCGTCGGGAGCTTGAACACCCTCGACAAAAGGAGAAGGATGACTTCCGTGAGAAGCAGAAGGAGCACGCGCAAGAGATGTTGAAGGGAAACCCTGGACACCGCTTTGGCGAAAGTGTTCCCAAGCCCATCCCGAGCTCTCAGGACCCAGCAAAAGGTACCAAGGAGAAGGAAGAAAAGCCTGCGCCCAAGCTCGCTGGATCACGTCTTCTTCCCATCATCGGCACCAACAACCGACTTTCATACAAGATGTGGTGGATCTGACCGCTTCGCCCAGATCTACCCAAGTTTCAAGTTTTCGCTCAAATCATGACTTACCCTGGATCTTCACTCACACTTGCTCATCCGAATGTCTTTCTGACCCAATCCGGTCCTTTCATACCCGAAGGTCTTTTGTTTTGTTATTTTCTCGGTTTTATCTTCGGCAGATTTTATCCTCAGCATCATGTACCTGTCCCCTCCACATGGTCATCAAAGGTTCTTGGATCCCTAGATTGTAGTGCCTTGGTTTCTCTTTTGTTTCTTTAATATTTGAGAATTAGGCGCGGCGTCACTGGGTTTCAATCGACTGGACTTGGTCTGGTGGTTTTCGGGGGCAGGGAACGGGGAAGTGAGGTTATCAATCAGTTTCGATAGTCAATACAGTACCTACATCCGGGGTAGTTAATTAACTATCTACTTGTGCCTTGATGTAAAAGTTTCAGATCCGTAGTGCTTATCTCCTAAAGCCGTTCAAAATTAGTATTTGTCGGCCCCTTCGCTGCGTATAATGGTCATGTCAATAGTACAAGTAGTTAGCGTTTCGACCATGCGCTTTGAACACGGGAAGTTGGTGAAAAGAACTAGTAACTACCTAGGTATCCTTTGGACTCAATCATGAACACAGCATTCTTCACCAGACGGACAATACAATCGGCGGTCAATTCTCCAGAAATCGGGTAGTCTACATACGAGGAAGAGAAAATCAAGAAGAAAAGGTAAAAGCCACCTGGCGACGTTATGTTAATATACATGCAAAATGCCAGAATACAAGATTAGATAGAGCATTACATGGCAGCCCAGCGTGGAAGCAAACAAAAAAAGAAAATAATACATAACAGGCATGGTCCGGATCTTCGAAATGATCCCCAGCCATGAGGCTCCAGCGTATTCATCTCGCCCTTTGTTTCCCCATGGATCGTCGTATCCACCTTCTCGGTGTCGGTTCTCAAATATGAAAATGCATGGAGAGCAGTAAGAGGCATAGAGAACAAAAGGAAATAGTTGGTTCATGGAGAAAAGGCCGGCACTCGATAACGGAAAGAGAGAAAGTGAATGAAGGTCGTGAGTCGAGGACTGGGATTCCCAGATGCTATCGCACAGCGATTATGCCGTGGTGCCGTTAGTCATAGTCATGTTGGGGTTGTCTTGCTGCTGAGCCTCGCCAACACTATCCACGTTCGAACCGTCGGTAGGCTTGGGATTGGCATCAGTACCTGTGAAATCCTTGATGCCATCTATAGAAGGTGCTTGATCGCCATCGCCATCGACATCATTGAAGTTAGGCATCTCCAGCGCAACACCGCTGTTCTTTTTTGACTTCTTTTTGCTTGGTTCCGAACCCCCGGCTTTGAACAACCCGGCCGTATTAGACGGCGGGGACGCTTTTGCGGGCTCGTGTTCGGCGCAGAAACACCAGCCAGTGGCGGAATCTTACCAGAAGCGGGAAGACGAGGCTTGACTGCCATGGGTCGTTGCTTGGGAGGAAGCTCAAGATCCTCAACCAGCGGTTCATCGCTGTTTGCATCCAACTTCCCTTTGAAGAAAGCTTGAAGTAGACCAATTTGCCCCGGCAAATTGTCCACTGATATGCGTGAGTATGGAGGCGGAGTTGGGAAAATCGTGACGGTTTGAGTGGTACTAAAACAGAAGATTAGCTCTCTGAAAATGAATTTTGGAAGGGTGATATTCGGCACATACCTGGTGTTCTGCGACTGGGCCGCGTTATACATGCGGTTCTGAAGCAGGTGCAGAGGAACACTAAGTGTTGCGAGACCAAATTCGCGATCCAAACCTAACTCCTTGAACCCGAAGAAATCCTCATCGATGTCTTCAGCGAAGTCTCCGCCAACAAATTGCTCGCTTCCATCATTGAACGCATTTGAGCCGTCCTCGCCAGCATCTGCAAGAGCAGGCCGAAGCATTTCAGTAAGTAAGGACTTGAGACGATCATGGGCAGTGGAGAGTTTTGTCCCGAGTCTCTCAACGTCGTCTTTGATGTAAGACTCCAATTCCTCGATATCAAGTCCCACGCCCGAAAGCGTGTGAAGAACAACTTCTGGCTCCGTGTAAGCCGGTTTCCATTCCGAGTTCGAGGTTGCAGTTTCTTGGGATCCGGTTGCTGGCACCTTGGGAACTTCCATGTAGGATTTGACAGTCTCGCCAATCTTTTGGAAGAAATCCGATGCAACATCTGTTGCGACCTCAATGGCGGATGGCTGATACTCTTCAAATCCAGTATGATAGAATATCTTAGCGACGGCTCTTTGCAGAGCTGCTCGGCAGGTTCCAGGGGCAATGACGGGCCCATTATCGTTCATAACATGAGGTAGAACGTCCTGTTCCCCGAAAGGAACCGGGTCATATTTTTGGAATTGGTTTTGATACATCTAGGTAGAGATTAGACTAATTGAATGTAAGGGGCGAGTGGATTAACATACCTGGGATTGCAGCTGCATCTGCTTCACAATTCCTATCTTTGAGCAAATCTTGCGGGTTTCTTGTAACTGTCGCATGTTTGCAGTGAATCTCTGGGTTAGTTTGCTTTCGGGCTGAGTAAATGAACCCTTTGGCAAAATTCTGAGATACTCTTCCGAGGCGTCGACAACATTGCCTTCTGCGTCTTCTTTCCAAATCAATCGTTGCGAAAGGTCAGGAACACCAGACATCACGTCGTAATAATACGGAAGCATTTGGTCTTCCTCCACCTCAATTCCTTCTGCGAGTGATTCCTTGCCAGCTTGAGGCTCCATGGCCTGAGTCCCAGAATCATGAATTTCATCAGCTTCAGCAGCAGCTTGTTTCTCATGCCGAAGCCACCGGCGCATGCCAGCCTTGGTTCGAAGGAGAGCAGGTTCGTCAGCATTGAGCTTGTTGCCCTTGAGAAGACGGTGTCGCTCTGCAGCGATGATTGCTCGATCTTTCTTTGTCACTTGCTTCCACACCTTGAACTCCGGGTCTTCCACATCAGCCCCGGGGATTGAGATGGCGCTCAAAGCAATAGTTGGTGCCGATGGTACGTCGATGTCCATGGCATCGTCCTGTTGGCTTGCGGCAGCCCCCAGCCCTAAAGGGTCAGATGGAGTGTGGGAGCCCGGGGTGGGGTAGAAAACCCATTCTGGGTTGGCTCCATAGCCGTATCGGAGTCTGCTCCAAGCGGCGCCGGAGGCTGGGATGCAGCTGTGTCACGAGGGCCTTCGGAGCCGCTAGGGGTGTTTCGAGCAGGCGCGGTGCCTTTCTTGGAAGATTTTCCGGGGGCCTTTCTACCCCTTGAAGACATGATAGGCTCATCGTCGCTTTCATCTGCGCCGTCAAGCTCTTCTCTTTGCAAACGACGCTCTTCCGCTTCGACCTCAGCACGGTCTCTAATGACAATTTCTGGAATGAGAGGAACCAGCTTCTCAGTTTCCTTTCGCATGTAGAGAGCATGCTTTCGCAAGAAATGCTCAGGATTCGTGTTATACTTCAGGCAGTTGGCCCAAATCAGATTCAGATCATCGACGAAGTCTTGCTTCGATCGATACTGTATGCCCTTAAGCTTCTTGGTCATGCTTCCGAGGTCCATTGGATGTTTGATTACTGTTTTTCAATGTTAGAACTTGCAATCACTGCTGGAAGCCCGAGCATAATTGGGATCATTACTTACTGGTATAGTAATCCGGGGCATCACGTTTGTTGACACGAGTCAGGAAGGCCGTAGAATGTTCTGTCATGGCTTTGAGTTCACTCAAGACCTTCTCTGCAGCTTCGTAAAGCTCTTCTTGGCCAATCTTATCCTCGCTGGCCCATTTACTGCGATTCTTTCGAACTTCACTGAGGAGGCTTCGCAATTCGGCATCAGAGGCCTGGACCATATCCCGCTTTTTGTCGATCCGGGCGATCAAATTCTTGAGTGTCAAACTAGATGCACCCAGGTTTGTATTGCTCAGAGAGCTATATCCGTTTCGGTCCGCCAGCCGCGTTGTTACCACCAGAGCCAGCCTGGCCTGAAATTTCTGCCTCGACTTGTCGCTCAGACTCTTCCAATCGTTGCTGGTCCAGCATGGCGTCGCGATCGTTCTCAAGGGTATAGAATAACGTATGAAAGCTCCGCTTAGCAGCTTCCTCTGTAGCTTTCTTGTCTTCTTCGAGTTGCTTTCGGATGTCCTCCACTGATTCTTTCTTTGTTTCTTTTGATCCATCGATACTGGTGGAAGCTGCGGTACCGGGTCGTTGAACGGGTAGGGTAGCGGCGCTGGGGTCTTGCGATGGGGGCACGGACTTGCTCTTCAGAGGCGATTCGGTTGCATCTTCCATATCTGCATCATCATCCTCATCGTAGTCATCGTAATCGTCATCCATTTTACGCGTAGGTTTAGCTGGTGGAGCTGTAGGGGGTGCCGGCGCATCAACGCGTTCGGTTCCGGCGTCGGGCTGTTCCGTCTCCGCGATCGCGGCGGTTGTAGGGTCATCCGCAGCATAATGACCAGAGAAAAGCGCGTTTATTTTAGCCTCACTGCGCCGATAGAGATCACGAAATTGAGCAATGCGCGGGTCTTCTTCGAGGGTGAGGTCTGGCTCCGATGTCATACTACTGGGGTTCGGCCCGTCGGCGCTGACAGAGCCGCGTACCTGGGGAGTGCGCGAACCAGACAATGTCTTGACCAAGCCATTGACAGGTCGAGGCGACTCCTGATGGTCGTCCGGCGGACGTGTATTGCCCGGGGGCCAGGCGTTGTGACCAAGCGACATGCTCGCTCCAAAACCCCGGTTCTGGGGGCGGGTGATACTCGATCCTCCACGGTTGGGATCACGGGCCGAGAAATCACGACAAGGGCGTTTGAGGAGGGAAAAAAGGCATAGAGGGGTGCCGCACAGTCGCCCGAAACGTCAGGCAATGTCGAAAATGGCCACAACGATGGCACGGCGGCGAGGTTTGATGAAGAAGTTGAAGTCTTCTGTAGGGAAGTTTCTCGGATGGGGATGAACTCACGGCAGGCGCGAAGGCGGCGGATCGCGGCAATTTGGCGTTCGCGCTTGCCCTTCGCAGGGCCTTTTTCCCCGCCATTTCGGGGTAGCGCGATACTCTTACTAGGCATCATTCCTATATCTAGGACACCTCTCTTATATCTCTTTGCTTTTAATCCAGTACTCTACTGCCTCTGACCTCACTCCCCTACCCAGTCATGCTCTGACCCTCGAGCTCCTCTTCTTCCTCGGTGGCTCTCCCTCCATCCCGTCTCTCCGCATATGACGCATAAGGCAACAGCTGGGGCCAAATCGATCAACGTCCACTTTGCTGCTCTCCACCCACTCCAACCCCAACAAACTTACCACAACCACTACTAAAGACCTCACGAAGAAGCCGAAGCTATAGCTTGTACGCCCAATTGTCTTTCACTTCCTCATCATGAGGATCCGCTATCCTTTCGCAGGTAGGTTCAGCTTCCTCGGCTCCGGCATCCATCCCCCCGACACCATCTTGGCGGTTCGTCCGGGCTAACCCAACACCTCTTAGGAGCATTCGTCTTCCTGTTAATTCTCGCCGCCTATATCGGTCTCCTCCCGCATAATACCTCGTCGTCTATACCTGCGAATCTACAACCCAATGACAAATTTCTGCATCTGGTGACCTTTTTCCTACTGTCGGTCGCCTTCTACTGGATTGTTGATACGTCGCGCCGGCGTAACTTGCATCTCACACTGGTGGTCTGTACGCTGGGCTTGGGCGTTGGCTCCGAGGTTATCCAGGGCTTACTTCCTAATGGTCGAGACTTTGACCTATTTGACATTATTGCCAATGTGGTCGGAAGTCTCGGCGCAATTGGCATCTGTGGCTGGTATCACCGCCGCATGTTAGAGCGCCGCCGAGCCAGTCGCTATGGAATGGTGGATGGCAATGCAGATGATGATGTCGAGCTTGGCACCGGTGTCGGGGCACGCTCCAGGAAGAGGAAGAAATGAGCCCTCAAGAGTCCGGTGTGACAAACCTCGAGCAGGAGGTAGACAACTGGGATGAAAACGCAGTGGATAACTGGGATACCGAAGATGGCCCTGGGCCTTCTGAGACAGCGCCTCCGAGCTACCACGAAAATGGCCACGTGGCTGGAGATGAGGCCGTGAAACGCAGTGACTGATCGTTGCGTATAGGGCCACAGAAATCGCTTATGAATTTTGACCCCAGCATTTCTCGGCCGAAATTTACCAAATTTAACTCTTATGATGAATGGTGCATTGATCGAATTTATGTCGATATGATACTTGTTGTCGGCTTCTGTGATTATGTTTCGTATCGCATTAGTTATGTCGTTTCTATCGCCGATGTAGGACATGTCGGTTATATTTATTATGGAAAGATACTAGTACATTTGGAAGTCCAGCTCTTTGATACTGGCTTATAATCTTCTTGCAATGCTTTCGGGGAAATAAGGTCTATGTATTCAATCAAGTGTACAAAATTTCACCACCAGTTCAGAAGACTCAGGTAGAATGAGCATTCCAAGGTTCTTCTATAAGGCATGAAAAAGTTGCAGGAACTTAGAGGAAGGACCAACAGGAAAAGAGGAATCTTTCTAGAAAATTGCAATCCTCAAATCACTAGCCGAGCGCTCCAGAAGTGGACAAACCAGGGCCCCAAATAAGAAGCTTAAGTGTTGGGTGTCTAGATATCCGACGGTCTTTCACTTAGTCGCCCATTTTGAGATTCTAAATGACTGATGTACATGAATTTTGTGGGCAACTGCTGCGTAGAATACAAACCTGCCATAGTGGGCATTCGCATAAGGAACAATAGGCGCTCGGGCTGGACCACTAGGAGATCCGCTAATATACAGCAATTCTAATGCGAAACTAGACATCCCCCGTCGGCGGGCACAGCTACATACAACGCAAGAGGCAAAAACGACCATGCACACTAGGGGGTATTTGAAAAATGGGAAAGAGGAGACGTGGGTGTATACCGGGGAACGTAAAAGTCATGAACAAAGAGCTAGGGGAACGTGGAAGGGAACAAGCCAACAAGTCGCAAACACCGGGTACAATGATATGATGCAGACAAAAAAAGGAGGATGATAGGCAAGGTAAGACAAAGAAAAGGACTCGTGATCACATCGCGATGGGGAAAATTGAACATAAATGTCGAGAATGAGACCATGAGAGGCGGGTACTCGAAGACGTGAGAATGAACAGCAAGGGGTATTTGGGAGGACGACATATCGCGTCCATTAGTCGCTGTCAGAGACCTCGGACGATCTAGACCAGCTGCGCGTCGGAGTTGGAACACGGTCTGGGACGGCTTCCAATTCAGGTTTCGACGCGGGCAGATAATCCGCATGGTCATTCAACTTGGCCACTTTTGCAGATCGGGGCTCACACTGGCTTCCAGGTGACTGGTCATTGTGAGTTGGAAGCTTCCCCAACTTCATGTCAGTCTGCTCTCGCAATACTTCATAAACAAATTGCATCTGCATCTCATTGTACACCATCATCATCCGTTGCTCGCGCATTTGGCTGACTGTTTCAAAAACAGGGTCCGATTCTGCGTCGCTTACTTGCAGCAGTTGGCCCGATTCGAGCTCTTCCAGTAAATGATCGAGAGCGATGAAGGTTCCTGTTCGACCGACACCCGCGCTGCAGTGCACCACACGTGGATTATCCGGGCCGGATTTAGAAGCCGAAAGCCTGATCAGCTCAAGAAGTGCCTCGCGATCATTCCCTTCAGGTTTCGAATAGTCTGCCCAACCTGCAAAGAGGAAGTGCCAGATGATCTTCGATTCGGAGCCGATGGTCAACTCGAGCTTGCGGATTTCAGAGCGCGCTTTTGGGTCAAATGTAGACTCTAAGAGAGTCACTTTGCCAATGACCCCAGAGCCATCCTCGGATTCGTCAGTCACAAATGGATCTGATTCCTCCGTCGTAAGAATCATCGAGTCCTGCTCCGAGTCCAACGGGAAGTATTGGGCGCATTTCTCTCGGCCTGCCTCGAAGGTCTGGGTAAGCATGACGATGACGCCGACCTCCTTGCTTTCGTGGAAGACCATGTGCCAGAAATGAGAGAAATGTCCGAGCTTGGGACCCTGTGGATCGATTAGCCCCGATTCGACTTGATCTATCACAGACAAACTTTGTGAGCTGTCACCTACCTGTGTCGCAATATATCTTCTCTCCTCTTCCGTGACCGTATCCCTGAGGGTAATCGGCGAGGCGTTGATGAAATCACACTCCCCAGCGGGTACCCGCAGATGGATGCGACAATTCGCCCAGGCCTGCACATTGATATATCGGTTCCTCGCCTTGACCTTGGGGTCTGTTTCAAGAGCAAAGGGATGGGTAGGGTCGTTAGACAGCATGCCCTCGGTCAACCGGGTTCTCTGCATCCATTCCAAATCTTCAAACTTGTCGTGAATCTCTGCAAGATGAGCCAAGCGGTCAGTAATGCTCCGAAAGGCTGCATGCAGCACCTCCACTCACCGGCGACAGATTGACACAGGAATGGGGGAAGATCCTCTGTGTTTCCATCCTCCAACCTGGGATTCCCTTGTTCAGCGTCTGGTAGGTCGATGCCGGCCTCATCCGGCAAGCCGCGCTTGGCTGTCTGTACACTGGTATCGATCTTGATAGACGGGTGGGCCATCTTGGCGGCGGCGACCCGGTGGAATGCGCGAACCTTGCCAAACACAACGCGGGCTTTCTTCGAGACGGCGTGGCTGTTGAAGCGTTTTTTCACGCGCGGGGCAGCGGAGTCCGGGGAGGAGGGGCGAGACTGTTCGGGGTCGGTCGTAATGTCCTGGTCGATACCGTAGGCGGCGGCGGAATAGTGGGAAATCTGCAGGGACGACAGATCGGGACAGCTATAATAGCTGTCCCGGGAAGGTGTGTCCAGGGCCAGATTTCTGGAGATCGTGGAGGGGTTTGGGCGTCGAGACAGGAGATGAGGAGCGTCGCAATAGCGCAACGTGTGACCTCGTATAAAGCCGGACGGACTCCGCCAGCAGAAGAACGAAACCGAGAACACGCGGGGGGGGTAGGAAGTACGAGTATTTTTATTTTCTCCCGGCGGGTCAAAAAGCCAAGAGTGCGCGCAAAAGGAGGAGGGTGGAGGAGATGGGAATCCGGAGGGAGTGGAGGAAGTGGAGGAAGTGGAGGGGAAGAGGAAGAGGAAGAGAAGAGAAGGGAAGGATAAATGGATTCGATGCTCGAGTACCACTGCCAGTTCCAGTTCCGGAATTAGAAGTGTATACCTAGTCCTATAGATAGATACATACCTACCTCTATAGACCCTAAACTTGAACCGAAACCGATTGGTAATTGGCGGGGACTTTTGCCACTTGCGAGTCTCAGCTGCGTCTGCGTGCGGCGATCGGACTTTGCCAGGAACACCAGGTGTACTCGTAGTTAGAATGTAGGGTATTTCGGCTTCCAAGGTTATCGCATACTTTGTTTTTTTTCTGTTCTTATTTCTTATTCTACACTAATATTACTTTCTAAATCCACCGAGGTCCAGTCCCGCGGGAAAAAACAAACCCGCCGGCGCCAAAGTATATTCTACTATTCTCTACTCTTCTCTACACTCCGAGTCCCTTTCACAGGGCTTCACCTTTCGCCTTTCATACCCCCTGTCCTTTCAGCGTCTTTTTGATGCCGCCTCCCACGTGCCCTTGACGGGTGTGAATCTCCCGCGCACCATTTCTACCCATATTCCTATCCTCGATTTGGCGATATGGTCTCCTCCGCCCAGGTCCTCGATCGCGTCGCACCCAACCAGAGTACCCCGTCGGTCGTGTCGCGACACTCCCACTCCCTCTCCCACTCCCACCGACGACATCGATCAGGTCGCTCACATCATGGAAGTTCCTCTCTACAACCCTCTTCCAATGATTTCCCCGTATTCGCATACACCGGTGATACCGAAATCGTGATCCGTGCCGGATCGCAGGAGAGACGCTACCTCCTCCATCGATTGATCCTGGCGCAATGCTCGGGTTTCTTTGAGACAAGCACGACTGAGGAATGGTCGCGACAAATCACAGCCGGTCCTCCGAAGACCGATAGCTCCCTATCGCGCCTAAGCGAGGAGGACTCCCTATCAAACGGATCTACAGTGGTTCAGTCAGACGGGGGTGGACTGCCAGCCCGGCCAGGAGAGAAGCGTCGTTGGCGCTATGAACTTGGCTGGGAAAGTTGTGCGCAAGACGAAGTACCCGTCTTAGTCCAAAGAGTGAGTTTGAAACGGTCACCTAACCGTCAACCTACACACTTACACCTTCTCCCGCATAACCAAAATGACAGCGGCTCACCTCTTCTTCAATAGCAATCGAGCTTCTCCCCAATCTCCACCGGCCACCCGGCGCCATTCTCGCAAGCAATAACCAAGCCGTCGAATTCTCAAGCGGGATTTTTCCGATCCATGGCTAATTTGACGGGAATGCCAGCCCAGTCAGTGGTTCATTTGCCCCAGACTGCTGGAGACCCGAGTAGTACCCTCCCTCCGTTGATCCGGGACTACGACAACTTGTTCCGTCTCTTCTACAACCACACGCCCAATATCAACAGCGTGAATATCGCCGCGGCCTATACAGAGTGCAAGTCTCTACTCGCCTTAGCGGAAATGTACGATGCGTTGCCAGTAACCGGGCCTCGTGTCGACCATCACCTCTTAGGATTCGGCTCGCGACTCTTTAAACAAATCGCCAAGTACCCACCGAGCTACCTCAAGTTAGGCTATCTCGCACGCAGTCGAGTGATTTTCTCCGAAGCCTTGGTCCACGTCGTGGGTCAATGGCCCGCGGCTTTGCCCAACTTGCGCAACGGCTCATACGCTCCTCTCCCAGACTCTGTCCTCGACCTGATTGAAGACAAGTACGAGGACCTCGAAGATCTCAAAGCGCGCGTGGAATCTAAGCTTTTTCGCCTGTCCTTGACCACCTCCCGTGGCGAGCGTGTTGGGCCATCAAACGCATATCTAGACTGGTTGGCTGTCTCACTTTTCCGCCAATGGTTGATTGAAAGCACAACTCCTCCCCCAGCGCCCATCCTCAAGAACTCGACCAACGCCAACAGCGCTCCTCCTCCAATAGGACAAGGGTCTCAAACCGGCTCGTCTAGACCGACCGCACCGGCAGACCCCGCAGCTCGAGTGTATAGATTGATCGGGTCTCCCTCTCCACAGGATTATCTGCCTCATGACGAGATCAAACGCTTTCTCAAGCTCCACCCGACCCCTTCTGCCGATTCCCTCTATTCCAGAGAGACTTTGAAACGCTTTGAACGCAAGATGGATGAAATCAAACGATTAGCTCGAGAAATCGTCAAACCGCTTATGCGGAACTTTCTCGAATTGGAGCTGAAGCCTAGCGCTGAGCAGAACACCTCTGCCACCGGGGCTCGCGAGAGTACTCCCGCACCGGGCTTGCCTTATTTAACCTGCACCCGCGTGGAGGAGAGTGACATGCCATGGGGTTGATGTCACGGCTGCTTTTCTTATTCTTCCCCTTCCCCACACCCTTTATACCCTTTATTTCTCGATTTTTTGATTTGCGGCGCCTAGCATATTTCCACTTTTAGTTATCCTTTCTGTTTTCTTCTGGCGTCTTGGAAATCCCCATTTTCTGCTTCTTTGGACTGCTGGCCAGCTCGAGAGCAGCGAGTGTGCCCCTACTCCTTGGCTATCTACCAGACGATGTTATGTGTCCAATATTTTGATGCCCCTTATCTCGACTTTCTAGTTAATGTGTTATGATGATGTCATGAATCGGCTATGTTTATCACTTTCCCAACACCTATGCATCTCCAATTATACAGGTCGGTGTTTCATACTTCTGAGGCGTTTCTAGATAATGCTGCATGGCAATTATTAGATTTCGATGCCATTCACTCCAGACACCTGGAAATAAGTTGAAAACATTTTGCGATCAATGATAATCCCCCCTGGGATGCTTCAATAGATTACAGTTTCCTAACATAACATAATAACTCAGCCATAGTAGTATACATGCGGGAGAGATGTTTTCTCATCCTTCCGACTCTAATCTCGTTGACCAATCGTCTCCATGCCATCCATCCAAGGGCGCAAGACCTCCGGGATAACGACAACGCCATTTTCTGCATCCCAGTTATTCTCCAAGATAGCAGCCAACACGCGTGGAACAGCCATTGCTGTACCATTAACGGTATGCGGGAAGCGAGAGTCCTTGGCCGCACCGCCACGGACACGAGTCGCCAATCGTCGACTTTGGTAGTCTGTGCAGATAGAAGCGGACGTCACTTCGCCCCAAGCTGACTCCAACCATTCCAAGGCCGAGTCAGGTCCAGTGGAGGTGGTAGTTGGGCGGAATCGCGAGGGGAAAAGGGCCTCGATATCACGCTTGCGACTTGCGCTCGCTCCGAGATCAGTGCTTGGCATCTCCAACACGCGGCAAGGGAGGTGCAAAGATGTCAAGATTTCCGTCTGGATGTCCAGCAGCTCAGAGAAAATGTCATCGGAAGTTGCTTTGGTGGAACCGGAGGAGTCGGTGGGAACATTGTCTGCCCAGCCGAACATTTCCACCTTGGTAAACTCGTGGACTCGATACAGACCCTTGGTATCGACACCACGCGAGCCCGCTTCGGCGCGGTAGCAGCGACTAGCGCCTACCAGCTTCAGAGGCAGATCGCCAGCGTCGATATCGCGACCTGCATACATGGCCGCAAGTGGGATCTCTGCAGTGCCGGTCAAGGAGCGTTGGGGTTTGGTATCCCGATCGCGTTCAGTTTGTTCAATGGACCAGATCTGTTGCTCATTATTCTGATCGCGCGGTTGGAACCCACACGCCTCTGCGATGTAGGAGTAGACGATTGATGGTGGCGCGACAGTTCGCCATCCACGACGCCGTGCAACACTCAGCGCGTACTGGACTAGGGCCTGCTCCAGCATTGCTCCCTCGTTTATGAGAAAATACCATCCCCACCCGGTTGTTGTTGCGGAGCTGGCGAAGTCGATGAGACCCAGCTTGGTACCGATTGTAACGTGTGATCGGGCTGTGAGCTCCGCTGGTGACTGGCGCGTCCATGTGGGTGGCGTATTCGGGTCAAGATTGAGGTAATTGACTAGACGAGGGTCATCTCCGATTGGGGTTTTCGCGGACGAGAGGTTCGGGAGGGATAAGGCGAGGCGGGTGATTTCGTCGTCGCATGTTGACTTGCGCACTGTCATGGTGTGCGACTCGTCTTTTAATCGCTGTGCCTCTGACTTGAGGGTTGAAAGCTCTCCCTTAGCGTTATTGCCAGTCGCCCCATCCTTGCCGGCCTCCTGGCGTGCTGCAATTGACAGCTTCGCGATGGTCTTCTCGAGCTGTTTGATGCGGGAGCGTGGCGTCTTCAGATCGTGGTCGAGTTGCCTGACCTCTTCGGACAAAATTTGAATCTTCGATGGATAATCCGCATGAGCGGCATAGTTCCGCTCTACGCAATTCCTGGCGTGGAGCTCGGCATTTTGGCGGATATTTTTGACGTCCGGGGTGGGCTTCGGGGCAGTTGCAGGGCGGAGAATCTGATGGACCTGGCGAGATCCGGCGAAAGGGCGCGGTGGTGAGAGTCGTTTTGTATGGAAGTTCAAAGCGAACCTGCAATTAAAGCAGGTATAGGGGGAGGGGGAGGGTGCCATGAAGAAGATAAGAGAAGTTGAAGTTGAACCTGAATGGAGGACTCGGAGAGAAGGGAGAATCGGCGTGGATTGTTTCCGGTGGATCGTCTTGGTGGGGCCGCTCTCCAGTGTTCAAGTTGTTTTACTATGTACTAGTAGTAGTAGTTTACTCGATATTTTTATCTTTATATTTCAAGTTACTACTATATTTACATTTGGAACCTGATATTTCGAAATGGTGATCTCACCATACTAGCAATTTCGAGGATCGTCATGTATGCCCGAAAAGAACAACCTTGGAACAACCTTGGAACGATATCATAATGGAAAGATTTTGCTTCAGTGATTTCCCAGACCCAACTTGCGCTTTTTAATCCTCGTCCCCAACCCAAGCAGAATCAAGATCAAGGTCAAGACGACCGACCAAGTGGGAATGGCTAGGATTCCTATCTGCGTCGCCGCCAGGAAAAGCGCAGCCTCCAGCAATAGCAGAGCATAGCCACTCCACCGATGATATTTATAGATCCGTTTGCCTCCGTCAACACTGCCAAAGATGGTCACGGGAAGGAAGTACTGCGCAACTCCGACGAGGGCCTGTAGCACGACGAAGATGACTGTGAGTAGTCCGAGGATACCGTGTAGGGAAACAAAGTGTGGGTGACCGCGCTTGTTGATCTCAATGACGATGAAGGCACCTAGAAAGCAAAGGATGCTAGCCAGCTGAATGCCGTAGTGGATGTGAGTCCCTAACTGCTTTTGCTGTGGGGTCGACGTAGGCTGGAGGATCAGAGCTGCCTGCACCTGCAGAAGCAATGCGGAGACGCCGAAGAGCTATGATTGCAAAAGGTAAGGACCCGAGTTAGCAAGGAGAGGAGAGAAGAGGAGAAGATACGGGGGATGTTGACTGACTGGATGGAGGGTGAAAAGCCGAAGTGGTTGGGACAAAATATCGGACCAGATGAGAACTGCCAACTGGAAGATTCCCCCGCGTTAGAACTTGTTACTTAATTGCCCAGTGGTTGTAGGACGGCGACTGGTGTCACTTACAACCCACACTCCAACTTGCACAACACTCGCAGTGCCTACTCGAGTTCAGATTAGAAAACTGAATGGCAAGGGCTTGAACCAAATCGAACCCTAGGAGATTGCCGCTTGCCTGTGATTAAATTGACGACGATCTTCTCGCGTGGCTCCGGTGGGAGGTTGAGATCATCCCGTTGGCCTAGTAAAGGCTCGTGGGCCTCGGGAATTCGAGTCGCAGCGGCCATGACTATGGGATCAGTGATACTGATACTACTGCTAGTACTAGTAGTATTACCTTTACTCAGCTATGGGGAGGGGGGTTCAGGGTATATAAATAATTACTGTAGCATGTTGAGCGTCGTGGGTGGACATAGGTACATACATATTCCGCAAGCTTCTGCAGTGCTAAATGCATGGCTATCACCAATCCCTGCATGCCAGTGCTAGTAATCATGATTTTACGAAAAGAAATGGCGCATGTCGCCGACTTGGCCTGCTCCCTGGCTCGAGAAACACGACAAAGAGTCTTTGTTTGGCGTGATGCTCGGCTCCAATGGCGATCTCGCAATCAATGGATGTTCAGGTGGAGCTGAATGCGCCAGTCAGCAAGGCATGATTGCCAATGATTCTGGCAAAAGCAAAAGATCGTCCAGCTCATGATGCATATTGTTACACAAATGCGCCCTCCTTGCAGTAGATTGTTTTTGATTTCCAATAATTTTATGCTGGGCGGATTTGACTCCGCTGCTGGCTTCATGTTCACACTGTCAGAAAGGATCTACACACAGCTTTATGATAATTAATTAATCCGTACGATACTCCGTACACACCTGCAATTTCGTCCCCTACAACCGAATTGGATCTTAAAAGGAAGACGGAATAACATCGATATTATCATATTTGAAAGACTTGGCTCAGACAACTCATACGCCATCTACTCCAGTGCCTATGTGAATGCTAGTGATCTTTTGACTGGTCGGATACCCAAACAGATAATCCCTTGCTAATATGTATACTGTAATGATTACTGCCAAGTTACCAGGTAGATGCCGTACTAACTGATTATGAAACTGTTCAACTGCTACGGACTCGTTCTGAGCAAAGAGCAGTTATAAATCAATGTTCACTCACTATAGATGAAATCTTCGCTATCCGACCAACATGGGATAGAATCCCCAGAGTTCAAATCCAGAGAATTGATGTACTCGATCAAAACTAAAGCTACCCATTCAGCCTTCTCCGTGTTTTGACTTAAGGTCCGCAGCTGTGCCCGGACAATAAGAATGAAGAGCGTGCAATGATCCGCAATGCAGATCAACTCTTCGTGAGGAGCCCCAATGCTCATGGCCTCAGTAAGTGCGCTAAACTTGATATCTGCGACTTCGTTCACGAGCTTCCTGATTTCATTTGTGACAGTCCTGTGCCATGTGGGATGATCTCGGAGATGGGTTGCCCGCAGTTCCAACAGCGAGATTGACCCGCGCCATTGAATGGCATAGATCCGAGCATCTAGGGTCTTCAAAGAGTCTGGCATTCTGCTAGGAAGATACCGAGGGATGAGTCTGTCAATATAATGCTTTGAATCAGGAGCCTCGTTCCACTCTAAGTCGATTATTTGGCGTCGCAAGCTTTGGTTGATTGTTTTTACGGGATAGATTTCCCTCATAAAGCGGAGCACAGCCACCATTGAACTCACAGCTTCTCGACAGCGATTTGGATTATCTCTTGTAAATTTAGAACACTCCATTATAGCCACCTGTACAGAGCTGACATGCGATGTAACCAGATCTACTCTTTGGTGATCAGTGTTCAACCAAACCTGCGCCACTGTAGAATGCAAATGCTCCATACTTCGGCTAACTTCCTCGTAGCTCGAGGGAACGTGACTGAGATTTTTGATTTGGCCTTTGAGGAGATCAATGCATGTAGCCCAGTATTGCTCAAAAGAGACGTGCAATGGTGAGCTCATTCTGTCACCTGGATCATCGACGCTTCCAGGTGAAGGTCTGTTGAAAAATGATGCCATATTAAAAGGCAGATTTCTAATATATGACAACATCATTTTAAAGGATCAATTAAATTAGAGCTCTAAATCTCTAGGGGAGAAGAATTTATATTACTATTTTCCGAATTAGGGGACTGTCATTGTATTTGTTTGGCCTTGAAGTGCCCTCTTTGTTCACAGTCAGCCTTTGAGCTTCGCTCTCCTTTGAAATAATTGCATTGTGAGGATAACCCAATCACCAGCTACAATTATCTTATCCATGGTTCTCTACAGTCAAGCTCATGGAAATTGAATATCAGCTATGATTCTTCAAATTACTTCGTGGTTCCACGATAGTTCATAAAATCAGGATTTGAACCAGAGTAGGTCGCTGTTGCGGATAGTATGTAAGCCCATTCAAAGCCCAGACCTTGTCTCCTCATCACGCGCAGCTGCAACACGTTCTTTCTTGGCCTTCTGAATTCCTAGGGACATTTTGACCGGGTGAACGCCCGGTGTCTCAAACACAGCATCAATTTCTTCCAAACCTAACCCGCCAGTTTCCGGGAAGACAAAGTATGATAGAACAAGTTGAACAGTGTTGTAAATAATATAAACAACCCAGATCTTGTATCCAATTTTCTCGATGCCGACACTTATACCATATGTCTGGGCTGCACTGGCTCCACCTTGTATTAGGCTGTACAGACCCATTCCTTTGGCACGGAGTGGCAAAGACAAAATTTCGACGGGATAGAGATTATGCATCGTAGCAATAAGTGTTGCTGAGAAAGTCTGGTAAAGAAAGATCCAGAGAAGTGTGAGCGCAGCAGCCGCATGGGTGGCATTGAGGCTATACTGCCAGGAGGTGATGGTCGTTGCCGTCTGGAAAATAACCATGCTGATAAGTCCCGAGAAGATCAAGGTTCTGCGACGGAACTTGTCAACAAGAAGTGACCCAACGGCTGTGAACACGAAGTAAACCGCAGTGGTTCCAATGCTGATCCCTAATTGCTGTTTTGTACCATCGATACCAACTGTCTCTAGGGCCGGGACCATCTAACAAGCCTGGTATCAGCGGAAAATCGATTGACTCAACAGAAAAGGGGTAAACTCACGTAGTACGTTATGATGCTTCCTCCATTCCACTGCTGGAAAATTGAATACAGTACCAAGACTAGCAGTCTATATCGAGCGATCTTTGTGAAAAACACACGATAGTCCCAAAATGACCTGTAGCTATTTCGGTCGTTCTCCAGTGACTCCTCTATCTGAGTCACTACAATGTCAACAATTGGCTCATTAATACTTGTGCTAGTCGTGTGGTATTTGGCGATAACTTCTTTGGCCTTTTGTCGGTTACCTCTCATGACATAATAACGAGGTGATTCCGGTGTCAAGACGTAGATTGTCAAGCAAACAATAGCGGGGAAAATTGCCTCGAGGATTAAGGGGATACGCCATGATTTGTTTCCTGGTAGATTTGAGAGTCCGACCATTGCTCCAAGCATAGCCAGACTGCCGACTTGGAAGCAAGCACCGAAAAACCCCACCATGCGCCCTCGAAGATGGATAGGCGAAATTTCACCAATGTACTGAGAGCTGGACATGAGCGCTGTTCCGAATCCCATAAAGAAACGTCCGGCCATAAACATGGGTAGGTTGGTAGCGCAACCCTGCAATATGGCAGCAAATATGACGATTGCATTTCCCGCGAAATTGATTCCTCGTCGACCAATAACGTCTGCAAGTCCCATAAAGGGGGCGCCACAGACTGTTCCGATACTCATGAGGGCGTTGATGAGACCGTAGGTACTACCACTGGTACCGAACCCAAGATACTTGTGCCATGCCTCTAGTGAATTGATACCTCCGATGACCCCCCAGTCAACTCCAAAGCCTGCCTAATTGAGATATCAGTTTTCTGTAAGCTTCAAACAAGGCAATACTGGCTTGAGACTCACTTGATTACAGCCATGGACAAACATGATTAAGCCTAGTCGAGCCCCTGTCCACGACCAGACGCTTAGTGAATCCTGAGATAGCTTCCATAGGTCCTCCTCAGTGAGGCGAGCAAGTGCTACTTCCTCAATGTACTCCTCGCCCTTCAGCTTGGCCACTTTAGCCTCGGTTTCGCCGGGGTTGCCCATCGTGGGTCTTTGTAAGATCAAACAAGGGTAAGAACTGCGCGTGTGTGAGTGTGTTGTTGCGGGCTAGGGCAGATATTGGAAGGGCTATCCCTTGGTATTTCTGCTCCGACAGGTATGAGTCGCTTAGCGAGATCAAAGGAGGATCCCAATCCACCAGCCGAACCCATAGCGCGAAGCTCATTCTGCCACGGAGACTTGAAGAATCCGAAGCCAAAACGGAATCGAAAAAAGCTAATAGTCTTTATTAGGCTTGGAATCACATGGTCCAGTTGGAAAAAGCAAAGATGATTGGCGGTCAATCGCCACGGTGGAAAGCTGGCGCCAGTTACGCTGGCCATCGCCGCGCGGTGGGGAGCCGAACTAGATTCATTTGCTTGACCTGGGCGTAAGCCTTTCTCCATGAGTCCATTGCTACTGGCTCGCTGGTTGTTTGCCCGGGCATCGTGCATGCATTAGAAATTGTCCACCAGTAGGGAGCGACTGCGGGGAAGGATCCTCCCATACCAGCAGTTAGACTAAATCTGGGGAGAATACCAAGCCTCTTTTGTAGCCCCGGCGAATTTAGGCTGTAGGGAGGCTTGGAAATTTCGAATCGTTAATAATTTCTCTGGATATAACTCGCTTGCCGGGATCCGAATCACTTTATCCGTACACAAACCCTTCATTTACCCCGGGTGTTGTCACGCAAAGTCGCTGCTCGGACCTTGATAACTTTGATCATATCATTCATGACTGAGCTGTGGTATGAGCAGCCCGCGGCGAGCTGGAATGAAGCTCTACCAGTTGGCAATGGACGCCTCGGTGCTATGGTTTACGGCCGCACTGACACGGAACTACTGCAACTGAACGAGGACTCTGTGTGGTATGGAGGTCCGCAGGATCGCACACCACAGGATGCCCTAGTATATCTTCCTCGTCTCCGAGAGGCGATTCGTGCCGGAAATCACAATGAAGCCGAACGGATCGCTACTCTTGCATTCTTTGCGAATCCAATCAGTCAACGGCAATACGAGCCTCTGGGAACTTTCTTCTTGGATTTCGGCCACGACCCTGCCCAGGTCAATAATTATAAGCGATCTTTGGATATTAAAAATGCGACAGCTCATGTAGCTTACGACTATCAGGAAGTTCATTATGAAAGAGAAGTGATAGCCAGTTATCCCGACAGCATTATCGCCATCAGGATCCGGTCTTCGTCAAAAGCCCAATTTAATTTACGTTTGACACGGATGAGCGAACTGGAATTCGAGTCGAATGAATATCTTGATGAATTGTGTGCTACACACAATTCTATCATGATGCATGTTACTCCAGGAGGTCGAGATAGCAATCGTGCTTGCTGCACAGTCCGTGTACGATGCGAAGACGATGGAAAAGTCAGGAGGATCGGGAATAACCTGGTGGTCAATTCTTCTGATGCTCTTCTGCTTATTGCCGCCGAAACAACATTTCGCTTTGAGAATCTCGCCGAGCAAACTTCTCATGAACTTGACCAGGCCCTCCGTCAATCTTCCGATGAGCTCTGGATAAAACACAGAATGGACTACCAGACATTGTATCAAAAGATGGAACTGCAACTTGAGCCCGAAAATCGTGAAATACCTACAGACAAACGACTGAAATCCTCCAGAGACCCAGGGCTAATTGCGCTCTATCATAACTACGGCCGCTACCTCCTAATATCTTGCAGCCGCGAAGGATACAAGACCCTTCCTGCAAATTTACAGGGAATCTGGAATCCTTCATTCCACCCGGCCTGGGGCGGCAAGTTCACAATAAATGTCAATCTCCAAATGAGCTATTGGCCTGCAAATGTTTGCAATCTTTCAGAATGTGAGATGCCTCTTTTCGAACTTTTACAGCGCCTGGCAAAATCTGGCGAGAATACGGCCCGGGTCATGTATGGATGTCGGGGCTGGGCGGCACACTCCTGTACAGACATATGGGCAGATACTGCTCCGGTTGATCGATGGATGCCAGCAACTATCTGGCCACTTGGAGGCGCGTGGCTTTGTTACCATATCTGGGAGCACTATCGCTTCGTGGGCGACTCGCAGTTCCTCCGCCGCATGTTTCCCATCTTAGAGGGGTGTGTTGAATTCTTACTAGACTTCTTGGTGGAGGATAAACTTGGTGAACATCTTGTCACCAATCCCTCAGTATCTCCGGAAAATTCATACTTGGATTCTCAAGGAGAAAAAGGCGTCTTGTGTGAAGGATCAACCATTGATATCCAGATTATCGATGCGGTCCTGGGTGTCTTTGAATCTGCTCTCAAGAAACTAGATACCACCCATTATCTCTCAAAACGAGTCAAAGCTACGCAGGCTCGATTGCCCCCGATGAAGATCAGTGACCTTGGATACCTCCAAGAATGGGCTCTTGACTACGCAGAGGTTGAACCTGGCCACCGCCATACCTCTCATTTGTGGGCTTTATACCCTGGGAATACCATTACCCCAGCACAAAATTCGGAGCTGGCGGCGGCCTGTGGTGTGGTTCTACGGCGCCGTGCTGAAAATGGCGGCGGTCATACTGGCTGGAGTCGTGCGTGGCTCATCAATCTACATTCTCGACTATTAGAGACACACGAGTGCAAGGAACATTTAGATCGATTGTTGGCTGAATCAACTTTGCCGAATCTTCTTGATAGCCACCCTCCATTCCAGATCGATGGTAATTTTGGTGGCAGCGCAGGCATTGTTGAAATGCTGGTCCAATCTCACGAGCCCGGTATGGTTCGTCTTCTACCTGCATGCCCAGAAGGATGGAAAGGAACGATTCGTGGGGTACGGGCCAGGGGTGGATTCGAATTGGAATTCAGTTGGGAGAATGGGCGTGTTATAAGTGATGTCCGGATTACCTCCGTCCTAGGAGAGAAGACTACGATTTGTTTTCCTGGTGATGGATTACATGTAGAAATTGAGGGATCTGGTCTTCATATAATTAGGGCACCATAGAAATTTCAGACAAGCACAATAGTATAGAATCGTCATGTAAACGACGTCTTTCCTGGGACCGGCTCTCCGCAATTTGATGTCTACTTACCCCGCCATCTTAACATGGTATACCGGATGAGTCTTAACCCAATGACCCCTCGGTACCCTTTCGGCTTCCCCAAATTCCCTAATTCGTCACGGGCATCACTCCGCTCATCTACCGGTGCTCTGGATAAATAAGAACGTGCTTAGCCGTAACTTGTCAGTACTCAATTAGCGGAGAAGTCAATCCCCAGGGGTATTTTATTTGCAGCTTGAGCTTTGTCACGCTTTTACCAAGTTATCTAATGCCCAGTGTTAATCTAAAGATTTAATACTGAAAATGGATCTAAAATCAGTTCAGGATCTCAAGGGCGTTCTTCGGTCTGACTTCTTTCACGGATATGCTACAGCTGCGCCGCAGATTGAGGGCGCTTGGGATAAGGATGGCAAAGGGATCTCTATCTGGGATAAGTTTGCCCATATCCCTGGCAATATCTCGGACGGAAGCACACCCGATGACGCTGTCAGAGCGTATGATTTTTACCGAGAAGATGTAGCACTTATGAAGTCCTACGGCGTGAATGCCTACCGCTTTTCGCTTTCTTGGTCCCGCATTATCCCCCTTGGGGGATACAATGACCCTGTCAACGAGCAGGGCATCCGATTCTATTCAAATCTAATTGACGAATTACTTCAAAATGGAATCACTCCATTTGTCACTCTCTTTCATTGGGACACCCCGCAGGCTCTCGAAGATCGATACGGAGGCATGTTAAATCAAGACGCATATACGCCCGACTTCATTCGCTATGCTCGAGTGTGCTTTGAACGATTCGGTGATCGTGTCAAGCACTGGATCACATACAATGAGCCTGGTGTATATACTCTAGCCGGCTATGCTGCTGGTGTTCACGCCCCGGGGCGTTCTTCTTTTCGCGAACGGAACTCTGAGGGGGACTCATCTGTCGAGCCATTCACCGTTGCGCATACACAGCTAGTCTCCCATGGACATGTGTCCCATATGTATCGCGATGAGTTTCAACCGCGTCAGAAAGGGACGATTGGAATCACGCTACATGGAAACTGGTCCGAGCCTTGGGATGAAGAGGATCCGCTTGACCAGGACGCAGCTGAGAGAGCGCGTGAGTTTGAGATTGCCTGGTTTGCTGACCCACTGTACAAGACTGGTGATTATCCCGCATCGATGAGAGCCCAACTGGGAGACCGGCTGCCCCGGTTCACCCCCGAGGAATCTGAGCTTGTGCTGGGAAGCTCCGAGTTCTATGGCATGAACAGTTATACAACATTTGTCATGAAGCACAGGACATCACCCCCGGATATCAATGATCATAAAGGAAACGTTGAGATCCTCGATGAAAATAAGCAAGGTGTACCGCGCGGGAAAAAAGTGATACGGAATGGCTCCGCGCTGCACCTGGGGGTTTTCGAAAGTTATTGAACTGGATCTACAGCCGTTACAAAATGCCAATATTTATCACGGAAAATGGCACTACTGCCCCAGGAGAAGTGGCCCCGACGACTGAGGTCTTGAATGATACTTTTCGAATTCGATTCTTTGAGGGTTATGTGGGTAATGCGCTCGCGCGAGCTGTCAAAGAAGATAGCGTCGACATTCGCTCGTATTTTGCGTGGACATTTACTGATAATTGGGGTGCGTATCTACCCGAATCATATCTCTTGCCTATAATTTCATAGGATGCTAACTAATGACCCTATCAAGAGTGGGCCGCTGGCTATGGAGACCGTTTCGGCTCAACGTGGATTGATTTCGAGTCTGAAGAGAAGACGCGCTATCCCAAGCAATCGGCATACTACCTTGATAAACTCTTCAGGCACTTGATCAAAGAGACCTAGATTCTTCAATCTACTCCAGTGGGCCTAGTTCTGCTGCCCACTAATGAAAATTCTTTGACTGTTCGTAAACTGTATTGAAGCGCCTTGTGCAAGGACCTCGTACTCCAGCCAGCCTGGCCCTATGAGTTATGACAATTAATTGAGAAATAGCTGAGCGACACACCAGACTAACGTTTAAATCCAAAGGTGAACCCACGATAGGCTGATGGCCAAGGCCTCCGAATCTATGGCATAAACCTTCCCGACCGAGGTAATTTCACACATTAACCGCTTAGGGCAGGTCATTGCGATTGTCTAATCCGCTAGACCCCGCACGACTCCAACTACGGCGCAACGGGGGCGAGATAAAGACCCGAGGCAATGAGAAATGCCTTTGGAGTTTTCTTTTCCTAAATTTTACTCGCCACATCTTGCGGTGAAGCAATAACAGAACTTGGTACTGTAGTCACATACCAGAACCAGCATGAACCCCATTAAACTTAACCTGACTGGTAGTCCTCGCGAAGTACGGAAGCATCATGTTGAGAGATTTACCTATTCATAACGAAGTTATATCTGACTTGTTCTATTAGATCGGTATCCAACATGGCCGAGCATTGTATGAACAAATTCGCAGCCAGATAAGCATCTACGAGAGCATGTTTCAATACACCTCGAAAATATCTTGGTCAGATGTTCGCGATATCGCAAAGGAGTTCAAGTCTCCCCTACAGAGCTTGGTTCCGCACATCTACTCGGAGATGGAAGGAATTGCCGAGGGCGCGGAATTAGACATATTTGACATCGTGGCCCTCAACTGCAGAAGCGAAATCGCCCTGGGGAGATTTTCGGACGGTTGCACAGCTCTAAGTTGGAAGAAATCTAACAACGCGCGAGTCCTATCACAAAATTGGGACTGGACTGCTACCGTGAAGAACAACTTGGCTATGGTATCGATTGAGCAGATCGGGAAACCAACAATATACATGGTTACTGAAGTAAGTATCAACTTCTTTCAGTTACCATCCACGATTATTCCCCGGGCTTATTAATGTGATTTCGCTCCCATTCAGGCAGGAATCGTTGGTAAAATTGGGTTCAACTCGGCCGGCGTTGGAACCTGCCTCAATGCGATTCGAGCAAAGCCTATGATCAGCAGTAAGCTTCCTATCCATGTTGCATTGCGACTGTGCCTTGAGAGCACCTCCGTCGGCAGCGCTGTAAAAACTCTCGAGTCTCTAGGGGGTGTGGCTTCTGCTCAGCATATTCTGGTTTCCGATAGCACCCAATCTTTGGGTCTGGAACTTTCGCCGGTAGGCAACAAGTATCTAACGGAGGATGCTTCGGGTCTCATCGCGCATAGCAACCATTTCATTGAAAACCATTACGTTGAAGAGCCGCCGTGGCTTTCAGGTTCGCCAATTCGCCTTGACCGAATCAGGTATCTGGCACATGAGCTTATTGCAAATGGTGTGAGTGGAGATACCATCACGCCGGGTCTATTGCGAGAAAGAATCTTTTCCGATACATACAACGCTCCACAAGCAATATGTTGCAAGGAAGACGAATCGCGCCACATCTCCACACGCAGTAGCTCTTTGTTCAATATTGTCATGAATCTTAACTCTGAAGCACCGAGTGCAGAAGTGGTATTTGGCCGGGTGGGCTCTGGGGAGGAAGGGCCGGTTCTGAAAATGCCTTGGGTATAGCCGAAGTATTCAGAGCTGACAGAAGTCGAATAACGACATCTAAATAAGAATATTGTGTTATGGCAAACTTTCTGATAGTGCAACGTCAAAGTAATGGCAATTAGTGATATTTTTGATAGTCCAAATTCACTTGCGTGAGGTCTCCTGTTTTATGTGGGCAGCACGTCACGATCCTTCGCAAATTCGGCATTGTCTCGGGTAGCACAGGATCATGCGATTGAATCTCTTTCCTGGAGATCATTCGGTCGTTGAGCACATGATCGGGTCCGACAGGAAGGCGACAATAAAACCGGAAAAGGAACCGTAAAACTGGCTTCTTTGCTCCTCCGGGCTGGCACTTGATCACCAAGACAAAGTGTCGGTTACGTTACTGTTGCAATAACAACCAAATCGCCAGCATGCTTGTGCGACTGCCCAACAATTCACCACCGAGTCCAGTCACTGACGAGAAGATGAGGAAAGTAGCAAGATTGTATCAAATGATCGATTTCGAAGTGGCTGTTCTTCGTTTCTATTGAGGAAAGTTCTAATGCTGGCATGTCAACCCATTCTTCTCCGAAAGAAACCAGAAATCGTATTGAAATTGTAAACTGAAAAGCAAAAACAAAGAAACAACTCTTGGTGTCAAGTCAAAATTTGAAAAACGAAGGAATATGAAAACAACAATACAGAAATCTTTAGGGAAGATGCACCGGAATAGGAATGTCGCAGGAACAGAGGCGCTGCGTTGCCGGGACATCCTACATCTCAAAACCAACGCCAAAAATGCCCCCAAACAAGCGCCCAATAATTGCAATCCAGCATAAAAACCACAAAAAGCACTTTTTGCCCCGCTCAGTATTTGTCAACTGCTGGTGGTCTTGGTCGCCGTTTTCTCCAGCTGTTTGAACCTCCACTCGTATTGTGTCAACTGTCTTTTATCGGTTGGGAAAAGGCTTTTCCCCTTCTCGGCTAATTCCTTTTCTGTCTGCCTCAGCATATCCCAGCGCTTCAAAATTTTTGCTTGTGCCTCCGATATCGAAGCCAAATTGGTGTCTTGGGACGCCATGCGCTCCTCTGCCGTAGAGTGATAAGATAGCTTGGCCATGAAGAATGCCATTTCGGATTCATCGTACTTCAGACCTTGGGCCTCGGGCATAGCGGGAGCGTCTTGGACTGGCTTGGGGGGCATTGCGTATAGGCTCAAAGATTATCAGAAACGTGGGTATCGGGCTGGCGAAACCAGAAGAGAGTGATTGAGTGCTGAGGACTATATTGCAGAAATTTTAGACAGGTAACTGTTTGAAGTGGCTGGTGCTATGTTCTCAACGGCCTTATATATAAACTTCTTTTTGGACCATGAGTATCGAGCGGGTCAAGAGTGACTTTTCTTCCGAGGAAATAATATTGAAATGGTGGCAAAGGAAAAGAGGAAAGTCAAGACCGGGAAAAGAAAATGGACGCTGAGAATGTAGCAAGCATGGGGGCATCGGAAACAGCTTAATTATAATACGACAAGATCGTAGCAGCTGTTACTGTCCTTCACAGGACACCGAAGCTTCCAACACCCGGCAGCCACACCAGGGTGCTACCTAGGAGGGGGGGTGGAAGGGGGGTGGGAAGAATGGCCAGGAAACATTCTCAAGGGTACGAAACAGAGGCTTCAAACCAGGCCAACCTTGGAATAGAGGGAGATTGAAGACATACTCAAAAGAAAGGTTATTCAGCACACTATTAGCTCTGCATTTGTGCCATTCATTGCAGCTGGCGGAACTCGATAAGCTGGCCGCATGCCTCGTCCAAAGGTGACGCCCCGTTTGCCTCAAAGGAAAAAAAATCGAAACTTGTCTCGTGATGACAGTCAAGCCAATAGATAGCCTTGCGGTGCTCACCGAACTGTTCATTGGTAGCTCCATGGTGACACCGTTTCCCCTCTACCGTCCGCGTAGCCGGATATGCATAGTTCGAAAAATCTGCTGGAGGATGAGGCAGATCGGGCGATGTATTAGTCCCGAACCAGTCCGTATGGTTGTGTGCATCCATGCTCGGCGCCTTAGAGTGATAAAAGGTGTCCATAAGGAGCTAGATTAAAATACTGCATTGAAATTTGTCTCAAGCATTGTCGATGCTGGGTTTTGGTCCCAATACTTCGCACTGAGGCAGAAAAAGAAATTGCCTGCGCGAAACCTTCTTAGCTTTGCCGCGCGGACATTATCAAAATATGCAAAAAAGTCGACAAAATAAAACCTCTGAGCTGATAGAGGAGCGAACTTTATTACACAACCTTGGAAGAATAGAGTTACCGCGCCCTGTCAGTCATCTAGCGTACTTCGGGTTTCACCTCGATGTATTCCTCCATCTTTTCTCCAGACGGAACAGGTTTAGATCAAAAGAGCTGCCACTTAGAACCTTCGATCTCTGCATAGAAGACCGGGACGGTGGGGTATTGCCCGTGTATTGCTAAATCTCCGGTTCCATCAATGCAGGATGATGTTGTGCACCCGGTGCATGGTTTTGAGCATATGAAGGCATCTGGCTACTAGAGGATCATTCGAGTAAAGTACAGAGACTACCTTTTCACATAAACGAAACACATCAAACGCAATGATGTCACAGAAGCGATAGAAATCATGATCCTATGTATATTCACGCTATACTTGCCCACGACACCTCCAAATACCACGCAAATGATGCTTAACCATTAAATGACCGTGGCATCGGATCATTTGTGAAACTACCGGATATGAACAATCTGTTGATCACTCCGATTTTTCTCGCTATACACATGACTCTCGTGTCTCAACAATATCAATCACTGAGCACGAACTTTTAGTTGTAAGAAGGAAGAGTGCCCGGGTCGGAGCTGGATTAAGGTGTTTGAGAGCCACTTAACTCGGTACCTGATCTGTCTGTGTGACCCTTCGTACCGAGAGGTAGGAATCCTTTGCACGCTATGATTGGAGTTCAGGCTAGTGGCAAAGGCTCTCGGAGAAAAGATTTCACAGATCTTTCAGAGCAAATGTTTACGGTGGTTGAGAGAGGGACCGATTGGCTGTCAATCTTCAATAACTCCAAGATATACCCTCTGGGGTCTCCTCGTTCCCCAGCCCATGTGCAGGCGATAGAAGACGGAAGCCGTGCTACAGAACAGACATCTATGGATCCCTCCGACGGGTAAGTACATTTACATCGGAACCGATTCCGTTTCATCCACTGCGCTTGAATACCTCTAACAATTTAGCTCCCATATACGTCCACGGGTGGCATATACTCCCGAATTTAACTCATTTTTCATTTCCTTTTTGTAGAATATAGAAATAAATCATTACTCATGTGTACTTGTTCAAGCCTTCACTGAAAGCCACAATGGAAGCGAGCCACCCTCTGGTATCTTGAAGCCGGGTAGTTGCAGTGAACCTTGGAACCACCATCACCGTGTGTACGGACATTGGCCTATTAGATAGTTCTTGCCTTTCACAAAGTCCATAAACTTTACCAAATAATAATTACAGTACCACTGCATCATTGTCTAGGCCCGGTCCCATCCTGTGTTGCCGCCGCGTATTTTTCCTCGGTTTCAAGATAACGATGGCACATCGAGAGTGTAAAGTATCTAGGCCTTCGAAGGTTGTGGGTTCAGAACTATATTAGAGAGAGCTGAACCTCGGCTCATATGGCCATGTGACCGGTGTGTAGTGTGTTGCAACTGTAATATCTGCCGAGTCACAAATGTCACCGAGTGTGTCGGTGACATCTCATGCGAGAATATCAACTTGTACCAGTAGAGCATTCCAGCCCAGGGGAGAGCTAAAAGGCAGTGATACTAATGTCTCCACCTGGGCACATGTCTCTTTTCTTTAGGCGAGCTAGTACATATATACTTCAATTCGTGCGCAACCGTGAGCATTGGAAGGATTAGACTACCAAATTTTCAAGATATCTTATTCAAAAGAGCCGCACAGAAAGCGTCGACAAATAGGTAACACCACGGGTCGTCAATTCGTTCAGACTAGCATGCTAGGAAAATACTATGAAACTATAATGATAAATCAACAAACTTGCATCCCAAAATCAAATCACCAAAAAAAAATCCTAAATGACGCCTGATCCTTCTCTATTCTGGTGCAGCTGTGCAGGGTATCTTTTGAAAACATTTGGGAACTATTTCCCCTCAGAGTTTGAAAATTGTGTGTGCTTGATATCGTCGGATCCCGAAGAAGAGAAGCTAGTTGGGGTACCAGCATCGGGCCCAATGCTTCCCCTTGAGCCCTTTTGTCGAATCGCGAGTCGGGTGCGGGGATGTGAAGGGACGGGAGCAAGGTATTTGTCCAACAACTCGCTCAGAATTGGGGATCGTACTGGTTTTGGAAGGTAATTGTTCATCCCAGCCTCGAGGCATTTCTCTCTGTCGCCTTCAATGGCACTTGCGGTCATGGCGATGACGAGAACCTCATTCACGTTTGGATCAGGATCTCGTCGCAGTTCCCGAGTGGCATTGTATCCATCAAGCGTGGGCATCATGACATCCATCAAAACGACATGGAATGGGTTGCCATCTTTGGACTTTGCACGCAATGCGTCCACGGCTTGTTTGCCATCGCTGTAAGCTTCGCAGTGAAGGCCAAGTCCGTTCACAAATTTGACTGCAATCTTTTGATTAATCGGATTATCTTCAGCAATGCAAACTTTGATTTGGTCACGAGGGATTTGGCTGAGATCTCGCGCCTTGGCCTTGGCCTCTGCTTTGTTGTCCGTCTGGCTTAAATCCTGGGACCAAGCCGCCTTGACCGCTGTCTTCTTGGGCGCTTTATTGAATACCAAGTGGAATGTCACTGTGGTTCCAATGCCGGACTCGGAATCAAGCCAGATGGCACCCCCAAGAACATCTTCAATGATTGCTTTGCAGATACTGAGACCTAGTCCACTGCCGCCGTAGGACCTCTCCGTCGATGGGTCCGCCTGCGAGAAGGGCCGGAACAAGCGTGCTTTTTGCTCCTCGGGAATACCTATACCGGTATCGGACACTGAACATTCTAAGCGAACGCGGCCTTTGCCTTCTCTAGCAACCCTCGCTTTGACTGTGATGGATCCCTTTGGCGTGAACTTGTAACTGTTGCTGAGCAAGTTCATGAATATTTGATGGAGACGAACGGGATCTCCGAGAACGACAAGCTCCGGTGGAACACGCTCCAGATCCTCAATTGTGTCCAGGTCACGTTCTCGGTGGGTATATCGAAGTGCACGAATGACCTCGGAGATTGTCTCCTTAAGGTTGAGCGGGACTGTGGAAATCTTCATCTTCCCAGCTTCCAGCTTGGAGAAGTCGAGAATGTCATTAATGAGAGTAAGTAAAGTGTCCGCGCAGACGCGAATGGACTCCACGTATTCATCCTGCTCTTTGTTGAGCTGGGTGCCCTTGAGAAGCTCAGAAAGGCCAATAACGCCATTCATGGGGGTACGAAGATCGTGAGAGATATTTGCGAGGAAAATGGACTTTGCTCTGGCCGCGTCTTCCTTGAGTTTGACGTTATGTTTGGCCTCGGCTTCAGCCACCTTTGCCTTTTGCTCTGACTCACGGGCTTGTGCGAGGGCGCGCTTTTGAGATTCTATCATAGAAGCGTTCTTGGCACTGACCTTGCGAATCTCACGGAAAAGCAAGGCATTTGATAACGAAATTCCTATCTGGTTGCAAAGCAGGTGCAAAACGACAACATTTCGTTGGGTAAACCAATTTGGCTTTCCCTCCAAATGAATGACACCAAGAAGATGATCTGCCTGGACAATTGGAAGAGCTATGACAGATCGTCCAAGAGGAAAGTTGGCGTGGTAAGCCTCGTTCACGTTGGAAAATCGTTCGTCCTCAAGTACATTGTGGACGAGAACCTCTTCTTTAGTGCGCATGACGTAGTGGGTGATTTCTTCTGCCATGCGGCCCTCGAGCTCAGAGAATGGCCGACCATCTGGATAAGATTTCTGGCCCTTTTCAGCATCTGCAGCTGCGGCAATGGCAAAGCCGTGTTCGTCGAAATCAGTGGCAATGACAGCAAAATCGGACCCGTTGCATGACTCAAGAATGATCTCTAGCATTTTCGTGAAAAGTTTGTCGATCTGGAGTTCCGATGACATGACCTGGCTAGACTCAAGGATGCTGGAGAGGTCTATGATGTCTATATCATTGTTAGTTTGCTGGAAGTTCTCTAGCTCGGGAATTATGCGCTTACCTAGACCGACACTTGAAATATCCATGGACCTCTCGCCTGCCGTGACACCGTTCTGCTCAATCCAACGCTGCCTCCTCTCGTCTTCCTCGATCTGCGAAGGAATGGCAGTCTCCTCTTGAACAACATCACGGGTCATTTCGAGTAGTGAGTCAACTGTTTGGCAGCCAATGTCGACTGTTCTAGCAGATGTGGCGGTTTTGAGAAGCCACTCATGCTTCTCTGCGAGCATTGTAGCCTTCCCACCCGCACCTATAGAGCTCCACGCTGCAATGGCATCTAAAATAACAGATCTAGCAGCTCGTTTTGCACCGCGCCTCACTAAGAACTCTCCCTGCAACTCAAGTGCAAGCGCTTCCTCCAATGGCCATCCGTGGATTTGAGAATGGTCAGTTGCAGCTTCATAAGCTTGGATTGCAGCACTATGGTCGTTTCGGACTTCAGAGATGAGGGCCTCTAGTATCAAGGCCCACATGCCATAATTTGCTTCTGAGGCTGTTCTAGCAAAGTCAATCACCTCCTTGTATCGTAGAACTGTGTCCATTTTGCCGTCGAGATAGCCTTGAGATGGAAAGTCGTTGTGAAGTGTCAAGATTGACACAGCCAAATAGAAATAGATTACATAAGTCACTCGCAAAGACCAAAGCCTGTATGCGGTGTCTAAGAGCTGCGTTCCAACCTGAATGGCTTTGGGATGGTGGCCATATAGACACAGGGGGATCATGGAAAGACCTAAGTAGATATCGCGAGGCCTGTCGACGTTACTGGCATTTGCTTCCAGATAGGTCATGTACGAACTTGTTTTGTGTTCGTCGTCGGACATGACATTGTCAGCCGACCGATAATCTGTTTTGCCTTGCAAGGATCGCGCAACTTGCCTATATTCATAATATTAGCGATGAACTAGGCCAAAAGGAACTTCCAAAATGATACGAACCGAACAGCTAGTATACTAGCGCCACCGCGCGTGTCCTTGCCCCAGAAGGGAACTTCTTCTGGTGTCTCGATACAAAAGACCTCCAGTTGGGCCATGTCTTGTCCGAGATAGAGCCTAGTCATGGCCATTGACGAGATGCTCACAAGAGTGATATACGGGTCGCCCATTGAGAAGCAAGCTTCGAGCGAGGCTTCAACGGCCGGCAAGGTTGATGCCATAGAGACTCGCAGGTGACTAACATAAAGGTTATGAACGATGGAACCTCGGCTCTGGGTCCAGAGCTCAGAAGAGCGCTCAAGCAATGAGAGAGAAAGATCGCTAAGTTTGGCGCCAAAGTCAAGGTCCCGGAAGCGGCTCAAGGCGATCATGGCAAGATGTGAACAGCCGATAGAGATTTGAGTGAATCCCCCTCTGAAAATATGAATGTTCATCATTTCAATGGCCATTCGGTAGAAGGTTAAAGCATCATCCCAATACGTGACGGCCATTGCCTCGGACATGACAGCTCCTATCGTTACCAAATTAGAATCCTTGCTGAGTGGCTTCTGCGAGATCGCATCAAAGTCTGCAGATTGGAGATACAACTTGAGTCTGTGGTAGGCAGCATCGCACTCTTCGTATGAGGTCGGTGCACGGAGGTGAACTCCAAGCTCATCCAGGCAACTAAGTAGCGATTCCATCGACCGAGGATGATCTCCCAATTGAGCGAATATTTTGGCTTTGATTACCCAAGCCCTTGACTTGCTCACGGCATCCTTGCCGTGGCCAAAAACAGCGTCGATCAATGTAAGGGCATCGTTATTTTGACCTTGAGACCACGCCATTTCCGCTGTCGCGATGAAGAGACGCATGGTTTCGTCGTAGTAAACGTCAATCTGACGGGCATCCCAAGGGTCATTTTGAAGAAGGGCAATACAGTGGCGGAAATACCAGAGAGCAGTGGGTCGGGCTCCGGACTGCGCGGCTGTCTGGCCAGCTTCCCATAAGATTCGTCGGTAATCAACTCTTCGCCCAACTCGGGATTTGATGGTTCGTGAGGCGAGTGCCACGTGATGGGCCATTGAATACAGACTTCGAGAGTCATGATAGTATTTCATCAGAGTCTGGGAAATGATGAAGTGCATCTTCTCGACGCTTCGGCTCTCGCCCAAGAAGAGAGAGCAGCCTGTGCAAGGCGATCATTGCCAAACTTGAACTCATCATCGGTTCTGCCCGTGTTCAGAAGGTTCGCCTGAACCAGGTACTGTAGACCAACAACGATATCACCTTCCGACTGTCTCATCAACATGGAATTTCGCGGACATGTGAGATCAATCTCTCCGTCGTCGTCATCCGAGTAAAAGAGAAACTCGCTTGTCAGAAGTTTTTGGACCAGCGAGAATGAAAATGGACTTCCTAGGAGAGCACCCCAAACCATTATTGATCGTGCAGCAGATGGGATCTCCTGCAGGCGTTTAGTGAGGAAGCCTAATCCGAGGCCTTCGCCATAGACAGGGGCTACAAATTCCGTAAAAATCCTATCGAGATCGAATAGCCACTGCGAGTCCTTCCAAGAATACCAAAGACAGTTCTTCCGATAGCAAGTTTCAAGCATCACTCTTACATAGAAGGGATTTCCTCGGCTTTTTTCCTGAATGACAGCAGTGAGTGGAGTGAGTGTCGAATTGGGCTCTTGATGCATTGTGGCAGCAATAAACTCCGTGATCTCGCCTTCTCCAAGTGGTTGGAGATCAATGCGGGTAACGTTAGAGCTTTCCATCTCGAATAGAGTTTTCACTTGCTCGGAAGCAATTTCATCCTTGCGACTTGTGAGGATAAGTACACAGGACAACTTGGCCCTAATAATGTTCAAAACGAGTTCCAGGGTCTCGTCGTCTGCATACTCGAGATCATCCAAGCACACAGTTATGAGCCTGTACTGACAAATTGTTCTCATAATATCCAAGAAGATATCCATGAGGCGCATATTGTTTGATGCTGCATTTGACAGAAAGAAATCTACTGATGATTGGCCCTGGTCAAGCCAGGGAATATGGATATGCTTAGCTGGTTCGCCCTTAGTTGGGTCAAGCTTAGGTTGGGAGCTGGCGGCAGTCCGCAGTGACGATGGCTTGTACTTCACACCAGGCGACATGAGTTGTTCGGGTAGGTCTAACACTCTGTGAAGTGTAGGCCATATTGGACGCAGAGCCGCTCGGATACTATTGTGATATTCGGTCGTGACATCCCTCTCGGAAAATATTTGACGCAAGAGACTAGCAAGAATCTTGGCAAAGGGCTCAAACGGGACTCGTTTCGCACGGTCAAGTCTTGATATTGCGATAAACCCAATTTTACGGATGATTGGCTGAACCCGATTCAGAAGGTCTGTTTTTCCAATGCCGGCAGCGCCATTGATTGTTATCACTTCACATCGTCCATTTTGGCGAATCTTTGCGGAACTCTTCTGCTTTGCTAGAGAGCTCAGAGAGTCTGGTTGACTGAAGGCATTGGTTGAATGCTGGCTGTTGCTACCGGTGTGAATCGACGGATGGCTCTCTCTATCGGTGTTGTGAGAGGATCGAGAGAGAGAAGGGCTTTTGGTTTTGCTGTACAATGAATTCAGAGGTATTTCTTGGCTGGTTGGGATTGGCCCAGATTTGGGTGTCGATGAGCCCGCATCAGTGGTAACAGTTGATTCATGAGTGCCGACATGGGCTAGATGATAACTTGTCGCATTAGAACTCGTCCGAGGAGGTAGGTGGAATGATCCAGAGTCACTGGACATAGAGGCAAACTCAAAGCTGTCAACACGGCCGTCCGAAATGGACGATGTCGAAGCTAGTGCATGCGCAGTTCCTGGGCTTTGTGAGGACGCTTTGGCGAGAGCAGATGATTGGCGCTTCTTGACTTTGTCAATCACGCTGCAGATAAGTTCGTACTCTCTCTGTCGACCAAACATTCGTGATGGAAGGGTGAAAAATGAGGAGACATCCTGCTGTGCAATCTGAAAGCTATTCAAAGCTTCGCCATCGCCATCGCCTAGCAATTGTGCGATCTGCATCAAATCTTTCTTGGCGGATGAAATTGTGTGGTAACGATCATGTGCCACTTTTTGTGTCATTTTCTGGATCACGGCCGAAAGCGCATCGGGAACGTCCATTCTCTTGGAAGAGATGGGTGTCAACTTCTTGCCCAGTACATTTTGAACAACGTCCATAGGATCCGTGCCCTCAAACGGTAATTTTCCAACCAACATAGACCAAAAGAAAAGGCCCAGGGCGTAGATATCTGTGCGACTGTCCGGTTCCGTGGGCATTCTGCCTGTCTGTTCAGGTGCAATGAATTGCAGCTTGTATTTGGCACCAAGCTCTCGGGAAACCGAGGACCAACCTTCGCTGAGAACATTGTCAAATGAGCGTGCACCGTTGCCGATATTTGAGAGCTTGACAGTCCCGGTTTCGGCGCAAAAGTGAAACGCATCACCACGAATCTCTCCGTGTACCGTCTTCATCCCATAGTGCAGTATCTCTAGACAATCACAAGCACCAACTGCAAAATCTAAAAAAGCGGACAGGTCGACCTGTTCGTTGGGGGTTGTGTTATTGTCGCCTCTTGCCCCAGCCACAAATGATGCTGGGCCGAAGGTGACTATATCTCGCAACATGTCATGGCCGGGATGCTCAAAAATAGCCACAAGGAGTGTCGAGTTGTCGCCAGAACCCGGGGGTAGTCTTATAAGGTCAATAGGCCGTACAGTATGGTTGCATTCAGGGTCCGAGGATTGTACGATCGATCTCAACATATGAAATTCGCGTTCCAGTCGCACTACGTTGGTAGAGATGCGCGCAACAACTGGAATCCATATTTGCTCCTGGTCGCCTCGGGAGAGAGACAGCTCACTGCTAGTTTCACTGACGCTGTGACGCCGGTTGAGGGTGCGGGCGGCCAAGCGAAGGTCGATACGTGGGGAATTGCGAGTGAGGCTAGATGGGCCGGACGAAGCGGGGCCAGAAGAGGTCGCGACCGGGGTAGAGAGATCTGCTTCAATAGCATGGCGGAATCCAGTGATGTGCCAGTGATTATAGGTCGAGTGAAAGGGCTCCACCGACTGGTCCCAGGTGAAGCCCGGCAGCTGGCTAAGACGGTCGAAAAGCCGGGCTGGCGGAAGCGGCAAGTCTTCGCTCAGATAATTGCTTTCCTCCATCGCCAGATCAGTAAAGTTCCCACTGCCCGAGCGACCATGGGCAGGACTCATCGGGTCCGGGAAAGGAGAGATCGAAGGTTTCAGGCAACGAGAGGCCGCGGTGGGATGGACATGAAGGCTGGGAGGCACGTGTGAGGAGGGGAAATTCAATTCTCTGGTTGTGATTGAGTGTTATAGCGATGTAAGGTTGAAGGACGACTGACGACCACCACAAGCCACTGACAGCTGATCAGTGATCAGTGATCATTCTGAGTGACCTCTACCAACGCGGGCACTGCAGGGCATGTGCGGAAAATCTATTCTTCCGGTGGGCCCAGATCGAGGGCAGACGGGTACTACTAACTACGTAGTAGTTAGTTATAGTTAGTTAGTACTAGGACTACTGGTACTAGTCGATAGTAGTTACTAGTAACTAGTTAGAAAATTGAAATTGGAATAGTCATTGTAACAACTCGAAACTTCCAGGTTGCTCGTGTCTTGATTACGCCTCTCTAGGACTTGCGGAAGAACAGAGTACTAGTATATTTCCAGTTCTCGTTCCATTTCCCACTTGAAGTAAATGACATTAGCCACCTGCCAGTGGCTGGTGGGAGAGCCATTGTCAAGGTCACCTAGGTAAGCCTGGCACCTGAGGCAACCTTTTCAAGTCAGTAGTACAGGGTTCAAAATTGTTATAACTTATATACTCCAGGGGCCAGGGCTCCAGGGCTCTAGAGCTTCTCTAGGCGTGGTCCGGCTGCGGAGAAACCTTGGAACCGTGGGTACCAGGAATAGTACTGGTAGTACTGCCTTCTTACTTTACTTATACCCTTTACTTGCAGGCTATGCCAGATGATGGTGACCGACCAGGGACCGTCTGCTAATCGGATGACCCGGTGCCCTGATCGCGCAGGACTGGGGCATTCATCTCTGGGACCAAGTCGGTTGCGCTGCAAAAAAGGGGGCAGGCGCCGCAGACCCATCCCAGGGCGCGATCCTATTCGAGCCGGGCGCCACCAGTGGGCGATCACTCTCGTTTACGGTTTCCAAAGGGGCCGCTCCCCCAGAGTCCGAATTACCCTAGTTTTCTAGAACAACCGCTAAGGCGACTATCGCTGCACCACGACGTAGCTAATTTTGGGATTGATCACCAAGGGAGAGAGGACTCGGACTAGGTGATAGAAAGGTCTAGACCAAGGCGAGGAATTCCAGTACCCTCTGTACCCTTTGCTCTGCCTGTGCGAAGACTGTACATTTGTACTGTCCAGTAAGAAGTAGACCATGACGTAGCAGGTTGGCTGGTGAACCGTGTGACTACGAGTCGTGTGTACATACGAGAAAAGTCACTGGCAGTCGGACTCTCGCTAGGTAGGGCGGGGTCCACCAGGGGTAAGTGAACTGTCAGGCGTCAGCAGTACCATCCTAGTGAAGGCAGACTGGAGACTAGGACTGCCTTATCATTTGGACTGGCAAGTCTTCGATACTCGCTGCAGACTGTGGGTGGGCGTGGTCAGCGATCGATCGTAGGTACCTGGTACCCGACCAGGGGCTGAAAGAGGAATGGAGGAAGGGAGGAAGAGAAGAAGGGGATAATGTAATATAAGTCTACTCAGTACTCGTCAGTCCTCACTAGGACTATTATACTAACTATACTATACTACTACGAGTAGTATACTAAGTCAGCGGTGACGAAGGTTTATAATAAACAGGCCCACTACGTCATGGAATCCACTTGGTTCTCAGCGCCTTCAACCTTCAACCCACTTAACGCCCACCCTGGGCGATCCAAGCAAAATGGGCGGGTACTGACGCCAGTTCGAACTCCTCTCCTCTGCTCTCTCCTCTTTCTTTCCCCTCCCCCAAATGACTGGATGACTGGTCAACCACACCGTGACCATCCTTCCCTCTCCTCCCATACTACTACTCTACACCAATAATCTACAGAGTACTAGTTATCTCTCCCCACTCCACTCTGCCTTCTTCTCTCCTCCGCCCCCCCCCCAAATAACCCTACACCCACATCGTTCCTATCCCCTGGTCTCCAACATCAAAACCTTATTCCTTACCCAGTCTCGGATTCTAAATCGACCTGACGACACTTCGACTCTCTGACTCCCTTTCCTTGCTTTTCGCCAGCCGTTTTCCTGTCCGAGCTTTTGTTTCCTCCGATCCGACACATACGCACTCAACGCACTTAACTCACTCACTCACTCCCACGGTGTTGACACACCCTCTCTCTTCCCCTTCCATCCCCGGTTCATTGTGACCGAAGAATGATCATCCGAGTTCTGAGCTTGCTCATTGTCGCCCAGGCGTACTGATTTTCTCTTCAACCGGAGGAGTGAGAGAATGGGGGACGTGCATAGCAGGAGAACTCCTCCATTTCCTTCTCCAACCGAGACCGTCTCACCCGTCGCCATCCCACCGCCTCATAATTTGCATGTATCGCGATCACCCTCGACATACCGACACTCCTACGAACCTGAATATGTGACTGGAATCTCGTTAGATGGGCTGCCCCGTGGCGTGGATACATCGCTGAAGGAGCCGGCCCAAAAACCTCATTTCTCGCGTGGAGATTCGGCTGAGCAGGTGGCGGGGTTGACACCGGCCACACAAGATCATCAGGTTGCAAGTGACCGGCCGGAAGACCAGGGCCGTTCATCCCAAACTTTAAAGGAGCTGCGTAGACAAATGGAGGAGCTGCTTGTTTATCAACAGATGCAGCAAAGTCAGAATCAGCACTCTCCCTCGACACAAATTGGACAACCTTCTCCACCTCCGAACGAAACCCCTCGAAAACGCCGTCTGTCAAACAAGTCCCCTGCAGAGATACCGGTCACAATAGTGCAACCTTCCTCTGGATCCCAAGGTTCCGGGGGCACAATAATAGGCGTCGATAACTCTCTTTCTGCCGATCAAGTCGCGACTCAAACCCCATCATATCCCTTCCCGCGTGAACATAACCAGGCCAAACCATCAAAAGCAGCCATGGAAAAAACAGGACCCCAGGGCCAATTTAGGTTGAAGTTTCCTGCTGACAGGCTCCGTGCCTCACCCGCAACCCAAGCACCGGATGGAATACCAACGTTGCCGAAGGTGCCAGGTCAACGGCCGAACTTTTTCCCACCACTTGATGATACTCCCGCCGAGGACGCAGAAGTCGCGACGCCCAACCTTTACGACCTCACTTTGAAATTGAATGCAGACCCGGGGCTTGAGGCATGGTGGACAAACCTCATTGAAATCTTCCAGACGCACTATGGAGCGGAACGTGTCACGCTGGCTATCCCTGGGGATGCGACGGACCTGGAGAATGTACCATGGGGACAAAAGGCAATTTTCAATGGACATGTGGAGGCGGCCACGAACAATGGCCAGATCCCTTCCCACCAAGTTGACTCTGCCCCCGAAACTACGAGCTCCCGTACAATGAATAGTGATGAATTGGGGCATAGACAAGAAAAGGACCCGGCTCCCAAGCCTAGGACCCCTGGGACTGCTCCACCGATGGTTCGACCGGCTTTAGAATCGCGTCATTCTTTTGCCGGATTCCCCCAGAGCAAGAAACACCGCGCAATCGAGATAGATCGACATCAGCATCTGCCGAAGCCAAACGCAATCAAGCGCGAGAAAAAGCACGCTCGGATTTCCGAGCAGCCAGATCTTGCTGGCAGTCACATTGATTCTAAGGATTCACCAAGAAATTCACTCGATCCAATTCGACAAGCTGTTTTCCCGATCCCGAGACCACTAGAGAACGAGCCTGATCCACTTATCAAGCGCACCGGAGTTGTCAAACTTTTTGGTCGAAGCAATCCTATCGTTCTTACTCGTGAATACACGGAAAATGAACCTACGCGCGTTTCACAACCATCAGACAGGGTCGCTCGGAGTCCATTAGAAACCGTGCAGGTCACACCCGCCGCCGAAGGCCCTGGTGAACCCCAGCCTATTGTTGGAAAGCAGAAGAGCCTCATCGCTCCTAATTTGCGAGAATTCGACGAATACGAGCAAATACCACAATCTCCATGGTCTCAGTCGCCTGCACCATCACCTGCCCCGCGAACACATGCAGACTCCAATCCTTTCTTTAGTAGCCATTCGGTCGACGAAATGGCCTTTGCAAAGGACCCTCCGGAGCACGACTATTCCAATATACAGCCCCTGGAGGCCATTGGAATTGATTACTCGAAGACGGTGGTCCACATTCCTTTACTTCATGGCGGCCAATCCAATCATGGCTCTTCGTCAACTTTGAGATTCCCCGTTGCCATCGTGTCACTGCTGTCAACAATAGTGCCTTATCCATCTAATCTACGGCAATCCCTGGTTCTCCTGATGCCACACCTCACAACATCGTTCTGCCTGGCTCAACAATACAGTCAGCTCGAAACGTCAGATAACCTCCAAAGTGGAAGCACCGCGATACGGACATCTATTGGGACTAGGTGGAACCTTTTCCGATGCGAGCAGCGAGCTAGAACTCGTGGCGGGTCTCAGTGGTCATGTCGGCTATTCTGTCGGCGACGAGAGTTCCATGTCTGCCGGAGCTAGTATGACTAGTCCCAGCGATCGCTCGTCAACGAAGTATAGCCCTGTGGTCTCCAATATGGGGACGCCAGGCTTTGACCTTGGTCAGGTTGGATTATGTTCGAGCAATCAGTCTCCGGCTTTGCGCTCTAGTGATATCTCAGATGGTTATTTCAACGTTCAAAATCAGCAGTCCAAGGTACCACGCGACAATATCTCACAGCAACGTCACCGTCTCTCCAAGTCAACTGTCAATACGGACTATACAGAGAGAATGACCGGGAAAGCTACCACGGGCGAAGAAAACAATCCACATGACCCCAACACCAATGTCTCGCCTTTAACTGAAATGCGGCCACCCTCGGCCTTTTCCCCGACCCAGCCGCCGTCTCGCCAGGCGTCGACGAATTCCTTCTACACCCAGCTGCAGCGCGATTTAACCCGACAAATTCCTGACACCATCGCCCAGCTAATGCTCAACTCTGTTCCCCTTCATCTTTTTCTAGCTAAGCCTCAAAGCGGTGAAATGATATGGACAAATACTAAATTCGACGCATACCGAAGAAGCAAACCGCAGGAACAGAAACTTCGAGATCCATGGCAAAATATCCATAATAGCGAAAGGGATCATGTGTCGAGTGAATGGGCCAATGCGTTGCGAACTGGATCGCAATTTACTGAAAGAGTACGCGTGCGAAGGTTCAATGACGAAACCGCCTATCGTTGGTTCATCTTTCGGGCCAACCCGCTGTTATCAGCAACGGGAGAGGTTTTGTACTGGATTGGTTCTTTTCTTGACATCCATGAACAGCATATCTCTGAGCTCAAGGCCACCCAAGAAAGAGAAAAGTTCGCGACCGATGCGAAATACCGCGCATTTTCGAATTCGATTCCACAGGTCGTTTTCGAGGCAACCGAGAATCGCGGACTCATCTTCGTTAACGAGCAATGGAATCTTTATACCGGCCAAAGTCTAGCAGAGGCTCTTGATCTTGGATTTGCCAAGCATGTTCACCCCGATGATCTCGAAAAATGCGGTGGAATCTCTTCCCAGACAACATCAAGGCATAATGATACGAACAAGTCTGCGCCTGCAGATTCTGGCTTGGAAACCCATGGTGTCTCATCTGCCCTTGACGAGTTGGTGAAGCGTGGCGTGGCATCCCTACAGAAGGATGAAAACGGCCGTGTCTTTTACTCGACGGAGATTCGTCTTCGATCTCGGGGAGGGGATTTCCGTTGGCATCTAGTTCGTCTGGTATGCGTCGAGACTAGCAGCTTTGGTAGCGAAGAGGCTTCTTGGTATGGCACATGCACCGACATCAATGACCGGAAGAACCTTGAGCGGGAACTCAACAAAGCAATGAGCCAACTGAACAATCAAATGGAGTCCAAGACTAAGTTCTTCAGCAATATGTCCCACGAGATTAGGACTCCCCTGAACGGAATCTTGGGCACCATTCCATTCATTCTCGACACCCAGCTTGACAGTGACCAAAGGCGAATGCTCGATACAATCCAGAATAGCTCCACTAATCTCCGCGAACTTGTGGACAATATTTTAGATGTATCTCGCGTGGAGGCGGGTAAGATGTCTATGGTGAACTCTTGGTTCCATGTCCGGTCCATGATCGAGGACGTAATCGACACAATCGCTTCCCGGGCAATCGACAAAGGTCTCGAGATAAACTATCTAATGGAAGCCGACGTCCCTGCCATGATGATTGGTGATCGATTCCGTATTCGTCAGGTCCTGATCAATCTCGTCGGCAACGCGGTCAAGTTCACTTCACAGGGCGAGGTCTATATTTGCTGCAGTCTCCATCGCGACAAATCTGTTAATCTCAAAGAAACCGAGGCCCTTTTGAACTTCGATGTCATTGATACTGGCAAAGGATTTAGTTCGAAGGATGCGGAGCGGCTGATGCAGCGATTCAGTCAGCTGGGAGAGAGTGGGTCACAACAGAATGCCGGCAGTGGCTTAGGTTTATTCCTCTCTAAACAGTTGGTTGAAATGCATGGCGGAAGCCTCACGCCGAGCAGTAAAGAAGGCCAAGGTGCGAGGTTCTCCTTCAATGTCAGAGTGGATGCACCCCTCCTCCTTCGCCATCTGAGAGACCCCAACTGCTTCGCCAGGCCTCCACTGCTTCTAGGAGACCTGTGGGATCCAGGACTACGTCGTACGATCGATCCTCTCTCCAAATACCGAAGAGCTTCGAACCCAAGCTTCAGGACCCCACAGCTCTATCACCAGATCCCGATTCGCCGATACCCCAGTCGCCCATCGATAGCAGTGGGCTGGGCCCTCCTTCTGCTATGTCCTCAGCACTTCAGACTCCGGATGTCTCAACTGCACACATGCCACATCAATTCGGCCAAGAACACAAACCAAAAGCAAGCACGGCGAATTCTCCCCCGCTAGGTATTTCCGACGCACCTGCACGTCAAACTCCGTCGCCTTCTCAAGGTGCCTCGTTTCCCGGCTCGCTACCTGCGAGCTCTCCAGGAGTTCCCTCGCAAGGTCCTTTCTCTGTCGTCATCTTGTGTCCGCTCGACAATACCCGGAAAGCCACCCAGCAGCACATCGAGAAGGTCGTTCCGCATGAGATTCAATTCACCATTACTACATTCTCTGATGTGGATGAGTTGAAGGACATAACGCAAAGTCAAGATGCGAAGTGCACCCATCTGGTTTTGAATTTGCCCGCGACCGACGACATCTTGGAAGTAATCCAGCACGTCTCAGAAATTGATGCAAACACAGCACCCGTGGTAGTCATTATTTCTGACTTGTACCAGAAGCGTCAAATCAGTACTCGCGTCAAAGAATTGGCAGCTACTGGCAAACAGGTGTTTATCGTGCCGAAGCCTGTTAAGCCTTCTGCTTTCTCCACCATATTTGACCCTGATAGCAAGCGCGAACTGAGCAAAGATCGCAACCAAGACATGGCGCGAGAGATCAACAATAACTTCAAGACCGTGTCGAAGATGGTTAAGGAAGTCCTTGGTAACAAAGGTTACCGCATCCTGCTTGTCGAAGACGACGAGACCAATCGTGATGTACGTATCAAAGCAAACTACCCAAAACAAACATCTGGAAGTTTACTAATTTTCTGATAGGTGATGCTGAAGTATCTTGACAAGATCAAGCTCATGTCGGAAACGGCTTCCAACGGCCAGGAATGTACAGACATGGTCCTTTCCAAAGAACCAGGCTACTACTCTCTTATAATTGTTAGTCAACTCAGTGGTCTGCCTATAAATAGGACTGGGATCACAAACAGTACTAACCTTTGGCATTCTCAGTGTGACATCCAAATGCCGATCAAGAACGGCTACGATACCTGTCGAGAAATTCGGGAATGGGAGCAGAAGAACCATTATCCCCAGATCCCGATCATGGCCTTGTCAGCCAACGCGATGACCGATCAGATCGAGAATGCCGCACAAGCGGGCTTCAACGACTATGTCACCAAGCCCATCAAGCACAATGAGCTTGGCAAGATGATGATGGGCCTTCTCGATACCAACAAACCGTTATTGCTTCTTCGCGACCGCCTCCACCCAGGGAGTGACAAAACTGCATCTGCCCGGCGTTGATGCTTCACCCTTCATTGGTGGCCGCCTTTTCCAACATGGCGTTTTTATACAAATTCCGCTCGATAGTTCCCACAATCTTTGCATATTTTTCGCATTTTATCGCCAGCACATGATTAAGCGGATACCTCCTTTTTGCATGACTTGTTTGCTCTTCGAACTCGTTTTGGCGAGTACAGCGTGGCAGCAAGGAGATGTGAACTCTTTTGATGAGGTTTACACCAGAATTTGATTCCAACTTTACTTGCCTTTTACCCTGCGCATCTCTTCTCACACCACCCTTTTTCCAATTCTCTAAGAGGCTAGAAGGTTTTGTGCATTGTCTGCATTTGCATTGGGAATTGAGCATTTATCACCATCCTACAGCATATCCATTGGGTCGCCAGACGCCACTGTATTATTTGATTTTTCCTTCCTTTTCTGTGTGGGTTTGCTTTCGACTCTGAGCGCTTGGCGTCAGTGCTGGGATACGGCCTTTGCCCTTTTCTATTTTATTCACCCCTTTAAGCCTTGTGTTGTTTCCTTTTCCACGTGATACCAGATTACGAGCGCGCAACGACACCTTTCTATCTTCTTAATCTGTATTTATCATTAACTTTAACCTCACCGTCATTTCTATCTTGCTCCTAATTTTGTCTACGCCAAGCCCTGGAGGAGGACCGTTCCCAATTAATAAAAAAAGCCGATGACATTATCATTTCAGTGTGATTATTTCTACTATTCTACTAGTATGATTTCAAGTTGTTATTGATTTCCTTGGCTCCAGCCCTGGGAGGACAGTCATCAACTTGAAGTGGCTTTGGGTTTTAGCCATCGAGCCCTTCCCTAGAAACAGAGTTAGATCAAGATGAAGTTTCGGTCTGACAAACCCAAGTTTAACAGGGTTGGTGACAGTCAAGGTTTCGATCAAACGCCATCAAAAACATAACAGGAGTCATCAAGGGGGGGCTTTAGTATGTATGCAAGGCATAAAGCAAAAGGACCTCGGCATGATGAATCACCAGGCTGATAGTAGAAGCCAATCGGAAGGGTATCCTCATCCGGAGGTTCATCGAAATTGATTCTGTGCAAAGTAAGATAAGAAGCGAAAGTTAGTTTTAAGTGCTTTACGAGCTCGAAAATGTCGAAAATGTCGACAACCAAGGGCATTGTTGATATTGAAAGACCGGCCGTGGATATCCGACAACAGCCATATATACTGGTTGAGACCGACAGCAAACACAGGCCCTGCTGCACATTCAGCAGATCATGCCTGGGGCAGCAGAGGGAGAAGGAGGGTAAAAAATTGAACCATGGCCCAAAAAGGGAAAGAAGTGTGAGCTGGCCATTGCCAATCATCCAGTCATGGCGCTGCATGTGGCGGTGAAGGAAGCGTCGAGAGCAAAAAAATCCCCGCCTCAACCCCACTCTAAGTGCTGGCAAATTATTTAGGCCGGAGTTTGCTGCGATCATCGGAAATTTGGGGGCTGACCCAGTTTGACTGTCAATCAAGAAAGGGTAATAGTATGAGTTGATGGTCACCCTTCCCAGACGGCGACATCTATACAACTGATTCCAAAACGGGTAACATTGAATTGGTGGGGAGGAGAGCGTTGTCTAGAATCCCTCGGACCGAAATAGAGGGCTCGTGTAACGCATGTAACTGTAACTGAGTTAGTAAGTTGACCGCATGCATGTAAAATCGGGTAAAAGGACAAGTTCATTGCAATGGTCGGGGTGTGTGCGTTGGGAAGTTTGTAGATTGAGGATGGGGGCACAAAGTGTGTAGGCCATGGGTTGAGTTTCCCGAGAACCAGAACATGGAGGTTCAAGGAGGGGCGGATCGCATCTCGGTGAGTGACCGGGGAGGCTGGGGCTATGACGACGAGAATGGCGGAAGAGCTATCCTATTTGCAATGCCCGATATTGGCGTGCGCTGCGCGTCATTGCTGCGCTGTGCTGCCCGATGTCTTCCCCGGTATTTCTTGCGGAGGAGGGAACAGAGGCGACGGATGGGAACCCAATTTTGGGTGAAGTACATTATTTGGCGTAGTATCCCTGATCAACTTGGAGATGAGAAATTAAATGGAGGAGGGTGGTGTCACGGTGTAATTCGACCATGGAATGCGTGTCGACGGGGCATATCGTGTCTCGTCAGGCTGTAAGGCATGCATAAAGTCCAAGGCCAAGGCGCCGGGTGCAGAAGTGAGGCATCGACGGACATCATGTACTGTAGAGAGGAGGAAAATTATCAGGTGGTATTCAGGTTACTCCTTCTCTGCTCGGTATGGTCCCAATGGGTGCCCGGCGGCGAAGGGGCCCAGAAGAGGACTCTCGGAACCGGCATGCTTTTTCTGTCAGCAGGCAATCAGGGACCAATGATGAGAAAGCGGTCGTCTTGTCTTTTTTTCTTTCACGAATTGCATTGCCGACGGCCTGCAGAGATGGTCTTCCTTTGCATGGATTTGGGGACAAGCAAGTCATTCAAGCATGTATGCAGATAAAGGCGGGGACAATGCTGCTTTCTACGCCATCACGGCGTCTAGAGCGCTTGTCTGTGTTGCATCACTCTCGTCTTCGCCATATGTGCCACTAATGGATCGATGCGAGGCATTTTCGTTCTGACAGCCGCATCGAAAGCGGGCAAACGGAGGAGCAGGGATCAGCGTATTCAGGCTATCTTTGCGTCCATGGGCTGATTTTGTCGACCTAATCCGACCACACGGTGGTCACACAAGTCTTCTTTTCCTTTCCCCTTTTGCTCCTTTTGATCCCATGGCTCCTAGGGTGACTCTTGCTCAAGACTTACGTCTAGATGGCTTGATGACCCACAGACCCGTCGGCCCAGACGTGGGATACCTTCGAATCATTACTGGGTTCTCCACGGTTCGTTCGTTCGCGCCCTGCAGTGATGTCCAACTTCACTGATCTTCATCCCGTGTGACCTTCCCCCTTGGATTTTGCTGCCCGGCAGAGGTCTTGTTTTTGAGTTGATATTTTGGTTGTTTGAGTTCCAAATGATGTCAGGCCGTGAGACATCGTCTTGTTTCGTTGCCGCCTCCCTGCTACCGAAGAGAAAGAATCGGAAGAAACGTCGCCGGCTCAAGCATTGGCAGATTCGCGCGCGAGAAGCCACCGTTCCCTGTATCCATTATTGGGGTATGTCGGCACAGCGCGAAGATGATAATGGTTACCTATTCACTGTATTAACCAAACCGCACGAAGTATACAGATGGATAGAGAACACAGAATTGGATGTCATACGGGTTTGCTCTGTAGTTCGCAGCTCGTCATCAGCCTCACCCGGTGCGCAACTCAAACCGGACCCTCCATCCCATATCCGAATCCCCAGCCACCGAATTTCAAAAAATACAATGGGAAAATGAGGGGCAGTGTAGTAGCATGGGGGGCATACGGGAGCGAAGAAGGCAAGAAAAAAAAGGAAAAGATCGGGGAACGAAATGGGCACAAGGCTCATTTTTATACTTCCCCCCGGCCCATATTCCCTCTCCACCCAACCCAGGGTATTCCCACCCTCCACACACCCCTCCAATTCCACTTTTCTCACCCAAATTCTTTCCTGTTTTTCATCCGATTCCGCTCGGGCCCAGAAAGCAAACAGACTTTGGGGAGGGGCCGCGTAGACCAAGACCGATGATCCGGTGGGAGGGGCGGGACAGCGGAAGCCTTAGTGGAGGATGGCTGGTATCCCACCAGACACATTGCTTCGATTCCCACCCCGAGCGGGGTTAGAGCGGTCCAAGAGGCGAATCGGCGGGCAGACACGGAGGAAGAGGTGCAGCCGAAGAGAGGGCTTGGAGTTTATGGTGCGAGGGCTGCGAAATGGCCCAATGGCTCCGTCCAGACCCAGCCCATCCTTGCTCTCTTACCTTTGCCTTCTTCGTCTCAAATGGACCCCGCCGGATGGAAGACTTTCCGCCGATGGCTATAAAATCCCTCGTCTTGTCCGGTGGGCCTGGTTCCTCTTCTTCTTCCTTATCCATCCCTCCTAGCTGGCCCCGTTTGCACAGTCTAACCTCAGACCTTCCAGGTCCTTCTATATTGCTGCACCTACCCTGACCAAAGAGCATCTCTCCCACTTGCATATCATTGTCTTGTCTTGTTGAGACATACCTGTCGTCCCAGGCTTCCAATAAAAACAACAATAACAACATTCAGCCACCATGGCTACTCAACGTCACTACTATCAGCCCTCTGCTCGTGCCATGAACATGCCATCCAAGGCTCCCGCGCCAGCGAGCATGTACCCGATTTCTAGAGTTCCAGGCTCACCACCTGACTACTCCGATGCGAGTACTACAGCTTGCAGCCGCACCTCTGGCGGACTCACATTCAGCTCCGCCGGCGCCAGCGGCGATTATGAGACCAGCCCCGCGTCATACTCGGGCGTTGACGTCGTTGACGTTTTGAATGACCGTATGCAACATTCGTTCGACCCGACGCCATTGGATCGAGGCCTGGCGAAACAAGCGCAAACGTGAGTATTCACTCTCCAAGCGCAAGATCCCTTGAATTCCGCGGCTCGCCATTTCCGATGACGAAAGGCATTGCCGCGGTTGATTTCAGGATGAACTTGAAATCCGAGAGTTTGAAAACTGACCGCTATGCATGAAATAGCTCCGGCCATCTGAACGCTAAGCAGCAAGAGCTTTTGGAGCTGCAAGCCCTAGCTCAGCGACGTTTGAAGGGCGTCCGCGCCAACTTCAACGAGGGACTCAAAACCGCACGCGAGACAAAGCGCGATTTGGAATGGACTCAAAAGCGCGTCAGGTAAGAGCACAAATCTATTTCCCAAGACCTCTTGGACGACCCCTGAGGTGGACGTTGCAAGTTCCGCCCCGCTCCGCGGCCAGGGGTGATAGCCTCCGCTCCGCCGGGGCAGTGCTTGGCACGTGCGCCGTTGTGATGATCGACGCGCCAGCTAGCGGCCACATGCGTGTTCTAGAAGGCTGACAGAAGCTTGTGTTGCGCAGTGCTCTGAAAGGAAAGGCCGAGAAGGCCCACCCAGATGAATACCGTCGGGCATCGAAGAAGTATACCTTTGATGATTACTGAACGAGAGCCCAAGATACCCCCGCCGGGTCCACCAGCCTGGCCGTGGGTGGTTCAACCTTCTTTTCGCTTAATCTAACGACTATAATGACTTCGGACAAAATCGGGATCTTTGGATTTGGGACGGTTTAATTTGATTTTTTTTTGCTGGTTTGGGTTTGGTGTGTGTGCTTGGGACCTCGGGACTCTGTATATCTTTCATTGAGTGCGTGCGTGGCCGTTTTACTGCGTATATTAAGGCCTATTGTGGCGTGGGATGCTTGCCAGTGTTTTTTCGTACTCGTATTTACTATCTGTAAGAATGAAAGCTTCTAGCCATTCATTAGCTAGAATCCTCCGAGATGGTATTCTTCTCTGCCTTAGCATCGTATCGAACAGTAATCTCTAGGGTTATGTATCTAGGGCTTGAGGTGACCCCTGAATGTGAGAGTGCTTGCCAGTGGGCACCGGCTTCAAGCATTAAAGTCGGGGTAGCTACGGCCTGCTGTCGAATAAAGTTCAACAGTCTTAAGCTAACTCGGACACATATAATATTGTTTGCTTCTTCGGGCTTTAGTGCATAAGCTAGTGTTTCAAATCCACCATATGGGTTGGTTCATCATGATTCTAGGCCCGGCCCTCGGCACATGATAAACCAACCACCTTGACACTGGCCGTCAGTACGGCATTAACTACTATTATGAGGATTTTGTGGATACTCATGCATAGGTAGGAGCAATGGACACAATATTAATTGATCTTTGATCATAAGTACATGGTGGAGGCAAACAATCTATGGCAAGGTCCCATGGCAAGGTTCTTTAGTAATCGTACAGAGACTATCTATTCAAATACCCTCTAGGAAAAGGAGTGCTCCTCCTCAATGGCCCTGTTGATAACACGCACAAAACGGCCAACCTTATCTGTATCCTGCTTGGCAGTTTCGATTCCGAGCAGGACCTTCTTGATACCGACGCTGATGCGACTTTCATCCGCTAGGCCACCGATACCATCTAGTGCCCGGGCGATCTCTTGAGCATCGAAGGCCTTGGATTCCTCCATGACGAACCGCAGCTCGGTAAAGGTTTGCACATTGGGAACCATGATGTCCGAATTGAAAGAGTTGTAGATATCAAGCTGCTTCATCAAAGCACGCTCGGTAGTCGTGGCCAGAATCAACAGGCGCCGTCCATGGGTGGGCTGCTTGCGAAGGAAAACCATCAACGCCTGTAGTACGCTGTTACTGAAGCGAGGGCCAATCGGTACCCAGTCGATGATTCGCTCAATGTTGTCAACAACAACGATACTGGTACGGCTTTTATAGGCACTGTCAAAGATGCGACTAATGTGCGCTACCTTGGCCGGTTCGCTGAAGCCAACCATGTCTTCCGGGCTGATCAATTTGACGAAGGGGAATCCAGAGTTGATTGCAATCTTCGATGCCAGAGCGGTCTTGCCGCTTCCAGTGGGTCCGTGCAACAATACAGAGAAGAGTGGAGTGGACTCTTCCTGGCTACTGACCTGCTTGACGAACAGCTCACCCTCGCGCATAATCTCCTTGATGGTCTCAGAGTAATGGATCATGCCATATTGGATGCGGCTTGAAAGCTCCTCCTCAGAAACACCAAAAGCAGGCTTGACCTCGTCGAGAGCTTTGTGGAAATCGGCCCGGTTCACTTTCATATTGACGACATCATCGTTGATACTTGCCATTGTGCCAACTTTAACATGACGGGAGAATGCAAAAGAAGAGGCAGACTTGACCAAACCAGCAATTTCAGCACCAGAAAAGTTCTTGGTCATGTGGGCAAGCTCCCCCAAATTGACATCAGAATCCATGACATTATTGGTACGCATCTTCTCTGTGTGGATTTTGAGGATCTGGCTTCGGCCTTGCTCGTCGGGAAGAGAAATCTCCATGTGAACCTCCAGGCGACCAGGACGTAGCAGAGCCTCGTCGATCATGTCCATACGATTGGTCATACCAATGAGCAAGATATTGTTAAGTTGGTCAACACCATCGAGCTTCGACAGCAGTTGGTTAACAACACTATCGCCGACGCCGGTGCCACCGCCCCCGCCACTACCACGTTGCTTGCAAACGGCATCGAGCTCGTCGAAAATGATGATATGCAATCCACTCTCATCGCCCTTCTCTTTGTATTCCTTCTCGGCGTCCGCGAACATTTTTCGGATGTTTTCTTCGGATTGACCGACGTATTTATTCAAAACTTCGGGGCCGTTGATGATCTTCGGTTCTCTGGCATTCAGCATTTTACCAATCTGTCGTGCAATCAAGGTTTTACCAGTACCGGGAGGTCCATAAAGCAGAAGACCCTTGACGTGATGAATACCGAGCTTCTCCACCAATCCGGGAGGGAAAATGCGAGACGCAAAGGCTCGACGAAAGATGGTGCTGAACTCCGAATCGAGACCACCGATTCCCATGTCTTCAAACTTGAACCCCGGCTGAATGATTGAGTTTGCAGCTGGGCGGCGGTTGGAGGCCTTAATATTAACTCCGGTCTGCGCATCTCTGTAGAAGTTGAGCTGAGTTTGTGGCGTAAGCAAGCCGCGTGCGATGGGGTTCGTCTCGGTTTTCCCAGAGTTCAGATCGACCTTCTCAGACCAATCGACACGTTGAACGGTTTTGATACTCAGTAGAAGAGGGATGCTCTTGTGGTCCATGAGAAGTCTTTGCTCGGGCGCAAACAATTGGTTTTGGAAATTCTAGTTTCGTTAGCAAATACCAAGGAAGGTAGACCGAGAGTGAACATACGCTAATGACTGCCTTCGCCAGATCATCTTGATCGTATGGAACTTCAGTGCGCTTTCTTGCGGACGCAAAGCTGATTTCAATGTCGGCAGACCCCAAATATGCTTGCCCACCCTGGCTGAATTGGTCATACAGCTCGACCTTGACGGTATCTCTCAGCCCAACCCGCGCCCATGTTCGTTGAGGATCTGACATGCCGATGCATCCCGGAGGAAATCCGTCTAGGGGGCGGGCGGAGAACACGTAGAGATCGTTGATCAGGAGATAAAGGTCGGTGCCATCGCGGGTTGGCGGAATATCCAGAGGTGAGACGGCGATACTAATAGCTGTTAGTACGGACATGTAAGCCGGATCTCAATTCACTTACATGTTACCAAAGGTATAGTTGTCATTCGGACTCTTGCTGGGCTGAAGCTTCCATTCCGGCCCTCCAGTACGTCCTCCTCCGACCGGCGGGCGGGTCGGCATCGGTTGTGATTGTGGAGCTCTTCCCATTGATTGAGGTGGCGGGCCACCGTATCCCCTTTTGGTCAAAAGTTGCATCAGTCATGGGCTCATCGTAGTCGCCAGGAGCGAGCCCGAAATTGGACATGGGAGGCTGGCCGTGGTCATACCGTGGTGGTGCTTGGTTGGGGCTCGAATAGCCATGCGGCGATGGGCGCCCACTATCCCCTGACGGATTAGGGCGATTGAACATGGTGCACTGTAAATAATCCGGTGGCTAGGAGTTGCTAGGAGTCGAAGTTGTGTTGGGTGTTAAGAAGGTTGCGGTAGCGCCACCGTAGTGTTTTGAAACAGGGTAGGCAACAGCGATGATGGAAGGAGACCCGGTTATGGTGAGCTAACACGTGTCCGATGAAATAGAAATAGGCAAAATATGTAGGCAAACCCCAGTGAGACGGAGGAGTTGCAAATGGAAGGTGAGACAGCTCAAGGAGAAACGAAGAGGGAACTCAGCCACACCACTAGGGTGCGGACTGCCCAGGCTGAACGGGGAGTGGGGGGGGGGGGACTTATCGATAAAGCAGGTTCGCCGCCGGGGCTTGGCATCCCTGGTCGACCTTCGACCTCCTTGATTGCACGGCGCTTCTTCTCTTCACTGCTGGCCAGGTCACTCAAGATGCCTCTGTGAGTATTATTCCCTCACATTATTACCGATATATAACTAATATTGTTGAATAGACATCTTCTAGGCAAGAAATCATGGAACGTCTACAACCCGGATAATATCGCCCGTGTGAAACGCGACGAGGCCCAGGCACAAGCCCGCGAAGAGGAAGATGAGCGACTCATGCAAGAGGTTGATGCTGAACGACGAATTAAGATCTTACGTGGCGAGCGGCCACCGACGCCTCCTCCCCCACCCCAGTCATCTACTGATACCTTTGCACGATCTGAAAGAAAACCGAACGATGATGCGGGCCGGTATCGGAAAAAACGGCGCCTTGCAGGGGAAGACGACACAGACAGAGATATTCGATTTGCCCGGGAAGATGCCGAGCAGGCGCTTTCCAAAAGAGACGAGCTCTCTCGTTCATCTCAACGGGAGGGCAGGGACCAACAGGTGCCTCTTTGGGATAGCAGCGGTCATATAAACCTCTTCCCGGAGGGCTCCAAGAAAGCCGAGAAGAATTCCGAGGCTGAAGCTGAGAAGAAGAAGAAGGAACGAAGTTACGAAGACCAGTATACGATGCGCTTTTCAAATGCCGAAGGTTTCAAGGAGCAGGCAGGTCGTCAACCATGGTATTCATCTGGTGCACAGGTAGTCACAGCGCCTGATGCGATGCCCGATAAGAATGTCTGGGGAAATGAAGATCCTATGCGCAGGGAACGAGAAAAGACTCGCATGGATGTCAATGACCCTCTTGCAGCCATGAAACGTGGTGTGCGACAATTAAAGGCCACGCAGCAGGAACGAAAAGTATGGACTGAGCAGAAACGAAAAGAGATCGAGAGCCTGAATACCGCAGACAGCCATAACGCAACACGACATCAACGGAAGCGCTCACAGTCCATGGGTAGCCTAGATAACTTTAAGTTGGATGAGTCTACTTCGAAGGCTGACGGTGAGAAACATCGTAGGGGCTCTCATCATCCTCGCCGACATCACCACCGGAATCGGAGCAGGGAACGAAGCCGAGACCGCCCACACAAACGGTCCAATGAGACTTCGGAACGTTCTCGTCGCGATTGTCATGATCGTCATGATGAAGACCGCCGAACCAGGAGGCACTCCCACAGGTCAAAATCGGGCAAATCCCCTGCCCGACGTTGATCAATTATTGGATGTATTTCTTACTCATGATGATATTTTACCTATGCTTCGAAGGCTCCCTACGGCACACGGTAGGATGGTACTGCTTACTTGTATGGTGGGACATTGGGTGTTCAGGGACTAGAGCTCTGCAGCTCGACCTTCAACACCTAGTGAACTGTTTGAAAGTCATTTCCAGGTCGTAGAATTCCATCTCTTGCTGGGTATATAATTCTCTATCCATGCATCTAGCCCACGAAATATCAAATTTTATGACAGCATCGTTAAAATCATATCAACTTTTGGACCGAGCGCTATTTACTGAAGCGCCCATTGTTGCTTGCCCAGGCATTTTCTCCGCCGTTCCACTCGACATTGATATCCAGACCGCGGTAGCCGTTCTGCTTTCGCTGATAGCCGACTTTACCAGTAAAAGTCTGACCCTTCTTCAATGGCTTGGGTTGCTCCTTTCCATGGTCGATAAGAAGGATGGTCTGCATCCAGTGGGTCTCAGTGTCGTCCGGACCGGTCGTAAAGGAAACAATTCCCTTCTTCTTCATCTCTGAGGGAATGGGATTCTCGGGCACCGGAGATGCTCTTGAGGGCATGAAGAAGATATCGAACCAGATGGCGAAACCATCGAGGGCATCGATATCCTCGTTCAGAGTGAACTGGAACTCCTTGATAAAGTTCAGCTCCTCAACGGTGATGGTATGAAGAGGCAGCGGCAAGAAGATACTGGACTCTCCTGGAATGGTAGTGGGCTGAATACCGCGCACAAGCGCCTCCTCGTAGATGTTCAAGAGCATGCTGTTCATCTTGAAGCCGTACACGTTATGCCAGAAGGAGATATGCGACGCAATGAAATCAGGGTCGGCGAAAGGCGCAACGCGGAGAGTGGCGTGAGAGGGAACCATAAGTCCATCGGGAGCCAGGTAGCGATCCCTCGCGTAAATGACTGAATCAAACATGGCCTCGAAGAGCAGACCGTAACCCATCCACTCTGAGATGATAATGTCGACCTTCTCGACCGGAAGGACGACTTCTTCGATCTTGCCTTGGATGCACCTGTTCAGATAGTGAGTGGACCTTCAGTAGAAACAAACAGACGCAAGAATACTAACGTGATCACATCACCAAGGCTGTTGTCATAGACGATCTCCTTGGCACGGTCAATGATGTTTGAGTTGTCAACCGAGATAACCTTCTTTGCACCGGCCTTGGCACAGAACATGGATAAAATACCAGTTCCGCATCCAACGTCCAGAACGACCTTGTCCTTGAAGAGGTGCTTGTTCTCGTAGACGAAATCACGGTAGGCATCAGTGCGGATGGTGTCTTTCAACATGGACTCATGGATTGCTAGACGGTGGAGATCAGGTTAGCAACTTATTGTACATACACCCATACATACATATATATGTTGAGTTGTGCGCATGTCAACGTACTGTTATAAGAATAAGAGCTGAAGTAGTCAGCATCCACCTCCTCAGTCTTATCTGTGGATTTTTTCGCAGCATCGGGCTGCAGCTTCTCGTCTTCTTTGGTCAATTGATCCTCGAGAGATTGTTGCACGGCGGTTCTGTACTCAGAGAATTGAGTCTGCAAGCGCTCCAATTCCTCCTGTAGTTCCAGAACTCGACTGTCAGCGTCGCCACCAGAGGCCTCATTGCCAGCCTCTTCCTCAGCAATATCGTCCAAGCTATAGAGAAGGGCGTCGTCCTCGAGCACAGGCTTCAAGTAGGCATCGTCTTCGAATTGGGATTTGGAGGAGACATCGGGTGTCTTGTTACCAGCCTTAACCTGGGTGCGCACATAGTTGACCAGCTTGATCGAATCCAGGAAGTCAAGGTCTATCGCAAAATCGAATGAGTTAGTTTCCAAATCATGTCAATGGTCAATGGCAAGCAAAATTCGTTGGCTTCCGCTTTGCCCAGAGAAGGACGGAATCACAGTGGCAGGAATGGGGAAGTTACATACCGAGTTGCTTCTGGATTTTCAGCAGATCAAAGTTGTGCTTGTCCTTGCAAACCTTCAGCATCGAGCGCACATCAGGGTAGACGGTTTCGGAGAAGAGGTCGACCACAGGCTGCGAATCATCCTCGGGCTCGACATCTTCCCAACCTTCCTCATTGCTCGAGTCAGATTCGTCAGAGACGGATCGAGCATCGACAGGTGCCTTTTCAGCAGGGAGATCAGAACGACTGGACGAAGCCATGATGCTGGGATAGACCTGTAGAATGGTAAGGTAAGGTTGGAGGGGTAGAAAGTGGCCGATAAAAAAAAAATCCGTTATCGGGCCAACGGTTGCCCCGCCCCGCTGGACTTCGTTGTTTATTACGGCTGGGAACCCTTGGACCGTTCCAGGCTCGCCCTCTCTAGCTTCTCTAGCTTCTCCAGCTTCTCCAACTTCCCCTCCCCTTCTCTATCTCTCTCGATATTTTGGTTATGGCTTTCTTCTTTAATCGTGGCCGATCGCGCCAACCCGCTGATGTCGTTCGCTCAACTAAAGAATTATTGTTAAGGGTCCAAGAAGCCCCCAATACACCTAAGGTACCGTCGCTTGAACCACTTGGGATGCACAACTCCTCGCTGACTGAGAACACAGGCCGATGAAGAGCTGGCCAAACAGCTCGGTCAGATGAAAGTGATTGTTCAAGGAACACAAGGTCGGTTAACTGCACGCCCTAGGATTTAGAGTGATCCACAGGCAGATCCAGAGCTGTTCTCTGGTCTGGTCTGGTCTGGCCTGGACTGGAATGCATGGCTGACAATGGCTTCGCGGTTTAGAGATCAGCACATCCCCGATCAGGTCCACGCGCTCATCCAAGCAACACTCCAAGAGGACCTGCTCTATGATCTCTCGCGGTCAATCCATCTACTGCCCTTTGAAGCTAGAAAGGATACGCAGACCATCTTCTCCCATATCTTGCGCTTTCGGCCCACCTCATATGCGCCCGACAAAGACCCTCCAGTCATTTCCTATATTGTTCACCACCGACCTGAGATTCTGATTGAGTTATGCCGAGGGTACACACATAGCCAAAGTGCCATGCCGTGTGGTGTGATTCTACGTGAAGCGCTCAAATTTGACGTGGTCACTGCCGTGATTCTGTATGATCAATCACAAGAGGGGGAGGCGGCCGTGCGTCTTTCGGAATTGAAGCCCAATGCCCCTCAAAACGGCAACGGCGTATTTTGGAACTTCTTTGAATGGATCGACAAGGGGAACTTTGAAGTTAGCGCTGATGCATTCACGACATTCCGGGTACGTCCATTTTACAAGTCTATTGTATCGTGGTGGATAGAGTGACTGACACGGCCTTTGACAGGAAATTCTGACTCGGCACAAGAGTCTAGTGACCGCATATTTGGCCAGCAACTTTGAGCTATTTTTCGGTCGATTCAACACCATTTTGGTGCAGTCAGATTCATACGTAACCAAGCGACAAAGCATCAAGCTGCTTGGGGAGATTCTATTGGACCGTGCCAACTACAATGTGATGATGGCCTACGTGGAAAGTGGGGAGAACCTCAAGCTGTGTATGAAACTGCTGCGCGACGATCGCAAAATGGTACAGTACGAGGGATTCCACGTTTTCAAGGTATGTCTATCGTTGATCATGACGAAGAGTCACGCACATTAACGAGACCAGGTATTCGTGGCGAACCCAAACAAATCGGTGGCAGTACAACGGATCCTGATCAACAACCGCGACCGGTTGTTGCGTTTCTTGCCAAAATTCCTAGAGGATCGGACGGATGATGATCAGTTTACGGATGAGAAAAGCTTCCTGGTGCGACAGATTGAGGTTCTTCCGAAGGAGCCAGTCGATCGGAGCCGACCCAGTCGAGAGGCCCAGTCCGGGGTCAACACGGCCGCAGTGGTCTAAATGACAGAGATCTAACGCTGGACGGCTGGATCCCGACAAGTATCTTCACGCCATGATGATTATTATTATTCCGTATAGCTCAGGGGGGGATGGCTTGGGGCCCCCCCTTCTTCTTGCATTGGAGGCTGATGGCTTGCTGGATTAGCGGCTTTGGCTATGGGCGTTTTGACGCGTTCTTTTTCTTCTTTTCTGATTGCTGCCTTTTCTGTACTCTCTGTGCTCCGTACGTATGTATGTAAATACTACACCCATTTGCGTTGTGGGGACATTACGTCGAACTAGCACAAAATTGGGCTTTTCCCTTCAATTGAATGTATCCAATTCAGTGCTGCAGTGTCTCCGTACCCTGTCGACTACGACGGAGTACCCCAGACCAAATGGCACGAGCACAGCCTCCTCTGCGACCCGATGAAGACAATGTCACCACGGTTGTTCTAATCTAAGCACCGCTAGTGGGCTCCACTTAAAACTTCTTGTCTGGCCTTGTTGGGCTTCATCTAGCTCCACTGCTGCGTGGCCTCGCTTTGCCCCTGGGATTGAAGATCAGTCCAGCGACTGCAATTCCGATTCCTGGCAGTTGCATTGGATACAATATACTAGTACTCGTACTGTACAAGTTGGCAGTGCTCAAGGTGGTCCCTTGTCCCATCTGAATGGAATGAGAGAGTGCATCCCGCGCCAAGAAGCCAACTCCACAACGGCCTTCGGTCTCCGTTCTTTGGTTCTTTAGGGTCTTTAGGGTCTTTTGATCTCCTGGATTATTGGAATTTCCACTGCCATCAGTGATGCGCTCGACTCTCCTTTCTGCCCCGCCCATTAGCACTGAGCTTTGAGTTCTCAGTTCGGACTTCTGCTTTTATATCTCCTCGCTCCTTTTCTCTCCCTCGTTTCGCAAAGTCATGCTGGGATAATGGTGGAAGAGGCCCCTGTATCGCTATCGCCCCCGACCCTTCGCCCGGAGTCGCGTCCGACAATTCGCGCCGTCCCTTCCAATGACTCTCTCGCCGTGAGATGTCCGCCTCCCATCCGTTCTGTTTCACTGCCCACCAACAATGCGCCGCCACCGGAACCCAATGGTCGATCGCTGAGTACGAGTGCCTCCCGGGGGTTCGACGATCGTCCCGCCACGGCGCTCGCGGGGCAGGACAACGCCAGACACGAGGGGAGACTGAGACCTTTCACATCCTCAGGCAATGAAGGCCGGTCAAGATTATCCGAGGATGGCCGGTTTGGCGATACCGCTCCTTCTTTGCGCAGTGTCCCAAGTATCGTTCTCAATGACGGGAGCGCTCGTCCGAGCTCGCGCCCGGGGTCTCGACCAGGATCGCGCTGGTCGGAGCGCAAATGGGGCGGGTTGAGAAAGAGGTCGGCCGAATTGGAACGGAAGAGGAGCATGGAAGAGACCCCTCCGGTGCCCCAGATTGAACCATCCTTCAGTGGGATCAGCTTGGACATTCCTACGGCCTCCCTGACCGGATTGGATAAGACAATGAAATTCTCACACCGCGGCAGTCTCATTAAAGACCAATCGAATCGACCGCGCCCTGGAAAACGGCTAGAGAGGCGCATGGAATCTCCCTCCGAGCAGGAACAGGAACCAGACCCCGAGCCGCAGTCGGAAGTCCAGTCAATCCAACAAGATGTCGAGATATCATCCGTACCAACCCCCCTCAACCGGCACGAATGACACCGACACCAGTCTACCAAAGCCGACTCCGCGCCCTCAAAAACCACAGGGTACCCTCCGCCCCCGACAGACCAGTCTTCAGAGTAGAGCCATCTCTGCCGACGAGGACATGCTCTCCCGGAGAGTTCGATTGATGTATGATAGAGGAGATGACAAAGTTACTGACTCCGACGTCGCAAAATCAATTGCCGTGGACAATGGTGTTCTTTGGGAGGAGGGCGCTACTTCAGATGCAGAAACCGCTTCTACCCCTGGACCTCAAGCACCGGAGCCCGAGTCTAATGGTCGAGCCTCAGAAGAAGTGAAGCGGATGAGAATGAAACGCGAGACCCAGGAGCTTGCGGGTGGCATTGAATACTGGCAAAATGTTGGCGCCGAAGACGTGGATCGTTACGGCTTCATTCATGCACCACCAAAGAATGGAGCCGCGCCTCATCCAATCCAAAGGGTCACCACCAGTCTCTTAATTGCATCTGAGTCACCGCGTCGGAAACGCTCCATTCGGCCATCGAGCAATCGATCTTCTAATGCTCGGTCGCCTACCCGCAATCTCTCTACGAGCTCTGCAACAGGTCGCCCATCTTCCTCAGCTAGCACGAACAGTGCGCCGATTCGGCGTTCAACATCTCGTCTACGTTCCGCAACCAATCATCTACCCCACAACAGAGATCGGAAATTCACGGACGAGGCCGCCGATATGCTCACTGTTCCAGACGGACATGCTGGCGAGGGACAAGACGCAGCTGCCGCGCGTGCGATGCGCAGGAAGGAGTGGGAACGTGAGGATAAGTGGACCAAAATGGCCAAACCTACGAAAAAAGGTCGAGATGGCGGGGGCATGAAATTCGAATTTGATACGCAGAGCAGCAAACTCATCGAGCGAACATGGAAGGGCATCCCGGACCGTTGGCGCGGGACGGCTTGGTATTCGTTCCTTGAGGCGAGTGCGAAGCGACATCCCAATAGTCCATCCGAGGAAGAGCTCATCGATGGGTTCCATGAATTGCAATATGTCTCTTCACCAGATGATGTTCAGATCGATATCGACGTGCCACGTACCATCAGTAGCCACATCATGTTTCGTCGACGATACCGTGGTGGGCAAAGGCTTCTGTTCCGTGTGCTTCATGCCATGTCATTATATTATCCCGATACCGGTTATGTGCAAGGTATGGCAGCTCTTGCAGCTACCCTCTTGGCGTATTACGACGAGGAGCATGCTTTTGTCATGCTGGCGCGGCTCTGGCAACTTCGCGGCCTGGAACAACTTTATAAATCTGGATTTGCGGGGCTTATGGAGGCGTTGGAAGATTTTGAACGGGAATGGCTGGCTGGTGGTGAGGTGGCCTCAAAGCTGGTAAGAATATGTGGCAACCCAGCGTATCTCAACCAATGCACTAATACCTTTTACAGAACGAAGTGGGAATTCCACCCACAGCCTATGGTACCAAATGGTACCTAACCCTCTTCAACTACTCGATCCCCTTCCCAGCCCAGCTCCGTGTCTGGGATGTCTTTATGCTCCTTGGCGATGCTGAGGACCCCCCAGGCCGACCTGCCACCGCTTCTGCAAAAGGCCCAAAGAAAGACCCAGGCACCTTTGGCCAGGGCCTGGACGTGCTCCATGCCACATCTGCTGCTCTCATAGATGGCATGCGTGATATAATTCTGGAATCCGATTTTGAGAACATAATGAAAGTTCTGACTAGTTGGGTTCCCATTAAAGACATCGAACTCTTCATGAGGGTCGCCAAGGCCGAATGGAAAGTCCATCGCCGCCGAAAATTGCCCGCCCATTGATCACGACTTGGCTTGTCTTTTGTTCTACCATCCCCCTTTTTCACTAATAATTCTTGTTGATGGATGTCTTATACCCTAATGATCGGACGGACTTCCGAGAACTATATCTCGATGCCTAATTTCTCTATACCCAACCCAGGCCTTACTCACGACCGAAGGACATTGGACTGTGATGATACCGCTTGGGTCACCCTACTGAACTCGGCTCCTCATGTTCTTAATACGTGTATCCCTATATTGTGACTTTACCTCACCTCTTGACGTTCCTTACTTCTCTCTCTACATCTTTTCCGGGCCCTAATCGTTTTGGGAAAATGCCTAAGACCACTTTGGTGGGTTCCGGATCAAGACAACTGCTACATACGCTCTCTTGAATTTCTCCTTGATATTATCCACAAGCTTCCAAGACTTGTACATGCCTCTTTTTCTTCCCACATTGACGCCTGGCCCTGGATCGCATACACTTGATCCCGTACCGACCCGTCGGCCTGCCCCAATGTCAAACCTGCCAATGCGTTATTGTGGACCTAAATTACTCAGTGGGAGCTTCATACTTCTGATACCCATTGTTATTCATAATCAAGCTTAATTAAATTTAACAATTCCATTCATGATCTCTATCTCCAATGGGCAGCTGCAAACTTCGCGAATGATACAATTATTTTTGTTCTGCTAGTAGCTCTCTATAACGTTCCGAGTCCTTTTTTGGGGAGCCGAACTGCCCCTCCTCCCTTATCCCAATAGCCCTTTGCCAGCCTTTGCGCCCAAATTACCCTTGTCAACGTAAGTGGCCTTCAGCCAGTCCTTGGCCCGCGGATTGGTTCCTAGCTGCTGCTCATATACAACCTCGATATTGTACACAGTATCTAATCCAACAGTATCCATCATTTGACAAGGACCTTTCTCGGCCTTGAACCAAGACTTGAACATTTCGTCAATTGTTCTACCATCACTAACAGCATCGGCCATGACAAGCAGACACTCCCGCTTGATAGCTGCCCAGATCCGATTGAAGACCAGACCAGTCGATTCCTGTTTTGCATGCACTGGCTGGAATCCCGCAGTGGTGGCCATACTCATCAAGAAGGGGAAGATGGCGGGATCGGTGTGACCACAAGACATGATTTCGTAGTAATTCTGTTCGGGGGGCATGTAGTAGTGGCCATTGCAGATGCGATAATTGTTTACCGTGTTGGCGAGCATTTGGCTTGAGCGCAGCGAAGATGAGTTTGTTGTCACGACACAGTCCGAGGGGGCAAGCTTATCCAGCTGGCCCATAATCTCAATCTTCAAGTCGAGCTTCTCGGGAAGGGCCTCGATAATCATCCAGGCGTTGTGTGCCGCCTCCTGCAGGGTGGCAGTTAATCGGATCGCGCCGGGCTTTGTGCCTAGCTTCGCTGCTTGCTGGCCCTTGTTGCTATTGATATAATCCAACGCCCCGTCGTAGCTATCCATTGACTTCTCGCACAAAATCACGTTGTAGCCAGCTGCCACCCACATCATACTAACTCTTCGGCCCATGATTCCGCCGCCGATTATGGCAATAGGGCGGCTGCTGGTGTCAGGCTGAACCCAAGGAGATGCAGGCATGATGGAGGAGAAGCGTGTTATCAGGCTGTATGAGGTATAACGATTTCCAAAGGCAAAAGTTGTTCAGATCGCGAAGTTGAAATGAAAGGCATTGCTAGAACAGTCGGCTCATAGAGGCGAACTTGAAGATTGGGCTAGTGATGCTACGATGACCGCATAGAGAGGAAATCGATTCCATCCCAGCCATTTCCTATGATATAAGTGTGAGAAAAGCTGTCGCTGTGTGGCTGACTAGTACGATTCCAGTGGCTTAACTCTAGAAATGCAACAGCTTCAGGTTAACTAGTACCCAGGTAAACATGTACATTGGCCAGGAACGAAATCTGAAATGCGATGGCAATACATCGCGAATTGAAGAATCTACAAATCAGGTATACTACTTAGTCCTAGCTCACTAGTAGCACGAGGTGAACTAGCAAGGATATTAACTTAACTTTGATATCGCCTGTTTCACCGCTTACGTACGGCTAGGACTAGGGTAGTAACTAATAATAAAGCATCTCGCATGAATCATGTGCGGAATCGCGGAACTGCCCGGCGAAGCCTAAATCCTAGATCTCGCGATCAAACTAGAACGCGAAGTAACTACTAATACCAGGAATTCAGATTTAGGATGCTTACAATTTCGATCTCTGAGCCCTGGAAAGTCCGCCCCGAGCAACAAAGCGAAACCTTGGAAGCTTTGATCGTCATGGTGCGGGAGGCGAACCCCTCATGCCAAGGTGATCTCACTCATCATTGAAAAAGGTGTGTGGGGGGCCAATCCGGGGAATGGGGTAACCCTGGGGAAGGGAAGGGAGAAAACGTGAATTATTCAAGTGTTTGAATACGAGGAAAGATAACGATCGCTCTCCCCTTTTCTTTCCTTTTTCCCTTCTCTAGGGTCCTCCTTTCCTCCTTTCCTCCTTTCCTCTTCCCAGCACCCCCTCAGCGTCTCCCCCAATTACACAACTACAATCACCCCACGCATCACCATGTCGGACTCCGGCGACATGTCGAAGGAGAAAGCCTCGGCACGCGAATTCGAGAACCCCTCAATTCCACAAGACGAGAAGATCACAGATTATGAATCGGGGATAAACCGACCGCCATCATTCAATGTCGATGAAAAAGCGGTGTTGCGCAAAATGGATCTTCGATTAATTCCTATGCTCAGTATCCTTTACCTCCTTGCTTTTTTGGATCGAGGTACACAACATGAACTTCCCTACTGCGTATGGGCCTGAGCACTAAATTCCTTTGGATAGGAAACATTGGAAATGCAAAGATTGAGGGATTGGTGGACGATTTGAATATGACAGGACCGCAGTACAATTGGACTCGTATGGACTGCAATCCTTTGTGGCACGTGAAATATGCTGACGCTCGATTTCCCAGTGACCGTGTTCTTTTTCACCTACTGCGTCTTCGAGTTACCCAGCAATCTCCTCCTCAAAAAGTTAAGACCATCCAGATGGCTACCATTGATCATGGTTGCTTGGGGTATCGTAATGGTCAGCATTGAATCCCCTATGAAGTCGCGCTTGGGTTGAGTTAACACCGTGGTTCAGACCCTGATGGGAGTTGTCAAGGGCTATGGTGGTCTCTTGGCAACCCGCCTCATGTTGGGTGTCGCTGGTACGCATTGTTTTTTCCAGTCATCCCCAACGTGGAAATTTGCTAATTAATTGCTCTAGAGGCCGGTCTATATCCAGGTGTAGCCTATTACATTACGCTCTGGTACCCTCGCCATCGTGCTCAGTATCGACAAGCGCTTTTCTTCAGCGCGGCCAGTATTGCCGGTGCATTCTCCGGGCTTCTAGCATATGGAATTGCGGTAAGATTACTCCCTCAATGCCTTTTCGATAGCCACATATCTCATATGTGTTAACAGAAAATGGATGGGGTTGGCGGGTACGCCGGCTGGCGCTGGATCTTCATCCTAGAGGGTCTTCTCACCGTTGTGGTGGCTCTTTTCGCACCTTTCGCAATCCATGATTCTCCGGAGACGGCCACTTTTCTCACCGAAGATGAACGTCGGTTTGTTATTCATAGCTTAAGGATTCAAAATTCGGCGGACGCGCGCGAGATGGTGCAGGACGAGGCCAAGTTCCAAATGAAATATGTATTTGATGCATTCAAGGACTGGCAAATTTATTTGGGTTTATTTAGTATGCTTCGGCCCTCCCCCCTTACTCCAAATAACTAACATGATATCCTTAGTGTACTGGGGAATCACCTGTCCCCTCTATGGAATCTCACTGTTCCTCCCGTCTATCATCAAAGATCTTGGCTACACATCTTCAACCGCCCAGCTTTTGACTGTCAGTATTTTCTCCACAATGGCGCTGGAACTGAATCTTGTTCTAAGCAACGCAATTCGTATAGGTACCAATCTATATCACTGCAGCAGTTGTTGCAGTTCTTGCTGCATGGTTCTCGGATCGTCGGAAGCAGCGGTCACCATTCATTCTATTCTTCATGGCCATGATCGCTATTGGGTTCATCATCTGTCTAGCATCAAGTGGTCGCAGCGTACCTGGTGTCGTGTATTTTGGAGTATTTGTCGCTGTCATCGGTGGGTCGGACTAGTCAATATGGATGCCAAGCGGACCGGATCGGACAGCTAACACCATGTTAGGAATCTATCCCGCCTTCCCAGGCAATGTTACTTGGATCAGTGTCAACCTTGCAGGTGACTACAAGCGTGCGGCTGGAATGGCCATTTATATTGGACTTGGAAATCTTGCAGGTGGTAAGTCTCGTGATAGTTGAATCATTGCGAGTTTCCGACTTCTATGTGCTAATCTGGAGGATTAAATGACAGCCATGGCATCGAACTTCTATCGCGCTCAGGACGCCCCGCAGTATATCCTTGGCCATTCGCTGGAGCTTGCCTTTGTTGTCGTGGGCATGATAGCGACTGTGCTTTTGCGATTCGCTTACCAGCGTATTAACCGTCAAAGGGACCTTCTCGACCCCTCGGAATATCCCGATGATCCAGATTCGTTGGGAGACCGATCTCCACTATTCCGGTACATGCTATGAGTTAATCCTCTAGAGAGAAATAAAGATCTGTTTTTACATCAATTTGATTCGGTTAGCTTGGGCTTTGTCGAGCATTGCTGGCAGCATGACTTTGTTCAAACAAGAATCAGAAGCAATCCCTAGAACAATACAAAGTTAAATCCACATCACATCGTGGGAGCGACAGACCACAAGTTAGACCTTGAATCTAAGACGATAAACCTTCGGGCAGCCATAACACTCACATCGGCCCGTGCTCCATGCACTGTTTGCTGTTGAGAGTGTCACTGGCCCGGCCCTTCACTTCCTCCTCACTTCCCTCCTCCCTCTCCATCCTCCACCCCCCCCCAATTTTCTTTTCTTTTCACTTCTTCTCCATCTTTCATCTTTTCCTTCACTTCAACCTTGCTCCCTGCATACATTTACCTCTCATACTCTTGCATCCTAGAACAAACAAACCGTTTTCTTGATCAGTCCCAAAATGGCACCTGAGACTTCCACCGAGAAAGACTACCGCTTCATGGCGGAGTGTTTCAAAAACATCGATCACACTCGAGGCAAGGTGAGCTACTGTGATACTCTCACTTTCTGAACCCGCTAACAATATGGTCTCTAGGTCGACATGGTCAAAGTGGCCGCTGCAATGGGGTACAGCAACCCTCGCTCTGCCGGAAACCGGTACAAAGTTCTCAAAACAAAGCACGGTTTCGCGACGGACTGCTACTTTACCGGCTCGGTGAGCTACACAAGATTCATGATTAGCCTTCATTTCTGACCCTCTTTACAGGTTGGAGCCACCCCGACCTCGCCCAAGAAGGGAGTTGCTCGGGCCAAGAAGACCCCAATCAAAAAGGGGAAGCAAGGTGGAGACGAGCATGACGATGACGTGACTGAAGACGACAACGCCGGCATCAAAGAGGAGGAGGAGAAGAAGAAGAAGAAGAAGAATATCGAGAGTGACGAAGAGATCTAAGCCTCCTCTGTTTGAGACCCCACATCCTACGCATGGCTTCTCTGATATTGATGTCGTCTGCACAAAAGCTACCAGATGATATGCTAGAACTTGCTGGTCGGTGGGATTTCTGGGGGTCTGATTGCAATGGACGGGGCGTGCGTCTTCTTGTCTTTTCTTTTTTCTAGTGGGGGCTTTTTTCCCCGCGAGTTTTCCGCGAGTTTTGCGGGAGGAGTATGGTCTCACTGGGGTAGCAAGGTGCCTAGGAGTTTTATGGGAATATTTCGAGGTGTTGCGTTGAAACGAGTAGTGGCCACCAATCGACTGCACAGCACTTTTATCAATCCTTTGAAGAATCATCTATCTTCGCGTACTAGTAGTTGATCGTAGATATGTGCTAGTTGATAAAGTTTTCAAAAATAGATTATAGAATGGACTGGGGTATCTTACAACTAAAAATCACAAGATAACGCCATAAGAATGCGGTTGAAAAATATAGGAATGATAGGCCACGAGGCACTGGAAGATGCGCTTTGAATGTATATCACCCTCCTGTTAATCAAATGTCCGCCATAACCGATTCAACAATCTTTCGCTTGTAATGCGACAAAGCACGCTCTTTCTTTTGCATCTGTGCCCGCAGTTTCATGTAACGTGATTTCCAAGTAGCCTCAGATGCCGAAGGGTCGAAATCGTCGTCTCCTAGATCAAGAGCTTCCAGGTCATATTCGGAAACGGTCTTTTCTTGACTTTGTGCGGTATTGACTGCTTGGTTGTATGCCGCGGGTGCCACGTTACCCAAGTGGAGATCTCCCAGTATAAGATGTATCGAGAAATGAAACGACGGTGTGTATTCCAGGGAAAGGTTGTATTTTGTGCCGATTGAATCTTGACTAGAGTTGGATAAGCCGATGAGATCTCCACGTCGCGACGGTGTGTCGATATTCAAAGCCATCATAGTTGGTCGCGGCGCCGAAAACCCGAAATGATGAGCCACCCCTAGATGAGTGGCTAGATGTAATGTTGGAAAGTCAAATGACATCTGAGAGTAGGTAGAAGAAACGTTGGCTACTATGGCTGAAGCTAATTCGCGAGCTTCGTCAGGCTTCAAGGGGTCCGCTCGTCCGCTAAGACGAGCGCGCATAAGGTCATCTGTAAAGACATGGATAATTCCATCAACGGTCATTTTAGAATTGCCGTCCCCTTTTTCTTCAATAGATCCATTCTCTGCCGACTCGGATGTATGGACTTCGTTGGCATGTACAACTGCTCCGTTTACGCCATTGACCAATAGTGTTGGTGGTGTTGCAAGGCGTACTGGGGCACCGAAATGCTGAGGAACCTGCAATTGAAGCTTGCTTGGTCGTCCATTATTAGCGGGGGTAGGTGACTGGTCGAAGCTTGAGCTTGGCATTGGCTGTGACGAGCTCTGATTAATCACAAGGGGAGAGGGCTGGTGGAGGGAGTTTGTTGAGATGTGCGAGGAGTCTCGTGCGGCGTTGACATGAAATGTGGAAAATGAACCGGATGTTGTCAGTTTACTAGGCGGCCTGCCTCGACTTTTCCCATTGGACGAACCGTTGCTGTTGGTCCAAGCCGACGAAACTGCCGGTCCATGTCTACGTCGCGAGCGACTTTTCTCGCTGGTAGATGGTGTGATGGCTGAACGAGGCTCAACAGACACAAGAGAATCGGATGGCTGGTTTCCTCGTGGAATAATGGCGGATTGAGGGTATCCCGCAGGTGACGTTTCCCGCTCCGGAAGCCTCCAGCGAAGGTCCTGTCCAGGTTGCTCTGGTTGCGCAGGCTGTGGGTATGCCGAGGTAGCTGTTATCCAAGGATCTTCACTTGGAAAAGCACTGAAAGGTATGGCGCTCTGTGGAAAGGCCACAGAGTGCTGCTGAAAGCCTCCAAGGTGTAGACCTGCTACCGATGTATCTAACTGGGGCCGCTTGGTAGTCTTTTCTTCTTCAATCTCCCTGTCCTCTGCTCTTTTCCTGCCTCTTTTAGGCTTCCATTGAGGGACGAGTGCGCGGAGGGCAAGGTCCTCTTCAAGTGGCACGCCATCGCGGGATTCGCCAATGTATGGACCCGAGGGAGGCAGCTGAGTATAATACTGATGTTGGTGCCCTAGACAATATTCGAAAAAGGCATCGACATGCATGGCACGCATCCATCGCTAAAATTGATTAGCTTCCATATTGGTCTCCAACAGAGACGATATATGATAAATACCTTTAATCGGACTGCGTACTGCTGGACCTTCTGCGTGCTTTGTTTCTTCTCCATGGAAGGTGGCTCCACACCCAGTTCGATTGCCAATTGGATCCATGTCTTGAGCTCTTTATTGTCAAGCTTGCGTATGAGCTCGAAGAGAGTGAAAACACTGAAGCTTTTGCCATCACTGCGTGGAGGGCATCGAAAGGTTCGTCGAAGCTCCAAGGTATCAACAGAAGAAGGAACATTCGGGTTGCAATATAGGATAAATAGTACATAAGCATCGTCAATCGTTTCGTCAGTGATCTCACGTGAAGGCAGAGCCCGAGATTCCGCCTGGTCGGCGGTGTCTTTCAATTGCTGATGACGGAGGGCATCGAAGACCGGGGGAGACATAGACGGCCCGGAACGAGCTACTGAGGAGGGAGGAACGGCGGAGCGGAACCCTCTTGGAGAAGATTGAATGCTCCGGGGAGTCTCTTTACGATGCAGCGACGGTGATTTGTTAGCCTCCGCCTGGCTGCGAGCGCTTCCAAGTGAAGAGGCACTCCGAAGTGTCGATTCCAGTGTGGATGGGTATCGTGCATACTGCTGGATTACCATCTGAGACGTTCCGAGGTCGGTCTGATCCAATCGATCGGTCGAGTCCATCATGATGGGAAAGGTTGACTCCATCGAATCGCTCCAGGAGTCGTCAGCCCCCCGACAAGCATGCAGGAAACACTAAACAGAGCACAGTGACAACAATCATGGGTTCTAGTATAGATGTTTTGTCAAGTGCAGTCAACGGCGCTCCAAAATCAATCAATATAGGAAATTAACATCCCAAAGAACAGGTGGTGGGGAAAGAAATAAGAAGCAAATGGGCCTCTCCACGAGGATGCCCCCTCGAGGTGGCTGGAAGCGCCGTCGGGTTTCTATTTTTACGGTGCATCGATAGCGTCCTCACGGGCGGGGGTGGGGCTCTCTGCCTTGGTGCCTTACTATATTAATGCCTGAGGCTCTCAGGCATCAGATATAAAGACACAGGTCACGGGATAACTGCCAAGTCCTCCTAATACACTAGCTTATCATAGCGCCGATCGCGGCTGCCGGGTGGAGCCCGTGCACTCCCCCGGCTGCGGGCGCATTCGTCTTCCTTCTACGAGTAGTACTGCGTAACATCCTGGACCCTGTATCCTGGTGCAAACTTTCTATCACACTTCGCTTTCAATTTTACAATTAAGTATTATAGTCTGCCTCCATTGCACGTTATAGTCCAATCTCTCCCAGTCATGGCACCCCCACGGTCGAGTGGGCCTTCAACGTCCACTCGACCTGCACGCCGCAGCCGGACCCAGGTCGACAGCTATCATGAATCGACCTCCGACGATGATCTGCACGCACAAGACAGACCAACAGTGTCTCTTCGGTCCAGCTCGAATGCGCAGCGCCCTTCCTATCGCGAGCCGTCGGATAATGAATCGGACGATGAACCTGCTGCCGAGCCAGACGAAGATCAAGGCGAAGATCCAGAACGCCAAACGAATCCTCCGGCCTCGGCTCGCGGTAGTCGTCGTTCCACTCGACATAGGCGCCCGAATTCAATTAAAACAACCCGGACTCGCTCCTCAAATACGACTGGCCATGGGATGCCTTCTATTGGCACCAAGCGACGCCCGCGCGAGCGGCCAAAGGAGAAGAACTCGCTTTCGAATAAGCGAGCCAAATACTACTCGGAGCTCCTCGATGATGTTTCTCGATTTATTCCACCTTGGCAAAAGTTGCCCTATCATATACTTTTCGAAATTCTCCTCCAGGCGACCTACCCAGCCCCCAACGAAAAGTGGGAGGCACGAAGTGATATGGCCAGATGGCTTGTCAATCTCGCTTGTCTATGTCGGGAATTCCAAGAACCAGCCCTGGCAGCACTTTACTACTGCCCACCGCTATTTCCATCCTACAAGTGTCATGCTCTTGTAAAACTACTCTCCACCCCACGGGACTCTCGTTTGATAAATTACGCCGGCAAGATCAAAGAACTTCATGTCGATGTCGATGTTCTTCGCTTCAAAAGTGGACCAATACTGGGCTATTTCGATCTCGCTCAGCTGATTCAAAAAATCCCCCAAGTGCATGCAGTGCGACTCTATCACCAAGACGATTTTATCCTTGGCCACCAGCCGGCAGATATTCCCCAGTCGAAATGGATCTACTCAGAAAATCTATTCGAAGTTATGGACTCCACCGGTGTTCGACTTCGTGCCTGGGACTGGAACTCCCGTTTCTTGAATCTCACCGACCTTCTCCCCTTCATGGACAAGCAACATCGGCGACCCGCTTTCCAGAAGTTGAAGGAAGTCAAACTGCTTCATCTTGGTGATCGCAACCATAAAGATACATTCGATAACGAAGACGCCCTGGCTGTTTCACTCAACGCACTACCAGATCTTGAACGATTAGAATTAGTGGAATGCACCTTGCCCACGGATCGACTCTTGCTCCAGCTGCCTTCAACAATCCACTCACTGACGATTACCAATTGCGATAGAATCTTCTCGGCTTCGATCGACGCCTTTCTGAAGTCCCATGGTGGGCGTCTTCGTGAGCTTAATTTGAATCATAATCGGCACCTAGATCTGCTGTGGATGGGTGGTCTTGCGTCCCACTGCCCTATTCTCGAAAAGCTGAAGTTCGATGGAAACATATACGACGCATCCCCTCACAATGACACCTTACCTCACTTTGATTCCTTAATGGAAACTGACGTGGCGCCGACATGGCCCCACACGCTGCGCGAAATCGAAATGACATGCCTGCGAAAGCTAGACAGTGACTGTGCGGATATTTTCTTGACCAGTCTTGTCAAAGCTGCCACCCACCTATGTGCTTTACGGCGCCTGTCTATCAGCATGATCCTAGACATGTCGTGGCGGGACCGGGCTAGCTTCCGTGATGCCTGGGTACCTGACATAATACAAACATTTCAACACGGGGACTTGGTTCCAAGAAGCCCGGAACCCTGCCCGTTTCCAGAGTCATATGATGCGACGTCATCGAAGCGCCAGAGCGCGCGTATTGCACAGATTGTGGACAAGCAGGATGCAGATGTGAACTCCTCTCTTGATTCACCGGGTCGGGGCGGCCAAATGCGAGGGCTTGGCATGTGCGACGAAGTCTTCATTCGCATTGATAACCAACGCCCTAGTGAAACGCAGTTCAACGAAAATGATTTTCTTGATTCTGAAGCCAGTGGCGATGATGACTGGGATGGAGAAGACTATGAGGCCGGCAATGGTTACGCGTGGTAGCCAGGGACTTGCTCCTCGACATGGGACGGCTCGATCTTTTGACCATCTCTTTCTGGTCTTTATTCTCTATTTCCCAAATTTTTTTTTTTTTTTTTTAATCTTTTAATGTTTTTTGGTGGGGGGGTTTTGCCAGGGGGACGCACGGTTATTATTTAGGCGCTAGTTACACGGTGGTCGAAGAATTTGGTAAATGGATTGAGTAGCTACTAGTAGGGCGCATGCTAGTACCTTATATTTAAGTTGAAAATGTATCAACAGTTTGATAATTTGTGTCTTAATCATACTCTAACTTGAACTCTGCTTTATAGTACTATAGTTGCTACTGTAGTAATCTCTCCAGTTGTTATTGGCTCGATCGCCAAGTCAATCAAAGGAAAGGCACGAGGCCCCACAGGATCGACTCGCCCGCGGCACCTCCATTCTCTGCTTCTGTCTTTGCCATTCCCTCGCTCTTCCTTTCTCTCTCTCTCTCCCCCCCCCCCTCCCTCGCCTTCCTGCCTCGGCTTCCAACTTCCATCCTTTAACCGCTCGCACGATGCCTCAAGAGGCTCCTGCGGATACTGCGGGTCCGTCCTCTCCGCCGCCTCAACTGCCCGACGGATGGTAAGCCAGATCCTATCCTGTTGATAGCGATTTGGCACCCGGCTAACTCTGTTTATTTGGAGGCTTCCTCAATGGGAGGGCGTCCAACGCAAATGGTATTTTGTGCAGAGAGCGACCGGCAAATCGCAATGGGAGATCCCAACCGAACCTGTCGTTCTCACTCCTTCAACAACGCCTACGTCTATTGGGACCGGGCCCACATACCCACCATCGCGCCCATCAACCAACAGTCCCCAAGTAATGGGGTCAGGGACCACCTTGGCGGAACAGATTGAGCCTGTCGTGGGCGGTGCGAGAGTTCCCGTAGGAAATCGCGATCATATTGTCTGCACCCATGCCGCATGAATAGCACTGATGGCGGGATAGAGCTCCCTTGACGCCCAGCCGAATGAACAGCATACACACCCTACATACGGATCTTCGGGGACACCCGACTGGCATCCGAATCAGACCAGCCAACGACTGCCCCATGAGTTCACTCAGCAATTTGTGTGCAACGATAGTCAATATGGATCGGTGTGGAGGTCTTTCCGGATTATTCTCCAATGCATGTCGCTAATTGCTTTGGCAGCAGCCTCACCAAAAACATGGCGCCGGTTCATCGACGTTCTATCCAAGCCATGACCACATGCAACCGAATGGTGAATACCAGTCTTTGGCTGGAAGTTCTGCGACCATGTCCTGGGCTGGCAATGCAACCTCTTCACAGGTACACGCTGGAGGATATACACAGCAACATCCTCCAGGTTCACATTCGGGCTTCGCCTTGGGCTCTCAGTATTCACAGCCACCCGTTAATAATATAGAGGCAACCATGGCGCAGAGTCATCTTTCAAATATAAACGCTGCCCCTCCACCCGAGCCTCAATGGCATCCTAGTCAACAGCCTTTGGTGTCAACTGCCCCAACCGAATCGGTGTCGACAGGTTTCGGTTCAACTACTTCACAGCCTATCTACCGAAGCTACCCAACTCCATACACTGTTGGAGCTTCTCCAAGGGAATTCGCTTCGCGATCATCACAATCTTCAAACCCGTCGCATTCTGGGAGTGACTTTGCCTTCAGCCGGGAAAATAGCCAATCAATGCACGGGTCGTTACCGATGCACTTGCCCCGTGAGATTGAGAACATTCCAACTGGGGCTGCACAATCAATGTCCCGAACCCATTCACAGCAAGCTAGTGCATTGCTGCCGCAGGGAAACCATGCCCCAGGATCTGTCACGCAATCTCCTCATGGTTACCAGCCACAGCCACCAACGTCACATGGTCAATATCAAGCCACCGGCATGTCACGAGCCCAGTCAGGCATGGCCTACGATTCCGCTGGGTATTCCGCGCCCGAGTTTCAAAGTGGCGCCCCGAACTACCAGAATCCTCTTGTGCAAGCAGGCATGCATCAGTATCTGCCCTCTCCGCAACGGATACATTACAAGCAAGCGGCCGATTCTATGGTAGGACCGGCGCAGTCCTCGCAAATTGAGACACCGCCTGGATATCAAAATCAATGGGAAGCTTCGACTTCCACCGCTGTGCGCTCAGCAGCATCCGATCCCCAGTTTGTAAGTGGCCCCTGGGCATCGACGCCACCTACTGCTGGACCGCCGCAACCACCTCGCTACGAATAAGAACACTATATACGTTGGATTTATAAATGAGAGAAACTGAATGTGCTGGTGGACTAGCAATGCTCTCTATCTTCTGCCTATTTACCTTCTTTTGATATATTCCCTTCCGGATTCCCTTCGGTGCGTATGTTATTATCTCACTGGTTTATTCCCCTTGTTCTTGTTCAAGTACCATAGTAGTATTCTATGGCTGCAGGATTGACCATCCAACTGTCAAATAACCCAATGGCTCCCGGTTCGGTACCAAAGAAATGAAAGGCTCTAATTGTATTTCCACACCATGTAGTATTAGGAAGTATTACTAGTTGTGCTCTTGTTCCCTGAGGTCAGGCTAGAACGACCGTACTCTTTGGGATGGTGTTCTTTTTCTTTCCCTCAGTGCAGTCAGTGGTGAGTGGGTTTCCAACTTGAAGGTTCCCCCAGGTGTCAGTTTCCGCATTCACTGGACCTGCTCTCTCCTGCTCTCCTGATTTCACTTCTCACCTTTTCAACTTCACACCAACATCCCTCAACTTTTCTGGACTTTTCTCCAATCTTGCTCTAACCTTTCTCCAACCCAAAAGAATATTCCAACCAACACTGATCGGTCGATCAGACAAGCTTTAAGAGGCTTCTGCCTTTCAGCTCTTCGAAATGGCCATCACCTGGGACGCGGAAGCTGACGCCAAGGTATATACCACTTGAGCCTACATGCCCTTTCCCCTACCTCTCTCCAATCTTACATTCTCTCGACAATGAGTTCGAATAGATGGGACTGACAATTTCAGCTCCTCGTTGGCATCGTTACTACCAGCAATACGGCCATCGACTTTGAAAAACTCGCCGAGTTTATGGGTCAAGGCAAGTATCCTCCTACTGCGTTTCTTCTCAAAAGAAACCTCGCTTCGTGTCATTCTGCAAAGACAACTTGACTGATTGTTTTGAAAAGACTGCACTGTTAGCGCCCTGAGGCACAGAATCCAGCGTATCAAGGAAAAGGCTGGTCTCACGAACGCGAAGGGTGTCGCCCCAAAGTCGCCGTCCACACCCAAGACCAAGCGATCTACCCCCATGAAGGCAACCAAGAGCGCTCCCAAAAATACTCCCAAGCGCAAGTCCGCAGTCTCCAAGGATACCGAACAGACCGACGAACAACATGTCAAATCGGAGCCTGAGGAGTTCGATCATGACAGATATCTTGCATGAGCTTCCCTTCGCTCATTCCGCCCAGAGCTGGCAGGCAGCGTAGCTTGGGACTTTTGACCAGTAGGAGTACTTGATGGGGATCATGCTCTTTTTCCTTTTATCGTTTTGAGGAACTTTGTGAGATCGACTCACTTGATTTTATGGGACATACTCGTTTGCTTGGACATTGACTCGTTCGAGCTTTTTTTGAGTGGGGGGGTTTCGGAAATTTGAGGAGGATTTCACATTGCGTATGGAAGCAGGTCGGTGGGAAATATCAAAGGATATCTAGCAATTTTACGAAGCATTTGATCCCCAGTTCTATTTTCCACGCTGACTTTTAGCTGCTCATCGACTCATCAAACGCTCTATTCAGTAAACATGGCGCCGAGCGACAGTCGGCTGAGAAAGGTGTGTCTGGGGAGTTTGATCTCATTTTTTTGTAGGTTTTGATAAGTAGTAAAATCGCCCAAAATTGAAAAAAGCAGCTTCGTCCATCTTCTTCGTGTGCCTTTGTAAACGCCGCCCACTCGCTTCAAAACAGAAAAGGTCTTGCTTTGCCTGGTTGAAACCCCGTTAGATTCGTGACTGGCAAAGAACGAAGAGAAGTATGGTGCACTTACGCATCAGAAGATTTCGTTTCCCATTAAAAGAATTCGAATCGGAGAAATGAAGGAGATAGCAGGAAAGTTTCGAAGACGGGTGGTCTCCCCAGACCCCGTAATATCATCGCAATGCAGAAACCACACTTCTGGGTTGAAGGTAAGGACTGGGAGCTTAGATCTCAACATCAAGATCCGACCAGGTACCAGGATCTTCCACGACTTCGGGGTCGCTCTCGTCTATCTCGGCCTCTTCGGTTTTGACGGGGTCCTCCTCTGCTTTGACACTGGCCTCAGGAATCTCTCCATCCTCGTCTGTAGATTCGACCTTGATAGGAGACTCGACTTTGACGGAAGCCTCGCCCTTTTTCTTTCGGCTCTTTCCAGCCGGGGTCGATTCCTTGGGGGTCTTGGGGGTCTTGGCGACCTTGTTGCGTGGACGCTTAGCTGGGGTCGAGGGTCCTGCCGGGCCATTCGCGGATGATGCCTTTGAGATCTCCTTGATCTTGGCTATTCTTTCTTTAATAGCCCTGGCAGTTGGTCGTGACTCCTCATCTCCCGCTATAATGACAGTCAGTGACCAGGTCTTTTCGAAAGTGAGGTTTCTTTTCCAGCTTGGCGAAGACAGGGTAACTCACGCCACAGAGTAGCCATCTTTGCGGTATCGACACTGAAATCATGTGCCTCGATCATCTTTGCGAGGAGCTAGTTGAAACGCTGTTAGCCTGCTTGCACGTTGGAGAGGTCTTGGATAGCAGGTGAAGAATTATTGACTTCGACTCAAGAAAGAAAGTGATTGGTTCTCGCCAAAATCTGAGGTTGATATGAAAGGGATTAGACGGACTTACTATCTGGTCATTCTCAGCCGTCCAGCGCACTTTTGAAGGCATCGTCGCGGTGTTGCAAGACTGTGGCCAGACTGTAGACGTGACAGTAGCGCGTTTGTATGGAAGTATTCGGGTTGAGGGTTGAGGCAGGGTGAGGTGAGGAAAATTGGAGAAGAAGATGATGATGATGAAGGAGGAGAGGAGGAGGAAGAAGAAGAAGAAGAAGAAGAAGAAGAAGAAGAAGAAGAAGAAGAAGAAGAAGAAGAAGAAGAAGAAGGGGAGTAAGGAGCATGACGAAGGAGATGGAGGAGTAGAAGGAGAGAGAGGTGGTTGCGGAGTGTTGATAGCAGCGGGTATTCTCGGTCTGGGAATGGCAGGAACAGCAGGAACACCATCCGTTAAATTGCTTGAACTTACTAGCTAGGCGCCTGGCTTAGATTAATGACGCCAGAATCCCAAAAATCGAGAGGAATCAAGTTCAGTAGGAAAAGATGTGAGAGAATATTGCAAAGATCATGTCAACAATTGACCCTCTTGTATGGGCTTAGCATCAATGCCAAGGTTGTGGATGCACAAGCATTGGGCGTAATTACCCTTCTGACGTGAATTAAATACACGGCAATGTGAAAAGCCGCCCGCTTCCAATGATTAACGAAACTTGTGTTTTTTAAATTGTCCAATCGAACTGCCAAGGCCACATGGTAAACTTTATCAAACTCTATCCTCAAATACAGATTATAATGAGTAGATGAAATTCGTAATATACTTGATAATCAGATAATAATAATAGGTACCGGACTGTATTCCAAGGTTTTAAGCTTAATTTTAAGCTTAAAGTATGGAAGTCAAGTCTTGAATATATCCACTGTGGTGGTACCGGGTTGAGGTTAGGGCTAGGAAATTCGAAAATTTTGGAAAACCTTAAGCCAGGCTTTATCTTTACTATCAAAATTTGTCACCTTAGAACAAGAGCTCTACCTCTATCGCCATTGGATTCAATTTTCTGTTTTGGGACCCGTCTTGCACATTGACATATACATCTAACCACACATGATGCTCAAGATTAGTGTGGCCAAAACTACAGTTGACTCGAAATCAATAATGACTCAAGTTATTTAAATCTAGACTAACAAAACACATCTCAAAAGATATGACCAATTAGAAGATTTGTGTCGACAGCATTCATTCTTCGCTCGAAGATATTCTTTCCTCGGCCCGGGGGTGCAGACTTCCTGCTTGATCGTCTTATCGGGCAATACGTCATTTTCAATGTCGACGAATTCAGCCTCTTGCTCAACCTTTACCTGCGATAGCTCGGACGATTCCTGTTCATCCAGAGGTGCATGGAGCCCCCAGTTAATTGCAGGGGCATCATCGGAAGTCGACTGAGTCATGAGCCCACTATGGATGCTGAAATCCTGTGAGGGAGCAAATTGCGAGTATGAATGAGTGCCAAAGGGTCCAATACTTGAGCCAAGCACTCCATGTCCCGGTGGCATCACTCCATTTCCCACGTTAATAGGAATTCCATGGTGAATATACGATGGCACATACGGGTATTGTATGCCAGAAGATGCCATCATTGGGGAAAATTGAAAGAGATCTGACATGTCGGAAAGGCTTTGGCTGTTTTGAAGCCTCTGGCTACCGTGCTCGTGCTTCACAAATGTACTTGGATGAGACCCGTAGTCCGGTGATTCCAGTTTCGGGACAAGTCCGGGGTAAACCTGGGCGAGTGGTATTTGCGCATTACCCTTGGCATCTCCTTTTGCACCTTTCTTTTGGCCCCTCCTTCTGGGAGCTCCCTGGGTGGTATTCGGGCCATCCATCTGTGAGCGAAATCTGGAGTAGCGCATTCTAGCAGCGTGGCCGTTGGAAATTTCGAGATCCTGTGCAACTTTGTTCCAGTCAATCTATTACAAGACATGAAGGTTCAGTCAGCAGATCTATACTATGTCAAGTAAAACAGGACCTACGAGCTTCAAATCAAGTTGTTTGATCATAGAATAGAGAAACCTGGGAGTTGTGCCTTCCGTGTCTAATACTTTTGTCCGTTGAACCATGGTGAGATTTTTGAGGGTGAACTTGAATTTCACCAGTTTTTTCAGGAGTTGAAGTTCAGGTTCAGACTAGAGAAATCGGTGAGTGCTGCAACTTTTGTGAACATCATTGAGTTGATATATACGGGTTTTCTGGGGTGGAGAGATGAAACAAAGCATTCAATATGGAGTAAATGGATGTTAGCAAATTAAAATATCAGATAAAGACACGCTAGAGTATAACTAACTCTGTTTGCCCATTTTCCTTTATTTTCAATACTGCTCACTGGGACTGAAGGATATGAAAAGAATTTGCCCTACACCCGTACAGAAAATCCGGGCATATGCTCTAGCCCTGCCGAGCTTGTATTTTTGAAGCTTTGACTCTCAAGGAACCAGCAATGAGAAAGTGCCTTTTGTCTTAGTCTCCGAAAATCTCGGCTGTAAAATTAGACTATTAAAAAAATACAATGAGCAATGATAATATTGCTAAAACCCAACACTTACCCATTTCCTCTATTCCGCGCAAGGCATGGAATGGTGTAAGTTCGGCCAATCTAAATTTCTACGAAGGGCTTTCTTTGTAAAGGAAGTTTCTTATTTTGCCCTGGAGCACCGAGGAGATATAGCATTATTAGAAGGACGTCAAGGGTAATTTTACGGGCTTGCCACTGGGTCCAAACAAGACAGTATCTACTCTCCTTTCGTTCACTAGTAGTTGGTTTCAGGTTTGACAGCAAACAGCAGCATGACTAATCTGCCCCTCTTCAAGATCATGGGCGATTAATCTAGGGTTAGCCAGACTTCCTCCGGCAGTTTCTCGGGATCGCCGATGCACTTGGACGAATTTCACTTCTTCCAAAGAAACCCAAAGAAACGGGAGAATGTCAATTGTCGCAGTCGGTGCTCTCTATGTGGACACTATTCTGACGTACGCCCCTGGTCAACCAACCCCCGGTTTAAGGAGCTGTCAAGGGTTAGAAGTATGCCACTGACATGTATTCAGAACTCCACATTGCCCTGAAGAAGATGAAAAATTACGTGCATCACATATTTCTATAAGGCGGGGTGGGAACTGTCCCAACACCCTCGAAGTGCTGCAGCAGCTCGCAAATACGGCATCCGAACACCTTCCGTTAAATTTAGTTACAGTGCTCCCAACGAAATCGTCCGCTATCTGCCAGAAAATTACGTCCGAGTTGGAACAGTACGTCAATATGCAGCATTGCATTTATCGAGAGGAATTTAGCGAACCGGCTTCGAGTTATATCATCAAGAGCCAGTCAACTGGTAGCCGAACGATTGTGAACTATAATGAGCTTCCTGACCTGACGGTGGATGAATTCATTCATTCTGCAAGTAAATTAGCTCATGGCACGGCTTGGTTTCATTTTGAGGTACGTTTCAGACGAGCGATCCATCTGGTTCTTTTACTATAACACAGAAGATCTCATGCCAACATCGCTATTGATTTCTAACCCCATTCAAGGGTAGAACTCCGGATGTGATTCTTGCCTGCATATGCTATCTACAAAAGAATTTCCCTTCTGTTCGTGTCAGTGTTGAGGTCGAGAAACCCGGTCGGGTAGGTCTTCAGGAGTTGGCAAAGGCAGCAAACGTGGTGTTCTATTCAAAATCATGGGCAACTGTCAGTTAAGCATACTCATTCGACACCCTCTTCCGGTAAACTTTGCTAAAATTTTACAAAGGTTAAAGGATATTCATCTGCAGAGGCATGTTTGCTGGAGCAATCCACGCAGGCACCGAATGCGTAATTATCAGCTCGGCCCCTACAGAGCAATCAATGCATACTGACATGAGAGGACAATTGCCAGATCGCTACTCTGCTGTACATGGGGGAAAGATGGTGCTTGCGCTCTTGAACCAGCTACAGGGAAGTTCGTGCATGCTCCAGCGTACACGGAAGATAATTTTCAGGTGATCGAGTGAGTTATTGCCATACCCTTGTATGAGATGGAGTACCGCTAAGACACACAACTGCAGCCCAATTGGCGCAGGAGACACATTTATTGCTGGAATGCTGTATGCAATGAATTGTAAAGAAAAGGAATGGGATATTTCACAAAAGCTCAAGTTCGCAAATCGCTTGGCGGGTATCAAGGTATCCCAGGAAGGGTTTTCAGGACTAGGTCGAGCAATACTGCTATAGAAAGAACGTTGAAAGAGTATATATATGTATGTAATTAGTTGTCGGCTGAAGGATAAACCCTGAAAAGAGACTGAAGGTTGATTTCTTAGAAACTTCGGCGTGGTTAGAGGTGGCAGGATATTTCGGTCATGTGACCTTTCACTAATAGGCGGTGAAGAACTAAAAATTATTCTGCCATTTCCCATGGTAACTTTTTCGGCGGCAGCTTCTTGATCTTCCAGCCTCACTCATTGATAATTGCAACTCACAATGGCGGCCGTCTACAAAACCGTTTCAAAGAAGCAGGCCCGGCAGCCTGTCGAGGTCTCAGACGACGAGATGGGTATGGAGATCGAGGAGCTCCTGAACGATGCGGACGACACCACCGACAGCGAAGAGGATGAAGAGGAAGAGGACCGTATCGCTGCGGCGAAGAAGCAGCTTGCTCAAGGATTTATGCCCAAGACACGGGTACTTATTTTGACATCGCGCGGTGTCTCATCCCGGTAAGTTCTGAAAGTCAATATGCTGGTATCCATGATGATAATGCTAATCTGTCGCAATTAATTGATAGTCACCGACACCTCATGGCAGATCTCTGCGCACTCCTCCCGCACACTCACAAGGAGACTAAGCTTGACACCAAGAAAAAGACAGCCGGTTACAACCTTTTGCTGAACTCTCTGGCCGATCTGCACTCCTGCAACATGATTTTCTTCCTCGAGGCTCGTAAGAACGGTCAAGATCTTTACCTCTGGCTTGCACGCCCGCCAAACGGCCCCACAATTAAGTTTCACCTGAACAACCTACACACCATGGCGGAACTTGGTGCTGGGTTTGCGGGCAACTGTCTGAAGGGCGGTCGAGGCCTTGTGGTATTCGACCGGTCATTCGACGAGCAAGGCCCGGACATGGGCGCCGGCGCCCCGGGTAACGAGTACCGTTCTCTGGTCCGTGAGATGCTGCGAGGAATTTTCTGCGTTCCCAAGCGGGGTGTGAAGGGTATGAAGCCCTTCGTCGACCGCATCATCGGCATCTTTGGTGTGGATGGTAAAATCTGGATTCGTGTCTATGAGATCCGTGAGTCAGAGAGTGGTGGCGCGAAGAAGGAAGGCGAGGCAACTGTTAAGCCTGTTCCCAAGGGCAAGGACGCCGGTCTTCCAGAGGTCTCCTTGGTGGAGATCGGACCTCGTTTCGTCCTGACCCCCATTGTGATCTTGGAGGGTAGCTTCGGTGGCCCCGTCATCTATGAGAACAAGGAGTACGTTAGCCCGAACCAGGTTCGTCGCGAGATTCGGATGAGCAAGGCTGGCCGTTACGCGGCGCGCAGGGACACACAAACCGATCGGGCGGCCAAGCGGACGGATCTGGGATTGACCGACAACTCTTCGCGGAAGCCCAATGCTCTGGGTGTACGCGAACTCTTCGCATAAGAGTTTCCTGGTTTCTTGGGTGCCGCATGCTCCCTGCAGCACTTTCCCTCTGGATATTTCGACTACATGTATATTTGATGCGACGATATCATGGTCTTCTCAGGCGTCAAGGTCAAGTCTTCTAGTGATTAATTTCAAAAGTATCTGGCATTTTATAACAACCCTTTTTGCATCATTGTTTGTTTGTGTTGGGAAGAAATAGATGTAGCTGCATATCAAAATACTAGCAATTCCCTATACGACCTCTAACTCGCTATAGACTGGCATAGATCTACCACTTGGCTGTGTCCAGCATTCGAGTGTGAGTTGTAAGGTCCATCCAGCAATGTACAGTTTCAAGTTCGTCTATCTGACGATGGTTATTTTAGGTCCCGCTCGAAGACCTCATGCTCGTACGAATAGTCGCCCCCTAGCGGAGAAGCACATTCCCAAGTGGAGCTGCAGGTGGGGGTCCAAAGCGTCGTGGCAGGATCTGGACCACAGATATTACAGTATGACAGGATCTGTCTGTAGAGGCGGGAAATTCTATTGTTGGGGACTTCGAATACACTGATTTTCCAAAGGTTACATAACCACTTAGCCTTGAGTGACGCCCAACCAAATTCATTGCACCAGCGACCGCCGAGCACCAGCAAGGGGGGAAACAGATCAAAATCAGGTCTGGTGGAAGCATCAATTTCGTGGGGGACCACACAGAATAACTAAACAAAGACACGAGAAGAAAAGGGCAAAGAAAACGCGAAGCTCCGACTATCGGGAGATATGTCTGGTTCGACACTCCATCTTCCCATGTGTTCTACCAGATCCCGCCTGTGCATTCGTCTTCGCGTCAAATTACAGACTCCATCAAAGACCCCGGCCATTTCAAAATCACGATGTAAAAGAAGAAGAGTCGTTGCGATCGGTCTGGCCTCCCGGACCATCTAGCAGCATCCCTGCTTCTGGTCATTTTCCTGCGGGGTGAAGTCGATCGTACGGCCTTGGCCGGGTTGGTTCAAGGTCGAGTCGCCTGAGTCAAGGGCCTTGCTAGAGACGATACGGTAGATTTCTGACCGTCGAGTTAGTGTGCTGCCTAGAACCATGTCTTTGCGCGCCAGGGAAACTCACCTGTGAGGATGTTTTGGAAAGCAAGTTCGACGTTGCTGGCGTCAAGGGCGGAGGTTTCGATGAAAGAAAGGTTGTTCTCGCCTGTTCGTGGTCAGCAACCAAACCCATGACGCCACGGCTTCAGGGGATGTAAACGCACTAGCAAACTGCTTGGCCTCCTCGGTGGGAACAGCACGCAGGTGCCTCAAATCACTCTTGTTACCGACAAGCATAATCACAATGTTAGAGTCGGCATGATCCCGCAGTTCCTTCAACCACCGGTTGACATTTTCGTAGGTCTGGTGCTTGCTGATATCATAGACAAGAAGGGCACCGACAGCGCCGCGGTAGTAAGCAGAGGTGATCGCACGGTAGCGCTCCTGACCAGCAGTATCCCAGATCTGCGCCTTGATTGTCTTAGAGTCGACCTGGATCGAGCGAGTCGCAAACTCCACGCCGATTGTGGACTTGGAGTCCAGGTTGAATTCGTTGCGGGTGAATCGACTCAGCAGGTTGGATTTACCAACACCCGAGTCTCCGATCAACACCACTATCCAGTTGTCAATACTAATGGTTTATCGTGTATGGATCGCAAACTATTGGAGGGGGTCGCCCGAAGGACACGAAGTGGCGGAGCGGAGGAGATGCGGCAACCGCACGAGACAACGTTACCTTTGAAGAGAAACTGAAGGCAAGTTAGTTATGTTGGCGGACCGGTCGAGCAAAGCAAGGGACTTACATCGTATTCGTCGTTGGCCATTTTGAGATGAGGGAAAGAAAGACGTGGGGGAGGAAGGAAAAAACAACTGGGGGGGTTAAACGGCAGCGATAGGGAGAGGGTGATTGATGCCTCGCAGGTGGAGTCCCACTGCCTCCTTTAACGGAAATTGCTCCTTTCACTGCATCACATTGTTATCGCCACTACTCTGCTTATGTAATACCTTTCACCCAAAGGGTCATCATGCTGGCGGGCAACCATGGCAAAACATAAGGTAGATATCGACTCTGCTCTCTCCTTACCCTGCTATTTCCCCTTGGTTTCCCAAATTCGAATTCGTACCACAATAGATCCATGGAGATCAGATAATTGTGACCAAAAGGCGGTCACTTTACTTCTTCTCTCACTCGCAGACACACAACACTTCAACAAAAATTGCTATCGCCACGACCCCAGCACTTCTACACCCAAGACCCTCGTGTATCACAGTCTCCCGGTTTCATGGAAAGAATCCTTTCTTTCCTAATGTATGGCTCAATCAACTGGATCGGGCTAGCGAACGACTGAAACCATGGCATCTGACGTTGAGATGGGAGATGACAGCCCTAACCAGCAGTCAGATGTTGACTCTCTCAAATCAACTTCCCCCAGTGAGCCAGCTGATGTGTATGATGTCGAGGAAATTCTGGCCGAGAGGAAATCTCGCGGGAAAATAGAGTATCTTGTCAAATGGCTAGGATATCCGGTGCATCGGTCCGACTGGGAGCCCAGGGTCAATTTGGACGCGCCAGAGATACTTGCCAACTGGGCTCGGGCAAAGGTTGAAATCAAATCAAAAAAAAGAAAACCTTTTGATGTTGACGCGTTTGAAGAGGATTTGAAACGTCGCGAGGATGAAACGAAGGCACGCAAGAAAGCCCGGCAAGCTCGCCGAATTGAAAGAGATAAGAAACTAAAAAGCATAATTATATGGTCCGATGATGAGGACTCAAATCACTGTGCGCAAATCTCGCAAGCCGGCGAAGGTGTCGATGATATTGATGACTTGTTTGTTGCCGCCAGCAGCAAAGATTCGGACGATTCATCTAGCGAGGGTTCCAAGGTCAAAGGTCCTAATGCTAATTCCATCACCTCGGGTCAACCCCCTACTGGAACTGCCGAAACTCCCATCAATATAACTGAAACTCCAGCAACCAAACCAAGATCTGCTGTCGGTGCTACTCGGGCCTCTCCAGAACTTATTCAAGCTACCACTGGTGTTTCTCAAGCTCCCGTCAATCCTACCCAGGATCTTCAAGGAAGACCGAAAGCTTCCCTCGGTGTCAGCCAGGCCTCCAAAGATACCATTCAACCTGTGGCCACTACTTCTCAATCTCTTCAAAACTCATCGCAGCCCACCCACTCTCCCAATCCCAACTCCAAGACATCGCAAGGAGCTGCTAGCAAGACCTCGGCTTCGACGAAATTCTCGTCAAATGGGACCAAAAAGATCCATCCTCACCCTCCATCAAATCTCCCTGGGTTTGGAGATGCGAGTCTCGCTCCTGTGCCTAGAAACGCGGCTCATCATGTCAATACTAAATGGCTTGGGCGGGGATCAAAATGGGGAAGAGATCGAGCTCCAGATGCGAGCGAGCTACAACTTTTGAAGCCAGCCGAGTTCACCCCATTGAAGAATCCACAAGTGAACAATCCCCCAATCACCACACAAATTTCGAGTGAACAGTCAAGTAGACTGGGGGATATGACACCGGGAAATTCTAGCCCTTCAAGCACACGCCCTGCCGAGTCACAGCAGGTACCTAAGGACCAACCTACGACAGATTTACCATGGCCTGACCACGCCCCGCGGAATCCGAGATCCATGGATCCGGACATAGGAGTTCCTCGTCTATCTGGCCAGGCAGTCGATCGAGATTCCTCTTCTCGGGTCAGTAATCCTTCGCGCCCCGTTTCTGAGAATCATAGATCCCTTGGGCGACTACCTGCAAGGCGATCAATACAGGGCCTCAATCGGCCATTTGAAACTGGTCCGTTAGAAACACAACCGCGGCGGGAGCCTTATCGGCAATCAGATCACCTGTGGAATCGATCGAGGGGGTATTACAATCGATCCCCATCCCCGCCATCCCGCAAGATGTCAGCGCCAGCTGATGACTTCCGCCGCCACTCGATATCTTCTCGAATGCCCACATCAGGAGCTCACACCAAGTCATATCGGATGAATTCCAGAGATGGGCCCCCGTCAGCTGCAGCTCGATCGGGGCATGCGCTCAATGAAATCGAAAAAGAGGAACTCTCGCGAATGCCGGTTGGCATACGAACCCAGGAATCACTGGGTTCACCGCATTTTCTTCCTCGCGGTCACTTCTGGAACCCAAGAGAGGTCTATGCGCACGTGTTTTATGGGCCTGATAAGACACCTGTCGGTGCGGTCAGGATATGCGACCTATCGTTTGAGGCAAGAAAGGACCTTCTCAGTTCCAAGGCGGAAAACTTCCGGTGTGAAATGTGGTTCAAGGATCTATGCAATGAGTATCAATACGCCGAACTGTGCCAAAGGGTAATAGTATTCTTTCTAAAGCACCGTGACCTAAAACAGAAACTAAAATTCATGCAGGCTTCGAGAAATTTCGCCTTCGGCAACTGTTGGATGGAAGGCTTTCAGGATACCAATCCGGGACTCCTTCGCATGGCTCATCATCTACGTCAGAGAAATGTGATGGCCATCTTTTATCCGCAGGACCCAAAGGGAAATGTTTGGCTTGCGTTCTCTCGCGCGTCTCCTGACTTCGACTTTCTCGATCTCAAGTTGGATACTCAAAAAGTCCCAAATGGCACACCTCTTCTCTTGTCTGTGCGTGCGGCGTTGCCCCCGTTTTCTTCACTGTCAGCTTTTGAAGATACGCCGAGCGATATGGGTGCGCTACTTTCTGATGATCCTTTCGCTGGAGTCGAAAAATCTACCGATTCTACGCCTCATATTCAGCAAGTCACAAATGTACCACAAAATCAAGAAACTGGTGCCATGGCCGCTTCTATGTTGACCATGGAAGACAAAGAAGGAATTCTCAAGAGTTTCTTTGCATCTACTCTCAGAACCAGCATTAAAGACTTAAACAGGCTAAGTGATTCTTCGACGGCGGAGAATTTCTTTCTTTTCTTTCCTCCGGAGGAGGAAGAAGAATTTCAGATCATGCAGAGATGGCTCTCCTGGAATAATATGACCGTTTACTCTAATCGAGACAAGAATGGCTGGTCCAGATTTATGGACAATAGCAAACGTGGCGTTCTCATTGTACGTAAACCTTACACCTGTTGCTTGTTCCTAGGATGGTTTTTACTAACACATCATAGTTTCATGAATCTTTCTCCGAAATTCACTCACAATGCCCGGGAATTGCCAAACTCATGATGGGCGAAGTATTCAATTTCTGGAGCGTCCGTCTATATCGTAAACTTGAGTGGGCGGACCCTCACGGCCTTTGCACAAATGACCACTTCCAACCCCTGTTCCCCAGAGGGGGCTTGATCCTACTCGCCGAGGACATCTTCCAAGACCTGAAAAAAACCACTATCCTGATATACTGGTTTCTTCACTTTCCCCAAAGAAAGGATTGGAAGCTTGTCCTTCCCCCAGACGCCTGGAAACGCTTGCAAAGACAGCTTCAGCAGGCAAAGGACGACCAGGAAACCAAGTTCTTGTTATCCATTATCGTCTCAATCAAGAAAATTAATTCGATTGACGAAAGGTGTCCCTACTTCCAGGAAGACAGCCTACGCCCCAGCGAGATTCATGAACCGAACAGCAACATTGTTTCTCTTCCCATAGAAGGTTATGGTTCCCGCTCCGAGGATGACCACCCGGCGATCCCGAAGGGCCTCTCGCAGCAAGAGCGAGATATGGATCATCTAGCCGAAGCGTTTGCAGGTTGGACGTTAACAAAATCAGCTTGTTTTCGGCGAATGATCATTCTATCATCTGTTCAATCACAACCTCTACGAAACCGCTGGCGAAGTTGGGGGCATATTATTCTCTTGGAGTCTGATGATTTCTTTACAAAATTCAAAGTTCGCGAGCATGTGATCATGGAAAGCCTTCTTAAAGAAAGGCGATCAAACCAAACCGCAACTTCCCCTGCAGATACGACCCCAGGTACCCCAGCAACCCCAGCGGATCCTCCAGTCGATGCCGATCCGAGCGACTTCTGGAAGCGGCCCTCCGAATTCCGCCAATCCGGCTCATACAGATGATCTATAAGATTCATCTAATTTCTGCCCGGCCTTTCTTCCAACCAAGCTAGACGCCTCCCAGCATTTATTTTTGCTTGCCCTCCTAGTATCCTAGCGTCAGTCCGTTTTATTTCAAGTAAACGACCTAATGAAGTTTGAATGAAAAAGTTGATGAAGTTCCTATCAACCCAAGAACGATACAGATATATAAGTCGAATACCTTCTTCTGTCAGTGGATCGAGACACGGCAGAGTGACAAGGTGTAATTACTTGGGTCTTCCAGACATCCTTTGCTACTACTTACAAGACCCCACGCTTATGAGCCCATGGCTATCCGCGCGTTCATTGATTTACTAACAAATCCACCATCAACGAGTGTCGCAAGAGACATCAACAATACTCAAATAAAATAGTTTCGGCCTAGAGTTAAGTAGATATCCAAAGTCCATTCCAAGTAGAATGTGATCAAGGTGAATTTGGTTGCCGAATCAGGCTCATAAAAGATATGCGAGGGACCGTATAAAAATAAGCTAAGCCACCCTTAAATAGTCCATGTCGTCAAAAGAAGAAGAAAAGACCCCGCAAGGGCAACAGTGTGGATGAATATCAAATTAACCTAGAGCCCGCTTCCGATACTCCTGGAAATTCGCTGCATGCTCGGGGTTATCATCGCCATCCACTTTTTCCTTCTTCTGCTTGGCTTTCTTGTCGTATCCTGTCTTCTCTTCCCATTTACTCTCTTCGGCGGATATCATTGCGTGAAATTTGCCTCCTTGGCCGCGGGCGAGGTAGATCGGTTTCTCTTTCCGATCAGCCACCGCTTCGGTCACGAGAACAAATTTGACGCTTGATCCGGGTGCTTCGAACATGGGGTCGCTAAGAATAGTCTCCATTTCGGTGCGTAAAGCTCGAGCGCCAGTTCCCATTGTGAAGCCATTTGCTGCGATCTTATGTAAAGCGGGTGTAGTGAATCGCAGCTCAATGCCGGAAAGTGAGAAGAGGGTAGCATACTGGGCCAGCAGGGAGTTACGGGGCTCGGTGAGAATACGCAGAAGCAAGGGTTGGGTCAATGTGGACAATGCGGCGGTGACGGGAATTCGCCCAATGAGCTCGGGAATGAACCCATAGGTTTGCAAGTCGGTAGGATTCAAGAGGTCCAATGCGTTGAAATAATTGGGTTCACTTCCTGGTCCGGAAGGAGATGCGGATGTGAAAAATGGAAGATGCTTCTTGTATAGTGCCTCCTCCTCAGAGCCTGGACGAATCGGGAGAGGCTCCGTTGAGGAGGATGCGGATGGGCCTGGCCGGTCGCTCGGACTTGGCGCTGCTCGAACGGGCTGACCAAATCCCATTGACCCTTTGGATATCCGATCCATGACCACTTTGTGTAAACCCACAAAGGCGCCAGAGAAGATGAAGAGGATGTTGTCCGTACGTACATTATAGACTTCCCCTTTGGCAGCTGGTTGGCTGTTGTGAGGCTGGAATGGCGTATTCCCCAGAGGGCTGTTGGATGGATAGGAATTGGGTGGACTCGTCGAGCGAGGGTTCTTCTCTGGCTTGGCTTGAACCTGGACAGTTGTGCCTTCGATGATCTTCAAAAGCGCCTGTTGCACTCCTTCCCCGCCAACATCTTTCCCGTGGCTGACTTTAGCGGCGGCAATTTTATCGATTTCGTCTAGAACGATAATCCCGCGCTCGGCTTGTTCAACATCATAGTTCGCAGCCGCCAGCAGCCGGTGGACACACGTCTCGGCATCTTCGCCAATGTAACCAGCCTGTGTAAACGGGGTGCAGTCAGAAATACTGAACGGAACCGACAACACTCGTGCAAGTGTCTTGGCCATAAGAGTCTTGCCGACACCCGATGGTCCAAGAAGCAAGATATTGGACTTGTCTAATTGTAATGGCGAGTTGTCCACCAGCTCACCCCGATCTAGAGGTGTAGTCGCTTGGCGGGATTTTGGGGTCGACGGAAGACCAACGGTACGCTGTTGACCAGGGAGTTCATCTATATTAAAAATTGAAAAAAAGTCAGTCAGGCTATATTTAGCGAATAGGTTGGCGACCAATACTGCGGAAACATACCGTCTAAGGGGTGACTTTCAAAAGCCTCCCTCCGTTGACGCTTCGCCTGGAGCTCTTCTGCTTCTTCCTCTCGTCTTTGAAGCTCTTGCACCCTCTGATAATGATTATATACTGCCACACTTAACACTTTCTTCGCGCGATCCTGCCCCACCACAAACTGGTCGAGATATTGCTTTAGGACCCTGGGGGTAATGCGGGGAGCGCCAAAGGCCGGGGTCGAAGCCAACGGCCCGGTCGTCGGGAGACCAGGCTCATAGCTACCAGTAAATGGCTGGCTTGTAAAGTCCGATCTGTTGAATTGGGAGGCGGTTGGGAAACTTGTTGAAGAGCTGGTGAGGAGGCGTCTTTGGCGAGGGATGATAGTGCTGGCCGACATCGGTGTGATCGTACAGCCTCCCGACGAATCAAGGCTAGTGCCTGACGGTGCGAAGGCCGCCACAGCATGTCCTGAAGACTTCAGAGCAGATATTGGGTTAAAGATGAACAAGAAATGTGTCGCAAAGTGGAAGTTGGAGATGAGGAAGCGATGGGATTAGATAGGGAGCTTTCCCCGCACCCTGGGGCAGGTGATCTTATCGGGCTGAGTCATGGGATGTGGATGTGCCTGCCCACTCGGCACGTTCGGCGTTTGGCGTTTGCCAGGTATACACCAAACCAGCTACGGTGAAGTAACCGCATTACGAATGGTTTCCCTGGCGATTGTTTATGGGTATTATCCCTTATGACAGTCCGGTAATGTCTTTTCTTGACTGCATGGGCCCATTTACCTCAAATGACTTATATATCGGCACGACTACCGTGTACTATGGTACAGTTACTGGGAATAATCTAGCACATAATCACGCAAGGATCGGCGGTTCTGATACGAGCTGATGCATTATTTTTTCATTGTGTGCGGTCCTCACATCGTCTGGACAACACTTTTTCTAGAATCCCTCTATCGATTTTCCTATTTGGGTCAATTTCGCGAGGTCCCGGAGTCTCCTTTTGCGTTTAGGCGCTGATGTCATTCAACCCACGAATACGAACCTGATCTGCAATGCTAAGCCTTGGAAGCAATGTTCGTCTCAATGCGGTAATCTCGTATTGTTATTTCCCTGGTCAGAAGCTTCCAAGGTTTAAATGGATAAAATGAACTCGTATCTAGCATGTCTGTCACTTTCCTTGGCAGAGCACTGCCACCGAGGACGAATGTATATATATTCCAAAGTTAGGGATGGATCTGAAAACTTCTATTCTGTCTGATCATGGTACTACTAGTAGTAGCAAAATCATTCCCAACATGAACGTTCAAGTTTTTTATTGGAAAATTCAAGTTCTCTACTTCTCTTTCTTACTACTATCCGCGGCTGCCATTGTGGTGCCGGAGCCTCAACATTCAAGTTGTCGATGTCGGCCACATGAAAACTGCTGGCCCACGCAGCAGCAATGGTCGACGCTAAACAGCACGATACAGGGTAACTTGGTAGCTGTTCGACCAGTTGCATCAGTCTGTCATGCAATGGAATATGATGCAAAGACATGCAATGCCACAACTGAGCTTTGGACAAACTCGGTCTGGCGTTCAGCCCAGCCAGGCGCTGGACAGTGGGAGAACTGGGAGGCATGGCCTGAGCATCATGAAACATGCTATATCGAAGCACCTCGGAACAGCAAATGTGGACAGGGTCGCATCTCCTTATACTCAGCCAAGGTTCAGACCAAATTCCATGTTCAAAAAGCGGTCCTGTTTGCAAAATCCCACAACCTAAGGCTTGCGATCAAAAACACCGGCCACGATTTTTTGGGTCGGTCGACGGCGCCAGAATCATTGCAGATCTTGACGCACGAAATGAAGGACATCAAAGTAGTGGAAGACTTCAGCCCCAAGGGTGCTCCCAATCGCAAAAGTGAGGGTCCTGCAGTGACTATGTCGGCCGGCGTGCAATTGCCCGAGCTGTATCTTGCGGTTGCAAAGCACAATCGAACGGTGATTGCAGGATCTTCGCATACCGTGGGTGCCGCCGGAGGATATATACAAGGAGGTGGACATAGTCCATTTGGTGCCTGGAAGGGTCTGGCATCGGACAATGCAATCGAGTTTGAGGTTGTGACTGCCAATGTGAGTAGACAGTGTCCAATCATAAAACCCGAAGTAATAGAACTAAACATTCGCTTAGGGCACTATAGCCACCGCTAATTCGTATCAAAACTCGGATCTCTTCTGGGCCTTGCGAGGTGGAGGTGGAGGAACATTTGGCGTCGTGACAAGTGCCACTGTCCGTACACACCCGAGGCACCAGTTGTTGTATACAACTTCAACATTACCACCACGGGTGGTGATCCTCGGTTCTGGGACGCCTTCAGTGCATTCCATGCAGCTCTTCCATCACTCAATGATGCGAGGGGCTCTGGATACTATTTTGGACTCCCCAATTTGCCCATTGATCAGAATACCACGGTGTCCACCATTATTTCCTTGCTCATGTTCCCAGAGAAGACGGATGTGAATGAGATTGCCAAGTTATACGAGCCATTGAAGACCAAGCTGAAAAATATCGGAGGGGTCAAGGTTGATTCTATGCCAATTCCATTCCCAAGTGTCAACTCGACGATCTTTACAATCCTCCTCGCCGGGTCAGATACCGATAGTACTGGAAGCCTTAGCGCCCTGCTCGTCTCGCGATTATTCTCCAGGGATTTGATGTTATCAGATAGGGGTCTAGAACGGCTGACAAAGGCCTGGAAGAGTATCCGTTGGGATCCATTCTCTTCGTTCACCGGGCATGTGGTTGCCGGTCCCGCTGTTGCTGCTAACAAAAATATCGACAGTGCCGTCAACCCAGCATGGCGGAAGACAGTCTCGCACATGTTATTTGGTAGAGGCTGGAATACAAATACCACCTTGGCGCAGCAGAAGGCCATGGTCAAGAATATGACCGACGTGGAAATTCCAATCCTGCGGTCGGTTGAAGGAGAGGACCAGATGGGTGCCTACGTGAACGAGGCGAATGGCTATGAACCTGGGTTTCAGAAAGCATTTTGGGGTGAGAATTACCATCTTCTGTACAAAATCAAACAGAAATGGGATCCAAAGGGCTTGTTCATTTCTCGCAAGGGTGTTGGCAGCGAGGACTGGGACGACGCCGGGCTGTGCAAGGTCAAAGCCTAGAACAGCAGCCAGGCACGTGGGATTTTTAGAGTTGGACTAGAATGTTGGCATCTGTCAAATGTGGTATTTATGATGTATTTTCTTTGATCTCTAGTTTATTGCAATGAATCTCATTTTCTACAACTTGACGGGAAGACGAAAGCCACTTTGATGTCGGATTTGATTTCATTTGTTTATTGACCATAGAGCAAATGTGTTCATATGGCTATTCTATAGCCCGGAGGCGTTCCCCGCCAATATGAAGAGTTTATTTTATGGTCGTTAACGAGCCAGGCAAGGCCGGTTTAGAGAATGTGATATCGCTGTGTCCGTTTCCAGAACACCTTCAGCTATCACGCAGTCTGTCTGCCCGACAGCCTCGAGACGGGGACCGGGCCTACAATCCGTCATCTCATGCATTGTGGCCCACTTGGTAGCCCTTAGCCGTCTACCATCTCGGGTCGTGGATATCGTGCGAGTGGTGTGGGTGAGAGGAGGGGTTGTCGGGTGTAGGCGGTTGGGTTTGAAGTTTATGCATATTCTTTCACGGTTGCATCATTGATTCGTCTTGAAGACGGGTTGCTGTTCCATTGTTTGCGAGATGAAATTTCGTAGTGCTGACCATCGGTTCGCAGTAGGATTGGCATCAACGGCGGTGTTCTCAGCTGCCGGTGTGGATTGAGTTGGTAGAGTGGACATCTGTGCCATGTTTTTCGCGAATCGGTCTCGTTCAACCTTCTCCAGCTTCTCCCGACGCTTCATGGCTCCGGGTTTATGACGGAGGGTATTTTGCTTGATGACATTGACTTGACTGACCGCATCGTGGGAGTCATCGGCGGCATCTGGTAGGGCATCGGCGAGGGATTCGAGATTGGCGACCAATTTTTTCGAGGCACGTCGGCGTTTTGGAGTTTTGTTGGAACTCTTTGCGATCTTGGATATGAGGGTCGCACGCTTGATCTGGCGCTTATCTCTCTTGCTGGTTCGGAAATCATCCCCGGAGAGGGCAGGTCTGCCCGCGACCTTTGCCTTCATGGTACCTGGAAGAGAGTACTGTACAGTACGAGTACTCTGACGAGAAAGAACCGGACGGAGGGGAGTTGAAAAGGTGGAGCATGGGACAGCATGTGGGATCAACACTGAAAATTGGTAAGTAAACGTGACCGCCTTCCACTTTGACTCACCCTGTGGTACCCTCTCTCCAAACTTCCTCATCATTCACGGGGATTGACTGGGTTTGACTTAAAAGATTCTCGCTGTGACGTGACCCTTGATCCACAATGGTCGGGTGAATCCTCTCCCTTCACCGGTGACATCAGAAATAACGCTGTTAACGCTGTTTCTCCAATTGTTGTGTTCCCGATCTTTGTTCCTGTCGCTCCTCATTGGAGGACCTGCCGTGAATGTTCTCCCCCCGTCTTTCTCTTCTCGGTTTTGGCGCGGGTTACAGGTCCACGCTGCCTCGGTCGCCGCTAGCCACCCGGTTCCAGATTCATTTGCCCCGGTTGCCCCCGTCGCCGCTGCTATCGCCGTCGGCTTCCCTAGCGTCCTTTAAATCTGCTCTCCCCGCCAGACCTTCCCCGTGCAGATCATTTTCATCTTCACCTTCAACTTCTACGAGTATCGCCAACATGGGTTCCCTCGCTCCTTATCAGCGCAAGCACAAGATCACCGTCGTCGGCTCCGGTAACTGGTATGCTTCTTCTTTTCTTTGTTTCTGTTTCTGTTCCTGTTCCTGTTATGTCCCTGTCCCTGGCCTGGTGCACTCGTTGCGGCATGGGTACTTTTCTCCCATGCTCTGCTACTCCTCCCTTGGGAGCGTTGAGATCGTTGAAATCGTTGAAATCGTTGAGACTAACGTTGGGATCTCACCCACAGGGGCTGCGCCATCGCCAAAATCGTCGCCGAGAATGCCGCTAGCAACCCGGACATCTTCGAGGAGAAGGTAGAGATGTGGGTGTTTGAGGAGAATGTTGAGATCGCAAAGGACTCGCCCAACTTTGACCCCGCGAACCCCGGTCCCCAGAAGTTGACCGAGGTGATCAACCGGGCCCACGAGAACGTCAAGTATCTGCCTGGTGTGAGGCTTCCTGTCAACCTGCATGCCAACCCGTCCCTGGAGGACGCGGTCAAGGACAGCACCATCCTCGTTTTCAACCTGCCCCATCAGTTTATCCTCAAGACCTGTGAATCCATCAAGGGTAAGATTCTGCCCTATGCCCGTGGTATCTCTTGTATCAAGGGCGTCGATGTCAACGAGCACGGCATCAACCTGTTCTCCGAGACTATCGGCAAGATTCTGGGCATCTACTGCGGTGCCCTGTCCGGCGCAAACATTGCCAACGAGGTGGCCAGGGAGAAGTGGTCCGAAACCACTGTCGCCTACGACCCTCCTCACCTGGACTCCAAGGCCCCCTCGCCCTCGGGCTCCCAAGTCAACCTGGTGGAGTTTGAACACAAGGACGTCTCTGGCAACTTGTCCAATGTCAAGCTCCAAGCATTGCCTTCGGACTACCCACCCATTGACCACAACATCCTGAAGTCTCTCTTCCACCGCCCCTACTTCCATGTTCGGGTAGTGAATGACGTCGCTGGTGTTTCTATCAGTGGTGCCTTGAAGAACGTTGTCGCGCTGGCCGCTGGCTTCGTTGTGGGCATGGGCTGGGGTGACAACGCCAAAGCTGCCGTGATGCGCGTGGGTCTGATGGAGATGGTTCGATTTGGTGACAAGTTCTTCGGAGCCACCATTGACCAGCGGACATTTACCGATGAGAGTGCCGGTGTCGCCGATTTGATTACCAGCTCCAGCGGTGGCCGTAACTTCCGTTGCGCCAAGTACAGTGTTGAGCGCAACCAGTCTATCGAGCAAATCGAAAAGGATGAGCTCAACGGCCAGTCGCTGCAAGGTACTCTCACAGCTGCCGAGGTCAACAGCTTCTTGAAGAAGCAGGGCCAAGAGGAGGATTTCCCCTTATTTACTGCTGTCTACCGTAAGTCCCTTCCCCTTTTGCATGGGAAGACTTGTATACTTACAAATTTGGACAGGCATTCTGCAAGGAACTATGCAGGTCTCAGAGCTTCCTTCTTATATTGAGCGGTAAATGCTTTCTCATGGCGTCCCTTTTTCTTCGTATATGTTTTGTTAAAATTGTGATTCCTTGACAGCCCTCCGGTGATGCGTGCCCCGACTTCTACTTCTACTTCTGATCAGGATGGTGAGGATGATGGTTCTCGGTTTGCTGCTCGGCTTTGATTACGAGCTGTTTTTTTTTGTTTATTTTTTTTGGGAACGGGGTTTTAAGCTTGGGATTTTAGATAGATTTACGACTGTACTTATGCATCTAAACGAATTGGATATTACTGTTACGGGTATAGAATGGTGTGTGCAAGTATTTTGGTAGTTACTAGCACTGCTAGTAGACTATATTTTCTTGGTCTGCGGGGGGTCCGAGCTCCCAAGGTTTGCTGGGCAGTTGGCCCGTCGCACCCCTGTCCTGTCAGAGGTGCAGACAATGAACCGTGGAAGTAGTATAGTTTAGCATGAGAGAATTAGCACTAGCATAAGAATTACAATGACCATGACCATGACCATGAATGGAGATAAATGCCCCATATCTACGGAGTATAAATGCCCAAATCTGTGGAGTGGCAGGTATTCCCCGCGGGAGTCTCGACTCGGCGCTAAAAAATACTTGGCCAGGGCCCAAATGCATGATGTCATCTGGCGCGACAACGCCTGGTGAGGGGGAAACACTCAGCTCCCTCTTCTCCTCTGCAACCTCTTCTCGCGGCCTTTTTTTAGGCCATTCGCTCGCTGAACCCTCTCAGCGATCCACGGGGTACCATTTACCGGCTATTTCGCGGTGTGTCGTTTCGATAACCAGCTCCAGTCCTAATTGTCGCAGAATTTCCATCATTCCACACACGACGATCATCATGGCCCCCCCCACGCCATGTCTATCTCTTGCCATTGAAGGATGATGGCTCCCCCCGATGTACCGGGAGGATACATTTATCTCCCGCCTCCGACTGATGAAGGTTATCTCCTTCGTTTCATCATCGAGGGAACCAGCTCCATCTGCCGGCATGGAAGCCTCTGGGTCAACCTCCCTGAAGAAGGGAAGGACTTTGATCGCCATTCATTCCGTGAATTCAGGTATAGATAATCTTCCCGTATTTGAAAAAATCTCGAAATGAAAATATATTGATTGAGTGTAGACTGCAGCCGAATTTCAACCAGAACATTCAAATCGACATCCCAGTGACTCGTGCGGGTGCTTTTGCCTACTACACTACATTCTATCCGTTGCCAGAGTTCTCGGTCGAAGATGTCCCCGCTACAGAGCCAACTAAAACTTCGCTTCACTACATAGACGTCTCGCCGAGACTGACTGTCCAGAACAAGGATCTGCCCCTTAATGCACTCTCCATCTTTTCGGTGATCTCCAAATTCATGGGCCAGTACCCGACCGACTGGGATAAGCATTTGAATGGAATTAGTCAACGGAATTACAACATGGTTCACTTCACTCCTCTAATGGAGCGTGGTGCCTCCAATTCCCCCTACAGTATTTACGATCAGCTTTCATTCGATCCTGCCTTTTTCCCCAATGGGGAGGCTGATGTGGCATCGCTTGTCTCGCGAATGGAGAAGGAGTACGGGCTATTGACTCTGACGGATGTCGTTTGGAACCACACGGCTCACAACAGCAAATGGCTGGAGGAACACCCCGAGGCAGGGTATAGTGTGGAGACCGCTCCTTGGTTGGAGTCTGCCCTCGAGTTGGATACTGCCCTATTGAAGTTCGGCGATGATCTCGAAAGTCTTGGACTACCGACAGAATTCAAGACTGCCGAAGACCTAATGGCTATAATGAAGGTCCTGCGTAAAGAGGCTATCGACGGGATTCGTCTGTGGGAATTTTATGCTATCGATGTCAAGGCCGATACCAAGAAGATCCTAGAAGCCTGGACTACTGGAAAGGTAGACCGGACCACTCTGGAACATTCTGATGTGCAATTATTCAAGGACCTACCACCCAAGAAGCAAGCTTTGACAATTCGGGAACTCGGTATCCCAAACGCGAAGCAGGTTCTTGGACGATTCGGCCGTTCCGTGGATGCAGCATTCGGTGCGGCTTTGCTCACAGTCCTCCACGGCGAGTACAGCCAAGCCAGCTCGAACGTTGGTGAAGTCGAATCCTCCTTGTCGAAGATCCTTGACGCCGTCAACCTACCCCTCTACGAGGAATATGACACGGATGTTGCCGATATTATGGACCAACTGTTTAACCGCATCAAGTACCTACGAATCGATGACCATGGTCCCAAAATGGGACCTGTGCACAAGGACAGCCCTCTCATCGAGACCTATTTCACCCGTCTTCCAGAAAATGAGGTTACCAAGAAACACAGTTCAAAGTCATTGGCACTGGCCAATAACGGATGGATTTGGAACGCCGACGCGATGCGTGACAATGCCGGACCGGATTCTAAGGCCTACCTTCGTCGTGAGGTCATCGTTTGGGGTGATTGTGTCAAGCTCCGCTATGGAAACTCGCCCAAAGATAACCCATTCCTTTGGGATTTTATGACTCGATACACCCGACTTATGGCGAAATACTTTACTGGATTCCGCATTGACAACTGCCACTCGACACCTCTTGTCGTAGCTGAATATTTGCTAGATGAAGCTCGAAAGGTCCGACCAGACTTGACGGTATTCGCCGAGCTATTTACAGGATCCGAAGAGGCCGATTATGTTTTCGTTAAGAGACTCGGAATCAATGCCCTCATCCGGGAGGCCATGCAAGCCTGGAGCACCGCAGAATTGAGTCGTCTAGTCCACCGTCATGGAGGTCGTCCAATCGGTAGCTTTGATGTGGATTTGCCATCCGCTGGCAGCTCTCACGCCATTGCGTCTGCGAAGAGCGGAGCTTCAGATGAAAAGATTACCCACATTCGGCCGTTGCCTGTCCAGGCCCTCTTCATGGACTGCACCCATGATAATGAAGTGCCGGCCCAGAAGCGAGATGTTAGGGACACCCTTCCCAACGCTGCCCTCGTTGCCATGTGTGCATCTGCCATCGGAAGTGTCATGGGATACGATGAGATTTATCCTAAACTTATTGACCTGGTCCATGAGACTCGACAATATGCATCTCCGTTCTCCGGGGATCATGAGCTGAAGGCTGGGGGTGGTGAAGGTGGCATTGGAGGTGTCAAGAAGATATTAAATGATCTTCACACCATGATGGGCGTTGAAGGCTACGATGAGACTCATATCCATCACGACGGGGAATATATCACCGTTCATCGAGTTCATCCCAAGACCCGAAAGGGAGTTTTCCTTATCGCTCATACGGCGTTCCCAGGAAATGACAGTGGAGCTGTCTTGGCTCCAACTCACATCAGTGGTACACAGGCCAAGCACCTCGGGTCATGGGTACTGGACGCCGATGCCTCCGATGATGCTAAGGCTAAGGCTTTGTCGGACGATAAACAGCTGAGAGGACTTCCCAGTCAGACACGTGATATCGAAGGCACCAAGATCGAAGGTGATAAAGATGATGTGACTGTGGCGGTCTTGGAAACATTGGTCCCTGGATCCATTGCTTTGTTTGAGACCTGGATCCCTAGCGCCGAGCACGCAAAGGGGCTCGACAATTTCGTTTCTACCGGCGCCGATGAGGCATTCTCGGATTTAAGCTTGGTCGACTTGAACTTTGCTCTCTATCGCTGTGAAGCTGAAGAGAGAGACTCCAGCAATGGCCAGGACGGTGTCTACACTATTCCCAATCACGGCCCACTTATCTATGCCGGTCTTCAGGGTTGGTGGAGTGTTCTTGAGGATATCATCAAGTACAATAAGCTCGGCCATCCACTTTGCGACCATCTCCGCGAAGGTCAGTGGGCTCTCGATTTCATTGTTCAGCGGATGGAAAAGGTCGGGGCTAGAGAAGGCCACGCTGCCCTTAATAAGCCTGCTGCTTGGCTGAAGGAGAAGTTTGATGCTGTTCGCGGGTTGCCAAACTTCCTACTTCCTCGCTATTTTGCCATGATTGTACAGGTAGCATACAATGCTGCTTGGAAGACCGGCATTCACCACTTCAGTGATCTTGTGAGACACGGCCAGGAGTTCACTCACCAGCTTGCCATGGTTAGCGTTCAGCAAACTGGATATGTCAATTCGGCCTCTTTGTGGCCTACTAAGCAAGTTCCCAGCCTGGCTGCAGGCCTACCTCATTTCGCGGTCGACTGGGCCCGCTGCTGGGGCAGAGATGTCTTCATCTCCATTCGCGGTCTTTTCCTTTGCACAGGACGCTTCGATGATGCAAAGGAACATATCTTAGCTTTCGCGAGTGTTCTCAAGCACGGCATGATCCCCAACCTTCTCAGCAGCGGCAAGCTGCCCCGTTACAATTCCCGAGATTCGGTTTGGTTCTTCCTACAAGCTATCCAAGACTACACCAACATAGTTCCCGACGGAATCAAGCTTTTGCAAGAAAAGGTCCCAAGGAGGTTCCTCCCATATGATGATACATGGTTCCCATTTGACGATCCCCGCGCCTATTCCAAGAACCCGACTGTTCTGGAGGTCATCCAAGAAGTTTTCCAGCGACATGCCCACGGGATGTCATTCCGAGAATACAATGCTGGATCCGACCTTGATGTTCAGATGAAGAGTGAAGGATTCCAGATCGATGTCAAGGTAGACTGGAATACCGGTATTATCTTTGGTGGCAGCCAGGATAACTGCGGTACGTGGCAAGACAAGATGGGTGAAAGTGAAAAGGCCGGCAACAAGGGTGTACCAGGCACACCGCGTGACGGCGCTTCAATCGAGATTACCGGACTTTCGTACAGTGCCCTCGCGTGGGTTGCAAAGCTGAACGAATCAAATGTCTATCCCCATGCGGGAGTCGAGACCAGTGAGGGTAAATCCATTAGCTTTGCTGAATGGGCGAACAAGATCAAGACAAATTTCGAGCGATGCTACTTCATCCCCGTGAACCCGGCCGAAGATGGCCAATATGATGTGGATGCCAACATCATCAACCGACGAGGCATCTACAAGGATCTCTACAAGTCCGGCAAGCCCTTCGAAGACTACCAGCTTCGAGCCAATTTCCCTATTGCAATGGCTGTTGCACCCGACCTCTTCACGCCCGAAAAGGCCTTGACTGCTTTGTCAATCGCCGATTCTGCCATCGTTGGCCCCGTCGGAATGTCTACTCTGGACCCCTCGGACCTCAACTATCGCCCTAACTACAACAACTCGGAGGACTCCACCGACTTCGCCACTTCAAAGGGCCGCAACTACCACCAGGGCCCCGAATGGGTCTGGCAACGTGGCTACTTCCTCCGTGCTCTATTGCACTTTGATCTCCTGCGTCGCAAGACAGCTGATGAACGCATTGAATCTTTCCAACAGGTTACTCGGCGACTGGATGGATGCAAAAAGGCGCTGCGGGAGAGCCCATGGAAGGGCCTGACTGAGCTTACCAACAAGAATGGAGAGTATTGCGGTGACTCGGTAAGTTTTGAAGATTTCTCCAGCTTGTCCCCTATACTAACCGCAGAATTATAGTCCCCCACCCAGGCATGGTCTGCTGGATGTCTTCTTGATCTATATTATGATGCCTCCAAACTTTCTTAGATAATTTTGATGATAGTTAGAGATATGATTACATAGCATTATGAAAGCGTTCTTTTGATGGACAGTCCTTTATTTGCATCGTGGTATCAATAACAGAGCAGCGGAGTACAAGCTCAAACACATCTCAATGACCCTAAGAACTGCTTTAGTGTTGTAGGCCAATCGAGCTGTCATTGTTCCTGTCATCTCTATAGATGTAGATCGTAAAAATGACCATATCTCATTTAATACCTACTCTCTCATAGACTCATATTAAAAGAAACCTTGAGGAACCTTGGCTGCAGAAAAATAATTGGTGAAGCGTTCCTAGTCGTTCGTTCAGTCGAGCTGATTGCTTGAAGCATAGCGGAATTATGCAGCGCACAATATGGAGCTGGATGACTAAGCACGTCGTCATCGAAGAAAACAAAGGAGCTCCGGAGGTCCTTCGTTCTTCAAGATCGCCTTGCAACTGTGAAACGCGAAAGCTCGGTCGAATACTGCGCGAAGATACATCTGTGCTAGTCTCTCAATAGATCTGCCAAGTCGCACTTCTCAACCCCGCCATTACGCCCTCGATGGACCGGTAAATTGAACATCCCTCCGCCCATTTGACTTCACCGCAACCTTCCGAGTCGGAAGGTACTCTTGCAGAAACGATGTCATTTACGACATCGGCAGCAACTGCACTATGGACCGCGCTTAAGGATGACACGCACGATGGAGACGGAAAGCCGAGGCTGTCGGATCCGAGGGCAGAGCAGCGTGACCTGTATACACAATTCGTGATCAGCTTTGCTCTCGGCCTGGGGGCCTTCATAACTTTCTGCGTAAGTTTTTGACGTCCAAGTACGAATTTCATCTCTTATTAACGCCTGACTGGCTGTAGATATTACGCCCCAAATGGACTGAGCTGTATGCAGCGCGAAGACAACAAAGATGCGCCGCTTCGCGGCTACCGGAGTTGCCGGACAGCTTTTTCGGATGGATCCCAGTGCTGCATCGCATAACAGACGAGGAAGTGCTCTACTCGGCTGGTCTTGATGCATATGTCGTGAGTCCGCTTGCTTGCCTCTTTACCCTTGTGGGCCGTTCGCAAACGACATTTCGCTAATATTAAATTATGCTAGTTTCTTTCCTTTTTCAAATTTGCTATTCGATTCCTGCTCGCCGTATTTGCCTTCGCGGTAGCCATTATTCTTCCCATACATTACGCATACATCGGAGAGTACGGAGTTCCCGGTTGGGACAAAAACGACCCACCTGGCAATGATACTACAAGCGGGATAGGTCAGTTTTTCAAGGACAAAGACAAGAACAAGACCAATTACTCCTATCTCTGGATATACGTCATTTTCACCTACATCTTCAGTGGCTTGGCCGTGTACCTTTTGCTTCAGGAAACGAAGAAAATCATTCGCACTCGACAAACCTATCTCGGCAGCCAAACCAGCACAACGGATCGTACGATCCGCCTCTCTGGCATTCCGCGTGACATGGCATCGGATGATAGCATCAAGGAGTTTGTGGAGGGACTGAAAGTAGGAAAAGTGCAGAATGTCACCCTATGCCGAAGGTGGCGTGAGTTGGATAATCTCATTGATGAGAGGATGAAGGTTGTTCGAGAATTGGAACGGGCTTGGACAAAACACATGGGATACAAGCGCCCACGAAATGATGGGAATACGCTACCGCTCACGCGCCAGCCCCCGTACGCTACACTTTCAAGTCTACCCTTAGAAGAGGACCATGAACATTCCCAACTACTCCCGGAAAGCGAGCGCGAACACATCTCGGCATATAGCGACGAGCGCCCCAAAGTTCGTGTCTGGTATGGCCCACTGAAACTCCGATACCGATCAATTGATGCGATCGACTATTATGAGGAAAAGCTGCGAAAGATCGATGAGCAGATCCAGACTGCTAGGGAGAAGGAGTATGCCTCCACCGAGATCGCCTTTGTCACAATGGAATCAATCGAGGCGTCTCAGACGCTGGTCCAAACAATTCTTGACCCTCACCCGATGCAAATGTTTGCTCGACTCGCGCCAGCACCAGGTGACGTTATCTGGAAGAATACCTATCTTTCTCGTACCCGCCGCATGATCCAGTCATGGTCTATCACACTCGTCATCGGGTTCCTGACGGTCTTCTGGTCTGTTCTCTTGGTTCCTATTGCAACTTTACTGGAACTGGAGGCCCTCCACAAGATCATTCCACAACTTGCAGAATTTTTGGCAATGCATCCTTTCTTAAAATCGCTGGTCCAAACTGGTCTGCCAACTTTGGCATTCTCCCTGTTAACTGTTGCTGTTCCATATCTATATGAATGTGAGTTTTTACTAATGCTGAAAGAGTCGTAGGTATGAATTGAAAAACTGACCAAGGTTTAGGGCTATCCAATCACCAAGGAATGATGTCGCGCGGCGATGTTGAACTTTCCATCATCTCGAAGAACTTCTTCTTCTCGTTCTTCAACATGTTCCTTCTTTTCACGGTGTTTGGCACAGCAACTGGATTTTACGGCTTTTGGGAAAACTTGCGGGATGCCTTCAAGGATACCACAACCGTTGCACTTGCACTTGCCACTTCTCTGGAAGGCCTGGCGCCATTTTACATCAACCTATTGATTCTACAGGGTCTTGGTCTATTCCCTTTCCGACTTTTGGAGTTTGGAAGTGTTGCTTTGTATCCACTCAACTTCCTTAGGGCCCGAACACCCCGAGAATTTGCAGAGCTGTCCACGCCACCCAAGTTCAGCTATGGGTTCTCCATCCCACAGACCGTTTTGGTCTTGATCATCTGTGTTGTCTATAGCGTGTTCCCCAGCTCCTGGCTGATCTGCCTGTTCGGTCTGGTCTACTTCTCCATCGGACAGTTCATCTACAAGTACCAGCTTCTCTACGCCATGGACCATCAACAACACTCGACTGGTCGTGCTTGGCCAATGATCTGCAACCGAGTTTTTGTGGGGCTGGTCGTATACCAGCTCGCCATGATCGGCGTATTGGCGCTACGCAAAGATATCACTCGCCCTCTGCTTCTTGTACCTCTTCTGGGCTTTACCGTCTGGTTCAGCTACTGGTTCGGACGGAATTATGAGCCACTCATGAAGTTCATTGCTTTGAAGAGTATTGATCGCAACCTCCCTGGCGGCGGAGACATTTCTCCCTCGCCATCATCTACGCTTTCACCACCTTCTGGCTTAGACCGTGATGCGGCACCTATTCGCATAGGGGGTCGTGAGCTCGAACTGCGACTGAAGAAATATGTTAACCCGAGTCTGATTGTGCCACTCCATGGTGCTTGGCTGCCAGGGCGGAATCCTGCTCAAGGCAATGGAGCTTCCGCATTCGAGGTCCACCAGACTCGGAATGACATCAGTCCATGATAACCTACCAGTGATTCTACTATCGACAGTTTAATTTTGACGCAAATGCCTGTTATATTTTTCCTTTCTTTTCTTTTCTCGAATTTCCACGATGCTATACGACCTTGATACCTCTCCCTGCCTTCTTTTATCTTGTGCTGGTGATCATCTCTGTGTACCCTTCCCGTCATATTGCCCGTCTCTTGCCTTTTTATTTTTCAAATCTGTTTTCAATCATTTGGCCATCATCACCTAACTATTCTTTACTGCACATTTGATCTATACTACTAGTACGCATCTCGGTTTTCGGACTCGGGTCAGCTTTACTCCGCGGTCTCAGTATGTCATCTTTTACATTCCCGGCATGCTTCCTTTTCCATTTGAGGATAGAATTTTGTACAATATGGCGATCGCCAGACTGGCGGACATGGACATGCCGCCGGCGCTCTAGACTGTTCATGGTACCCGCCAGTGTTGCCTGACAGGTGGAATTTGACACATTGACCTCTTCGGTTATACTATCTGGACCCATTCTTCAAGTTTCAGATTGTCCGTGGCCAACGTGGCAGTGGCAATGTCGGGGCTGTGAGACTTGGGGCAGAGTTCAATTATCTTGCCACCAGCCAGCTGACACTACAGGTGATCAGTCATGCCAAGGTTGAGGAGGGGGTGCATTTCCTTGAATAGGAGCTACGGCCCGAGACTGATCACGATGCGCCGGTACGGATGTTAGGGCTGGAATGTGAAAGTAGTGCATAATACTAGTAACTATCTGTACTATCTTTCAGCTTCGTGTTACAGATAAGCTGTGCGTGCTGGACTAGGTTCAAGCTCCTCATCTACATCAATGCCCTTTCCCATTGACAGGCCAGTAAAACGATTCGAGTTGGCTCCGGATTCGGTGGGTATTATTCTATGAGATGCCCCAAGGTACCATGGCAAAAAGCAACTACCGATCGAACCGGGGAGGGTTGATCAAGTGCCCCATATCCAAGTATGAGGCTATTCTCAAAACGACTCGGCATGGTACACTGTACAGCGGTGTACTCAGACTCGGTACGACTGTTAGTTACTAGTCGAGCTGACATTGTATGGAGTCGGCGGGTGCTTCTGGAATCCGAAGTATCCAAGGGGGTCCACATGGCCCGCATGGGATCGAGGGTCAACATTCCGGAGGGCCTTGCAGCGGTTATCATAATATCCAAGACAAGGGGGCCGTGTGTATTATAGGATATGATGAGTGTTGTTGTGATTTATTCGGATCAAATCACCAGTTTGAACTATCCAGAACAAAACAGAGGAGAGACATGGCAGAAACAGAGGAGAAAAAGGGGAAGAAAGTGTTCAGTCTGGACTGTGCAGAAAGGTGCATCGTTGCTGCATTCGGCATCATCGCATTCTTCGCTTCCACTTCCACTTCCACTTCCACCTCCGCCTCCACTCTTTTCCACTTCCAATGCCAGAGTTACAGACCCATCTTTGATTCTGTTTTACACACTGCCCGCCCAAGTCCGTTGCCTCGTTCATTCCCCACCCCACCTCGATGCGCAACTCACTCTTACTCGTTCACATTGGCTCTCACACTCACACTCGCGGCTCAGCCATGAACCTACCTCCGATGAGGCCTCTGGAAGTGCTCCACTTCTTCGGATTTCCGCCGTCAACGTGGCTCATGTCTTAGTCTCGACGTCAAGACGATGGCGAAACTTTGAATGTATAGATTGGAGGTCTCCCTCTCCTGGTCCTGCAGTAGAAAAACCCTTGCCTCGTCCCCCCGGCTGCCCGAGTCTATCTATCAGATTCTTCGTCCACACTCTGCAGCTCAGGTTCAGGTTGTCCCAGGGACTCTTGTTGTGTCTACCCCACCGCTTTCGCGTTCGGTTCGGTGACACCATCCCATTTGAAGCGGAATACAACCTCGCGACCCGATTCCCACATATTTGCCTCAAAGCCCGGACTCTCGTTCTCTCTCTCTCGCTTGCTCGCCATTCTCGTGGGAATACCACCATGAGATACTCCCGCCCGTGAGATCGTGCCCACCAGATTAGATCTGTCTTTTCATGCTCCGCTAGCGAATAAAACGCTCGATGCGTCATTGAATCTTCTCCACATCTCGATCTGCCGTTTGATGTGGAGCCCTACCGTCCCTCATTTTAGACTTATCTCACATTGCCGGCCGATCATCTGTACGCATCTGGAGTGGAATATCTCTTTACCACCCCCGAGGGAAAAATCTTTGTGGATTCTGGCTTTTGATCGATTTCATCTTTCCGAGTCAACTTCTGTTCATTGAATCACTCTCCAAAGCTAATAACATCGACAAGTTGTGGTGTGTTGAGTGGCCAGGGCTGCTACATGGCTAGTAGTATGCCGGCTCTGAGGTCTCACGACAACGGCTCTCTGAAGCACTTGTCCGCAGGTAGTGTTCTACAAGCCGAGCGAAAATCTGAAATTAGGCCAAAGGGTATCTCACAGCCACACCACTCAATTACAGCCGCAAATGATGTATCTTCCGGCGACTCCGAAGTAAATTCGACGACATACTATACTACTCCGAATGGCGGCGAGTATCCCAATATCGCGAGTGGCTCATCGTCCCCGGCTGCGAACATTACGCCACCTGAGATTCTGCTCCAAATATTTTCCATGTTAGCACCTCGGGATTTCGACAATGCTCGCCGTACATGCTCGCAATGGATGCGCGTGGGTATGCACCGAAACTTGTTGGAGACTATGCTCAAGCGAGCTGGGTGGTGGGATGCATATCAGCAGGATATTGAGAATCAACGAACCCGACCCCCGGCATCGATTGAAGAAAGTGACGTCTGGAAGATGAGCAGACGATTTGCAACCGAATGTCTACTAGCTGGACGAAAATCAAATATTGAAGAGTCTAGCTTTGTGGCCACACAGGTCATTGATTTCTCTGCGTTGGCACAGGGCTTCCCTCCTGCCAAAAGCCGTCGCCTCATCCCCAACGCTCGAGAAAAAAGGACACGGGAAACATCATCTACTTTCAGTGTCAGTACCTGCAGCAACTATGTTCTCGTGACGACCGGCTGCAGAATACACGTCTTTCAACTTCTTGGGAGAAAGCCTAGCTTATCCCGGTCTATAGATCTGGAGGACACCAACCTCGTCCCAATCACCACTATCGAATGCGAGCTCGAGGTTCTCTCCGCAGTTCTAGATACTAGTGCGCCCGAATTCATCATCGCGGCATTATTGGAAAATCGTGTGGGAATGGTGTGTGACCTGGATTTATCATCCACTGGCTCTGTATTCACTGCTGGCACAGTGAAGCAGGATACCCGCCAGATATCGAAGAACAATCACAGTTCGCAACATTACTACTACAATGTCTGCTCGGAGGACCACCCTCCCCGAACGATCGCACTGTATCCCGGTCGCCGCTGCGTCGCATTCGGTTGTGCAGGTGGCATCGAGATTCACTGGGTGGACGAGGCAACACATCGAGACCAAAGACGACATTTCCCGATGTCCCAGCCCTCCGAAGCCCTTCACTTCCTCCCGAGCACGTCTGGAACCCCGTCAGAAATGCGTCTCATATCCTCTCTGGCTGGACCCGGAGTCCACGAGTGCGCATGCCGACAATCACCAAACCCAGACCATCCCAAGAAATGCCAGTTCCATATGCTGTCAGGTCCCCAATCCTTCGGTCGCAGAGCTCCGACCGATACTTCTGCTATGAGCCTTGTTAGGGCTACACACTGCCACCACTATCGCGCGGTCCCTATCAACGATGGCTACCATATCATCTTCGTCGAGCCTCGCACCGGGCTCCTTTGCATTGGATCCGACGCTCCAATTGGCGGGCCAACAAGTATCACGCGAGCCTTTATCTGTGTCCCGCCTTTCGCTCGAGGAACCCCTCCTGATTCGAATGACGCTCGCAGCCCGACGGTTTTCACAGTAGGCTCCGATTTGAATTGGGGCCTGCGCGTTGTAGCTGCTTACCAAGACCGCATTGTTCTATACTCGGTGCCCCTAGATGTATTCAATGTGATTCGCAAAGAGCGCGAGCGTCAAGGTGACGGTGTCATGGGTGATAGTGACCTAGCGCACAACTGGTTTGTCGATCCGGAGCGCTGTCGCAAACGCCGCGAGAGCCTTGTACAAAATCAGAATGGAGACTGGGAATTCCTCCTGAGTGTTAGGTACCGTCCCACGGCAATGATGTGGCCTTTCAAGATATATGGGAAGGAAATTGGAAGAGTCGAAAATATTGTCGAGCTAGCACTACAGTCTAGCAATGGAGGCGCGCGCGTGTGGGCTTTTAGTGCGAATGGACAGTCCACCCTCTTCGACATTGATACATTTACGCCTTCGCCTCGTAACACACAGAAGACCCCTCGGTGCAATTCCATCACCATCGCATCAGACGGGAGTCTTCAGTTCGCTACGTCGGGCAACAAGCCCGAACCCGCCCTCCCTCTCCGGTCATCTCGCAAACGCAAATCCACACAATCAAACGATGACTTCGTTGGCCGATACGGTATGAGCCGCTTCGTGCCAAGTGTGTCTCCGGAAAGTGAACCTACCGACGCCGTTCGTACGGGAAAGCAAAATGGGAGTTCACCTGTTCGTCGTCCATCATTTGCTGCCTGCATTGTGGATTTCAAGATTCCGGAGCTTGGAACGAGAACTGGTCGATGGAGAGATGGTCTTGACTCATCTTGACTAGTACTTCTACTTTTGTATAAGTGTGACTCGAATCTGGTCGTAGTAAATTGCATATAAAGAACCGACCAAGTGTACCTAGATGAATATACTATATTTCAGATTTGATTTCAATCGTGGAAGCTGGAGCCACCTTCCAAGTTGCTTCACCTGAAGCCTCGGGTGTTTGCAACTTATCTAGTGAGATACTCACCTGTAGGGCTGGCATCAAGGTCGAGACTCGATCTAGGCTACTAGTACACACAAAGGGTATCAATCATCCAGTGTCCGCTCGCCATCTCCAAACACCTTCTTGAAGACATAATCATAACTATTCCACATAGTCGCAAATATCAAATTCAACAAAGACAACAGCCACGCTGGACTGCGGCCATCGGGGCCTGCAAGTTTCTTGCAGAGCGCGAAGAGGGAGAGAATGATGGGGCCGAACAAGAGCAGGATGACCACTTTCCCGACCTTTTGCCGGAACGTTGTAATCTGATACGAATGGAACCCGGAAAGATATTCTTGATAAGATACCGGCAGATTATGTTCCCTCGCACCAGTGGTGATTAGACCGAGGTAGCGAGCAGAAGGCTGGGCGTAATTAAGATTGGGACGCATGTGTCGGCCGAAGGTTAGTGGCGAGGGCTGTGAGCACGAGGATGGTGTCACTAGCGCACCGCCGCTTTCATCATCCATGGGCTGGGGCGAGAGGAGAGTATGTGCTTTGAAAGGAGGGGTGTTCGGATGACTAGGTACGGGATCGGTAGACCTGTAGTTATCGGGGAAAGCGTGACAATCCACCACGATATCCCGGTAACCACCGCCGCCCCCTCCGTAGCGATGATCTTCGCGTAGTCGGAGAGAGTTACCTCGTAAACCACTCCGACTAGTGGTTTATTCCAACGATGGGTGTGAGAGCCCGCTCGCAGCTCTCGCGTCTCACAGACAAGCGGTGTCTTTTCTGACAGGTATTCTCCATCTACACTGGACGCTGAGTCATCTTCAGAGGACTCTTCTTGTTCTTCCAAGGGGTCGGGATCCCGGAATTCTGTGGCTGCGAAACAGGGTTCAGCGTACGGAACACCCGGGAGATTAAATGATAACCGGAGCTCCGGTACAAGAACGATGATTTGCGAGAGAGGTTTAATCCCCCGCTTGCCGAGAAAGGTTTTGGCGGCTAGGTTGGATCCGTAGGCCAAGTAAAAGACTGACTCTTCCGTTCCCTCTGTCCCCGTCGTCAGGGATTTCCCTTCTTTGATTTTTTTGGCGATTTTCTCAGACAAGTGCACATCGTGATCAAGCGAGCCATCCAGACTGGAAGCGCGACGACGCTGTTTGGAGGTGGTTGGAGGAATATCGGGATCGATGTCTGCAGGTTGAGGAAAGACCACAGGGGGAAGGTCTTGCAGCCGGTTCAGAGGCTCAATAGCATTGAACCGGTACTGAGCAGGCGAGTCCGCCTCGTCATGGGCAATCTGGGGGGGATTTATCTCGAGCCATTGTGACGAAGAACAAACGGAGTCGGTGTGGCCAAAGAACAGAGCTGCAGGTTAGTGGATAGGTTAGTCATAGGCCAGCTTCTTTATACGTTAACATCCAGGCGTCCTAAATTGGACAGATCGGTGCAATTCTTCCCACCGCTAGTGCAACAAGGGCATTGATAAGCCAGTCGATTGCGATTAATAATCGCGGCAGGGTCGGGACCGGCTTGAATAGTTTCCGGTTCCCCGTCTGACGAGGGACGAGGGACGAAGGCAGGAAGCTTCCAGAGCTTCATCCGAAGGATTGACAGCAGCTGAATGGCGGCCTTTGATGATGTGGAGTAGCAAATTCGCGGTCAGTGCATCTCACTGATCTGAGTGCGATCGCCCGGGTAGACATCAAGGCCGCCGGCTCAAGGTTGGGCCTTGAACGAGTGACCGAGGAAGATGGGGAATGAGGAATATTAGAGGCAATCGAAATTGAAGGAGCAAAGGGAGAAAGCATCGAAGAATCGAAGAATCGAAGAAAAGAAAAAAAGAAGCTGCGTAGAAGGAATGCGCGCCACGCCCTCTCGGAAGGTGCGACTGGTGTACTCGTCATGTGATTCCAGTTCGACTGATTCAATCTCGCCGTGGACAACTCAGAAACCATTGGAACCCACAAGCAGCACTGATTATTCTATTCATCACTTCTCCTTCATGTTTGAAGCTGCCAGATGACTATGGTCCCATTCGAGGCATGTGAATCGTTGTGTGGAGAACACATTGGCCCGAACACCGGGTTCGCATCAACCCCATCGAGATACATTTGAAAGCTCTCAATACAACCATGAAGCGTCGCCGTGTCTCCGCAGCATTCGTCGAGTTAGACTCCGCAGATCTGATTCGGGCAAAGGATGAAGAAGCAAGCCTATCCGAGCCCAGGGTGCTCGCCTCGTCCCGAAATCAGAATCACCGTTCTCCCAGGATCGCAGGAGCAACGGCCGAAGTGAATATCATGTTGGGCGAGAATTCAAGCAAAGAAGGACAAAAAAAGACCAGTGGTGGCCAGCGCATGAGCTTATATACTTCCCAAATAGATGATTCGTCACACTTGGCTGATATCGCGCCTAAGCCTCGTGACATGGAGCACGCCATGTCCACGACGAGCCACACAACTGAAACGTGCGGCGGCACATCATTGGTGACCAGCAATCTGGTGGCTAAAGAAGATAAGCGACGCCCGACTACAGAATATAAATCAATATCCAACGTGAAATTACAGCCCCCACTGCGAACGATGGTTACCCGTTCTGGCTCAGCGACCAGTAACCCACAGGATGATAAATCGCAAACTAACCATTCTGAGGTCGTTTCTGTCACAAATTTGACAAGTGCTCCGTCTCAACTTGAAGCTCTAGATGCAGAGTCGGGGTCGACCGGGCAGAGCATGCAAGGGCGTTCTATACCCTTTCGGCCAAGACGCTCTACTCGCAAAACTCACACATTGCAGACAAAAGCAGACGTGGACCGGAGTGAGGCTGATGCAGATAGCGTGGGTAGGGGTGAAATTTCAATCTGGTCCGCAGGTTCCGAACATGCAAATCCACCAAATCGAAAAGGCAAACGCCGACGGAGAGTCTCCAGGCCCCATACGGCCTCGGGAACTCGCAGGACATCTGCCAGGAAATGCAAAAATTCCGGCCATGCAATCAATCAGTTGCCGCTAACCGTTGACCCTAGGGGTAGTTTCCAATTAGATCCGCCGGAGCCTGATGCAGTGCTGCACTCAGCTGTGGTCGAATCAAATCCTATGGACGTGAATGATGGCACGGATATCCCTGGCATCACTCTTCCTGACATCGAAAAGCAACAGCCGAGTAGGACCGATGTATTTACTCACAGCCAGGCGCTTGTCGTTATATCAAGCTGCTCACCACCCGCCTTTGATCAGACCATGCCAGATGCTGATTTCAAAAGACCTCCCGATCAACACTCTTTGATGTGGGATGCTCATGGAAGAGGCAAGGCAGTCGGGAAAAAACTGATCGATGCTTTCAGGGGGTCAAAAAAGACTACTCGCAATCACCAGGCCCTCGGAAATGGCGCTCACTCCACGCAAATGTCTGGAATGACCCCAAACAGCCCCAATTCCCCCTATTACTACCGTCCTACAGAAACCTTCTACTCGCATTACTCGCAGCCAGCTTTTGCGGGGGTCGAAAATAGGAGTAGAGCAAGTGAAAAGCGCTTCCTCAAATGCATGCGGGGGGCCGGCTGGACCTCAACCTTCCCGATTGGCTTTAGACGCGGAGATGCTTTCTCAAAGGATGGATGCCCTTGTGGATACAGCTGACCCGGCAAACCCCCAGCCACCCTCAGCTCGAGCGCGTTCGAACAGCAAGGAATCAACAGGACATGAAACCGGAAGAGATGGAGCAATCAAATGTGATAAAATGCCAGAAGATGATCCGCAGATGCCCCGTTTCTCGGACTCTCCGGCTAATATGGCTTATACTCCGCTCGCAAATTATCGAAAAGAAGCGGATCCCCAGATCTTTGGAGGTGAGACAGCTGTCTCATCGCAGATCTCAGTTGTATCAGAAGACCACCATATTGAGGCATCATTTCGCCCGGGTGATAGGAGTGAACAGACCCCGGACTCCCAACGGCCATTGCTAGCAGCTCGCTCTCGGGCATCCGTATCGTGGCCTACACGACGCGGCTGCGCTGTTGATCATAATGGAAGCCCTCGATTGAAGCCCCAGGTGGTCACAAACACCGGTCAGTTTCAACCTCAGTTGGAAATGGGCCGGATCTGGTCTATGATTAGATTAAGCGATTCAAGCTCGATTTACCCATACTCGAGTGACGAGAGTCTTGAAGAGCACCTCCACGGGTACCTACCCGAGCACCAGCCTGTAGCCCGACCCATCTGGAGCAAATTCCAGCGTGACATGTTCAAAGAGTATGGCATAGAAGCAGAAGACCTAATCAAACAGAAGAAGAAGCCATGCCTATTTTCTGGAAGGGCCGAAAATGATAATTATGCGAAAACTCTCGAGGACAGCCAAAAATTGGAAAGTCGGCCGGCGAAATGCCCAACTCACATGAGCAAAGCTATCTCTGGCGAGACAAACACGCAGAGTGTCATTCAAGAAAAGTCACCGGAGGGACCGCGGAGTGGTTCACAGCCAAACATCGATTGCTCTGGTCAATTGTCGGATCAAAGGATAGATACCACAGTGCAAGGTGATACTGAGGGTATGGAATGGATCTCAGCTCTCAAGACTGCACAACAAACTGCACATGACCGATTACTAGAAACAAACCAGGTGAGTCCGATCTACTGAGTGATGTGCTAGTGCATTACTAAATGTATGACAGCACTTGTCGACTCAATTGGCTACTGAGCAAGAAAGCATCCGTGAAGTGCTACAGATCTATCGGCGGGGGTGCAATCTCATGTTACAGGAACTCTTCCGAGCACAAGAAGTACGGATGGAGCTATACCAGAAGCAGATGGCGTCGGTTAAGGAGCAACACACACAGATCTGCCAGGATTTAATTCGGGGATTGCAGGAAATGGACTGTCGGGTACAGCAGGGATCGGAGAGCCGAGGTGCCCAGGTGCCCAGCTACCCCATATTCCCTAGGCTTTAAGGGGCTAGGACCAAGGCCTAACGTACCTAGCGCCTGGAATCCCTGGAAGCCATGGAGGTACCTATTACTACGAGTATACTTTTTCTTACTCCGCAGTTGTTAACGCGCCCGCGGTGATTGGGGACTGGCGCCGCTCACCGAGGATCACGTGGAGTTGACTCATTCCTCCCTTGCTCTTTTTTTTCTTATTTCATAGCTGCTGCAGCTTCGTTTTTTCTTTTTTGCTCCTGGATTACAATTCCTCAATACTCTTCAATCAATTACCCTTTAATTTATTTTCATTTTCTCACCCTTTCCCCACCCTACCACATCCCCCATTCTTTGCCAATTGCCTCGCCCCGCCATGTCGGTTAGTTGACCCCTCATGAAATCATTGATTGCCCCGCCAAACACAACTGACACTCAATGGCTTAGTTCTTCATTGAAAACCCCAATGTGGGCAACCACAGTCACCTGGAAGACTCTCGCAGTACGTTCAACCTTGCTTTTCCCCAATTGGTCTGCTCTAACCATCGTGCAGTTGTCGGCTACAACCCCCTCACCCCACCTAACCTCCTTCAACATGAGATCGCCTTGACCGATAAGTCCCGGGAAACAGTTCTTAATGGTCGTACTGAGGCTGTAGCGGTCGTTCATGGCACCGACAAGGAGAGGCAGCGTCTCATGGTGGTCATCGGACCCTGCTCGATCCACGACCCCGATATGGCCCTGGAGTACTGCGATCGCCTGATGAAGCTGAAGGAGAAGTACGCCGATGACCTGTTGATTGTCATGCGCTCGTACCTAGAGAAGCCCCGTACCACTGTCGGCTGGAAGGGTCTGATCAACGATCCCGATATCGATAACAGCTTCAAGATTAACAAGGGTCTGCGCACCTCCCGCCAGCTCTTCGTTGACCTGACCAACAAGGGCATGCCCATCGCCAGTGAGATGCTTGACACCATCTCCCCCCAGTTCTTGGCCGATTGTCTTTCCGTTGGTGCCGTTGGCGCCCGAACCACCGAGTCCCAGGTTCACCGTGAGCTGTCCTCCGGTCTGTCCTTCCCCGTTGGTTTCAAGAACGGCACCGATGGTTCGCTCGATGTTGCTGTTGATGCCATCGGCTCCGTCAAGTCTCCCCACCACTTCCTGTCTGTGACCAAGCCTGGTGTTGTCTCCATTGTTGGCACTGTCGGCAACCCTGACTGTTTCGTCATCCTGCGCGGCGGCAAGAAGGGCCCCAACTACGATGCTGCGAGTATCAGTGAGGCCAAGGCTAAGCTCGAGGCCAAGGGCATGACTCCCCGTCTCATGGTTGACTGCAGCCACGGCAACTCCGAGAAGAACCACAAGAACCAGCCCAAGGTTGCCGCTGTTCTCAGCGAGCAAATTTCCGCCGGCGAGTCTGCTATTATGGGTGTTATGATCGAGAGTAACATCAACGAAGGTAAATATCAATGCTCCCCTGACAGTTCTCTCTTCATCGTGATTGTTGTTTACTAACTGTCTCCACTATAGGCGCTCAGAAGGTCCCTGCCGAGGGTAAGGCCGGCCTCAAGTATGGTGTCAGCATCACAGACGCGTGCATTGGCTGGGAGGACACCGAGACCACGCTCGAGACGCTTGCTCAAGCCGTACGCGCGCGGAGACAGAAACTGAATGGCGCCAACTAAGCCCATTCATTTGTGATTTCTGTCTGTCGCCTTTTAGCCTTTTAATGACACATGGATGTAATTATGGGGCATTGTCGAGCGTTGCCTGCCGGATTTGGAAAAGTTATAGTTCTATCTTGTCGAAATATCAAAATATTCTTCCTTCATTATTGGTCACCTGGTAATTCCTAGTACTACTAGTACTAGTACCTATTGCCCCCATGGCGGAAGAGCCATATGCTACAAGGTTGTAATAAATATCATGTACTAGCAGTATATTTTCATCACGTCTACCTACCTAGGTAGGTACTATGGGTAACATAGTACTATCTGTCTATATCGAGTTTCTAGCTAATTTTAGTAGCCACTTCCCGATCCCTCACATCTACTAACACTAAATAATGCTTCGGATCACTTGGGCATCGGCTAGGTGAGGATCAACCATGGACGCTCGTTCCTCCCCAGGTCGGATAATCCTTAGAATACTTTACCAAAAATTCGATCCGGTTTACACAATATCAACAAAGGTCAATATATACCAAGAAGTAAAAATTCACAAAAGAAATTAGATTCAGTTGACTCCTCGAGCACACAGTTTTCGGAAAGGCAAGGAAAAGAGAATATATCTCGGATACAGATACAGATGATTCCGGGGAGTTCTAACAAAACAAGGGCAAGCGACCCTAGAGACAAAAAACAAATGATGAAAGAGATCTTTCTGCGGTGAGAAGACCAACGGGGCAATAGTACAGGGGAATGCCCAATGGGCCGCTCAACCTCGTGGATACCTCCCATTTTCCCAACTCATACAGGCCATTCGGCCATCATGTTTAGCGGCGGGGTCCAATAGGGGGGGCTGTACACGATCTTTCTGGACTTGATGGGGGCCCACTTGTAGCGCTTGACCCAGACACTGATGGCGAACAGACCGGACAGGACAGCGATGGCCTTGACACCCATCTTCTTGCGGTCGTCCATCTCGGGCTCGGCGGCCCAGTTGAGGAACTCAACAACATCCTTGGCCATCTGGGAGGTGGTGGCGGGGGTGCCATCCTCGTACTCAACAACACCGTCGAACAGGACACGGCCCATGGCGATACCTAGATGTTGGATTAGCAATGCACTTTTATCAATTGAAACAAAAGTCGGCACATACCGGTACCGGGGAAGTAGGGGTTGAAGTTCATGCCCTCGGCGACGGCAGCACCGGCAGGAGCCTCATCGGGGTAACCGGTCAGAAGGTTGAAGATGTAGTCGCAGCCACCGTGACGGCCCTTGACGATCAAGCTCAGATCAGGGGGCAGAGCACCGGCGTTGGCGGCACGGGCAGCCTCGTCGTTCTTGTAGGGAGCGGGGATATAATCGGAAAGCTTTCCGGGGCGCTGCTCGATATCGCCCTGGTCGTTGGGCTCGGTGTCGTACTCGTTCTCCTCGGCCATGGTCTTCATCTCATCGACGGTGTGCATGACACCAACGAACGAACGCCACGGGACACGGGTCAGGGAGTGGCAGCTGGCGCAAACTTCACGGTAGACCTGGAAACCACGGCGAAGACTGAAGGAGATGAAAATGTTAGTGTTTGTGCCCAGGTGAGATGGCCGAATCGGGTAAGGCCGAAAAAAACACTCACGCGGCGTGGTCGAAGGTCTTGTTGAAGCGCTGGTGAACCCAAGGGTACTGGGTAGGGTGCAGACTAGAAGTAAGAAGCACAAGTTAGTCTAGCTGTCATTTATGATCCTGGTCACACAATTCTCGGCTCGGCACAGCGGAGCCGGCAGGCATTGGGGGGTTCCAATCCCAATGCCCCGGAAATCAAGTACTCACCCCTCCTCAGCAGGTGTAGAGGCGAAGGCTTCCTGGCCATAAAGATGGTAGTACCAGGCGGCGGAACCGGCAGCCGCGGCGGTTGCGAGCGAGGCAGTGAGGGTGAGGTGGAAGGGGGAGCTGGCGGATTCGGCGCCGGCGGCGGTGGAAGAGGCACGCTGTCAATTGAGTTAGCGAGTCAGGTCTTTCCGACTCAAACAGAGCATTGCGAATCGATTGCCCTTGTTGACCGAGGTCAATGGGTTGATCAGGTTGGTGAGAGCGTACCGTGGACTTGCCGAGTGACTGGCGTGCGATGGCCCGGTTGGGCACGCGCAGAAGGGAACGTGCCAGCATGACGAATTCGAACCCTCCGATCGACAAGCGATGGAAAGGAATCAAAAAGAAAAGTGAGAGGAGGGGAGGGGAGGGGGGGAGGGCGGGTACGTGGTGCACAAGGAGAAGTCGAGAGATGAGGTCGAAGGTCAAGTTTCTCGCTGGGGGCAGTGGGAGCGTAAAACCCTCACGCTGATTGGCCGAGGAGCTGCCGTCGGTGAAAACCGCGAATTCTTCGGGTGATGCTTTACTTCTTCTTCGACACTTTTTTCGGAAGAGGATTCAATTTTGATGCCAATGAAAATACAAATATATTCTACCAATTCCAAACCTCCCTCTCACTTCTTCCATTGGCTTGTCCGTTGACCTCGTCTCTTAATTGTTGGCCGTCTCTTCCCGATCCGTTCCGAAAAGGCCAAGTCACGTGCAACCCGTGACATTTGTCAACATCAATACATAACTCCTCTCCACGCTGTTGGTCGCCTCAATGCCGATACAACGGGCGCCTGGCAATTAACATCTGCTCAATTCGATGGTTGAATTGCAGATGTGAAGGGAAATATTAACTACAAACAGTCATCGACCACTTATTTCGCACCCCCCCTATCTCCTCGTATCTCCATTAAGAATCCGTCCTCTCCCCCTCCCTAACAACCGCACCGCTCTCGCTGGCGGCTATTCGACCGGAAATTCGCGATTCGCCCAATTTACCTCTATCCGGCAAGAAGAAATATTAGGATCTACCACATACCGAAGCCCGACCGCCATGGAGTTCATACTGTTCAAGGTAACCGCGAAGGAGTCCGCAAGCATATCGGCCTTGATAAAGCCGGGCATGTGAATGGCCTTTCCAAGGCTGTCATATTGATTATGTACCTCCGGTAGACTTTATTGGACATTGGAAGTCCCTCGAGCTGAGACATGTAGTTAGATTGGAGGAGATAGGCGGCAGAGACGCCGCATGGTTACACACCTGCAGCGCCTCTATGTTGCGGAAAGAAAGCCAAATTACGACTGGGAACCAATCGGAAATTGCTGCTCTGCGACTTCTGGTTTTCTAATGCTCTGGACTATTCCCCTCTGAACCTAGAGGAATATCCCTAACAATCTTTATCGTAGTCAATAACCTTGGCATTATAACATCACTCTACCGGCCAAGACCAATTCCGAGGACCGCATTGATGATGGCGCTACCGACAATCGTACAACTCACCTCAGGAAACACAAGAGCGAATACATTCTGGTTGGAAGTGCTCGTAGAAAAATATAAGCGGTTGAGAAGAAGGCCGAAACGGAACATGATAATATACGACATGCCAAGCAGCTATACTAACATGAATACATTTAACCAAATTTTAACGTAGCGTTATCCGTCTTTACTATTCCACCAGAAGCGATACGTTCAGCCAAGCCACTGGAATGTGATGTGATCCATGGACCTGCGTGTTGCAAATATCCATCTATGCCAACCCGAAAGATAGAACCTTGGGAATTGGCATAAACGTGCGATACCCCACGAGAGGTGTTTCGTTACGATGCAGATAATTACAGGTGGTCTTCGATTCATTAGTGCATTCAAATTAATCCATAGTGGGCCATAATATGTATTGTGGATGAGCGGTGCCGTCAAGTAAATCTGGTACCGACTAGGGTCAAGCAAGACAGTGTTCAATCCGATTACTACTCAAGCATTTGGAGAAGTGCGCGAGTCGCGATATATGAAAAAAAAACCAAATATAGTACTATATGAACGAATACTGTCAAGGCGATGGGATGTCTAAGCCTATACCATGAAAATGTATTAGAGGTTCTTGAAGGGGCAGTCGACTGGTCTATAATACTGCAAGCCATGCCGTGGTTGCTCAAATTTCTGCTTGGCACATAGTCAATACTTCGAGCGACATGATAAGTTTGTGAAATTGAGAACTAAAAATTGGCAACACATATTGATATCCTTGAAAAGGCCCGAAGCGGAGAACTGGAATTAACCGTAGAAACGGCTCTCTGAGTTCTTCTTGCTTTTTGACCATGACAAACAACCGACAATCGACAATAGAGTTGCGAAATTTTGGAACGTTTTTATTCTCCTTCCGTTTTCCAAATAGCATTACCGCACTAGCGTTCAAAACTTTCGCTGGCTAGTACGAAGTACCTCGGGTACTATTCGGCGATCAAGGATCATTATACTTTAGAATCTTCAGGTCTACTCGGAGACTGGGGTAGTTGGTTACGAATTTGGTTGAATAGCATCAATCCAAGGGATTTAATAAGTAGTTTCTAAATTTATCCGGTGAAATTATTGAGTTCGCGTCTCGCGCTTCCAATTGTCCGAAATAATTGGCCGAAGGCCGACGTCGAGGCGGTTGATGAGTCACTTGGGGACTGGGTTCAACGGACATAATTAGCATGCCTCTCGAGCTATGCACAATTCTTAATTGTTTATTAGATGACTCAGAAATCGCCATTTAAGGGACAAAAATACTTCTACTACTTCTTTTAATCCCCTTGTGAAGCAACAGTGTACGTTGCTGACATTGGAACGCAACAGAATGTCAGGAGCCATGCGACACACAATGTATGGTAGACTTGGCCAATTAAACATACCAAAAACGGGGTATCACTTTCAAAGGCATATCTCATCAATATCAACTGAAGCCTTTATGAGCCCCCCCGCTAAACGAACCCAGCATTCAAACGTAAGTGACTAGGCATCTAGCGATTGGAACCATGCAGAGGAACTTGCCTCACCTTGACTACAGAAAATATTACCTCCGCCGAGATACACCTTCCGGAAAATCCTCAAATCGCGCAAATGCTGCCCAGTCAAAGATTGCCCCAGATACATCGTGAGCCAAAAGCTTTTACGCAAGTGGTATGCAGACTGGCAACTAATCTAAGATTTGTGCAGATTTTTAGGAAAGACCGGGGGTCAAATATTTCATGAAATGATGATTCAACATGATGTTCGTCATATTTGTATGTAACATACCCGACCTCGAAGGTGGAAAACGTTGGCTTACACTGATACTCTTAACATAGTTGGCTATCCCGGAGGCTGCATACTCCCGGTATTCGACGCGATTCATGAATCGAAACATTTTGATTTCATCCTCCCCCGGCACGAACAAGGCGGTGGCCATATGGCTCAGGGGTACGCTCGAGTGACCGGCAAACCTGGGGTTGTGCTGGTCACATCTGGACCAGGCGCAACAAACCTCATCACGCCAATGATGGATGCGCTGGCTGATGGTACCCCCATGGTTGTGTTTTGTGGGCAAGTTAGCACCAATTCAATTGGTATGGATGGCTTTCAGGAAGCAGACGTTCTATCAATGTCTCAACCCTGCACAAAATGGAATGTCAGCGTGCGCAAAACGGCAGATTTACCGAAAAGGATCAACGAAGCCTTTGAAATTGCTACAAGTGGTCGCCCGGGACCAGTTCTGGTAGAGCTTCCAAAAGATGTTACTGCAGGTGTACTATCTACAAAAGTTTTTCCCGACCGCCCCAAAGATTCTTCAATTGCGACGATGGCCATAGGAGACGCTCAGCGCAACCAGCTTCTTCAATCAATTGAAGCGGCTGCTAAATTAATCAACATGGCTGAAAGGCCTGTTATATATGCCGGTCAAGGCATACTTGCGACTTCCAAGGGACCTCGATTTTTGAAGGAGCTTGCCGACAAATCGTCAATACCCGTGACAACTAGCCTTCAAGGCCTGGGAGCTTTCGATGAGATGGACCCCAAGGCCCTACATATGCTAGGTCTTCACGGATCTGGATATGCAAACATGGCCATCCAGAAAGCGGATTTGATTATCGCCTTGGGTGCAAGGTTTGACGACCGAATGACTGGAAGCATCCCAAAATTTGCGCCGGAGGCCAAACTAGCGGCCAATCAAGGTCGTGGCGGAATCATTCATTTTGATATCTCTCCAAAAAATATCAATAAAGTGGTGGAAGCTACAGTTGCTGTCATAGGTGATTGTGCAGAGAGTCTTCGGCTCCTTTTGCCTAGAGTCAAGCCGGCACAGCGTCCTGAGTGGTTATCGCAAATACAATCTTGGAAAACACAGTATCCATTCCAAGCAATCAATCAAAATGGCAGCGATGACATGATTTTACCACAACACTTCATCGAGCGGCTTAGTGAAGCTGTTGATCCTATCAAAGAGCGCACAATAATTACCACTGGTGTCGGTCAACATCAAATGTGGGCCGCTCAGCATTTTCGATGGAGATACCCCAGAACAATGATTACTTCTGGTGGACTTGGAACGATGGGATATGGATTGCCTGCAGCGATCGGTGCAAAAGTCGCCCGTCCAGATGCCCTTGTGATTGATATCGATGGGGATGCATCCTTCAATATGACAATTAGCGAGTTGGTAACAGCGAGCCAATTTGGAATTGACGTCAAAGTTGTTCTTTTGAATAATGAAGAGCAAGGCATGGTCACGCATTTACAAACGGTCTATTTCAACAATAGGTTCTGTCATAGTCACAACCTCAACCCGGATTTCGTGGAAGCCGCTAGAGCTATGGGCGTTCAGGCTCAGAGTTGTTCTAAGATGGAAGAAGTCGACAAAAAATTGGATTGGCTGCTAAAAGCTCGCGGGCCCGCGCTTTTAGAAGTCAAAGTTGCCCAAAAGGCGTTGTCTTTGCCAATGGTGCCAGGCGGGCGTGGCCTTGATGAGTTCCAATACTACTAACAGTTAGTTAATACTTTTTGAGTATATCCAAGTAGTTAGTGAGACGTTGGAAGGCCAACCTTGTCCAGATAAGGTTGAACAAGACAGATATACCAGGCGATCCACTGAAGTATTTAAAATCACTTCGATTGAAGACCAGAAAATACTTAGGAGCCCGACGGGTCGCAGACAAGGTCGGCGACCACGAATCGGCGTTTCCTTTCAGCCGGCCTTTGGAAGGTAGCCTTTTGATTCGGGGTCTATCATTATGAAAGATTTTACAATTTTTTTTCTCGGCCGGTAGTAAATTCTTTCTGTCAATTTCTTTTA